AGTGGGAAAGTAGCCTCACCTGGCAGATCTTCAATAAGGATGGGCTGAAGGCCAGCTCCTTTTGGTGCGCCCCAGTACTCTGGGAGAATGGGGCAAACAGGCTAGAAACCTTCTGCAGGTCAGTTCTGATACGTACTTCTCCAAAGCACAAGGCCACATAGTGTCTGTCCAGGAGAGAAATCTCACTGCCATTCAGGTCCAAACCCCTTCCACGCCAGTCTTTTCCCCTCCCTCATACCCATTTTCCCATCCTCCCTAAAAATATAGCTCAAATCATGGAAGAAAGTCTCACAGTACTTATCAATATCTGTCTCACAAAACAACAGCTTCCAGGCTAACTAACCCAGAGACACCAGCAAGAACCCACTTCCCTCCTTGGGCTGTGGGGCCTCTGTAAACGAACCTCAATCTGCAAACCACAATCCTAAAATATTAAAAGAGAGTGAAGAGATAGGGTACTCACGGCAGATCATGGCTAAGGAGTTTGCTGGAAATCCACAGGCTATCGATTTCCTAAAACAGTGTGGGAGGAAGCTTTGTACACTAGCTGTTAGGTAATCCCAGAGCAGTTTGACAAGACAAGAAAGGGTATAAGAAGAGAAGGAAGTGCGAGAGCCCTTCCACTATTCTCCATTCCATTTGCCCCAGCCTCTCTCCTCAGTACTATATCTTGTTCGTCTCAGTGACATTGGTTAGACTTTAATATTTCTCTTTCATGGATTTTTGCCATTTCCCCTCTTATATTAGAATGGTAATCTTCGTTATCTTTGTTCTCTGCGTTACTTCTGTATTTTTGTTCTGTACTTTACTTCCCTATCTTTTTTACATGCCCTGGACACCCTGTGCCTCAAAAGCATTTTTATTTTTTTTTTAAAGCATTTTTAAAAGTACAATTTGCATCAGTTCCAGTATTCCCAAACAGGCTCTAAAATCATCTTGGCAGAGGGGTGGCAAGGCTGGGTTAACTAGGAAAGCACCAGGATTTTTAAAAAAGGAAATTAAAAGTTGTAATTCAGCTAGATCAACCCACCTACATTCCCGAGGACTCACCACTGTTTGCTGGTGCTGCTGAAACTTAAGACTGACATTCTGAATCCAAAAAAAGGAGCCAATCTTTAGTTCCGCCTGCAGCTTCTGCTGACACCACTTGGTGGCCAACCGGACCACAAGCCACCTGCAGAAAAATCCTTGTGAGTTCACAGGACCCTCTCCCAAAGAGTGGCCACCCTCACCCCCTGCAGGTCTTAGAAAGCCTGGCAAAGGGTCATGAACTGGAGCTGGATCTTCTGGGCAATTGTCCTGTCTCCCAAAACACCACTCTGCCATATATATTCAGTCACGCTGATCAGGACCCTAACCCCAAAGTGTCCCCACCACCCAAATGAACTCAGACAAACTAAGCGCCACCGTTTAAATTGGAGACAAAGAAAGCAATCCCTCAAATCCTTAGGAACCTCAGAGGTAGAGAGAAGAGGTCCCGACAGGAGTTGAAGTCCAGGCATCCGTGTCAGGTGTGCCATCACACAACCCCCTAAAGGTCTCTTTTTCCGCCCTCCAGACAGGTGTCTGCGAGAAGGCAGTGTGGGGTCACATCCGGCCGGCTCCAATGCCGCTGTCCCTGGGCAGCCAGACCTGTTCCGGCTCTCTAGGGCGAGGCTGCAGGTGCCCTTCGCACTCGCGGAAGGGGACATTCTGGGCATGCGGTTGGGGAAAGAAAAACCACTATGCCGGGCCCCCTCCTCATTCACACCCCTATCCGCGACCCAATCTCAGCATCTTCTGAGGCCTCGGCCGCTTGCTCAGTCTCCGGGTTCTCGCGGTTCCCTCCAGCCAGCTCCACTCTGACGCCCCCGCTCGACCCCTCCCCTCGTCGCGCGCCTCCCCCCCGGCCCCTCCCCCTCCGCCGCCCGCGCAACTCCCCCTAATCCCCTCCCGCGCGCCTCTTTCCAGCGCGCCCCCTCCTCAGTCTCTCTTCCGTCCCTTCCCACCCCCTCCGCCACCCGCCGTGGCCGGGATCCCCTCACCGGCCTAGGAAGAGGGCGCTGAGCCCTAACAAAAGCAAGGCCAACAGCGCGGAGAAGAACAGGGGCATTCCGGCCCCGGCCCGGCCTGGCTCCGGCCCCGGCCCGGCCTGGCTCCGGCCCCCGCCCTGCCGGGGCGCCACCCCCCACCCCGCGCCCGCCCCGCCGGCTCCGAGCTGCGCCGCCGCGGGCCGACCAGCAGCACGCGCAGGGACGACGCTGGGCGAGGGAACGTTGGCGCGTCTGCGCCCCGCCCCCCGCAGCCCGCCAGCCAGCCAGCCGTCTCCCTGCTCTGCCCCGCCCGACTCCCGCGATCCAGCGGGGCCGACTGGCTGCTTGCGCGAAGTGAAGGCGTGGCTCCAGAAGGAGTGCGCAGGGTAGCGGCCCACGACTGACACACAAGCCCCGCCCCCGGGCGCACCGTTCGGAACCCGGAAAAGCGGAGCCGGGGGTTTACCACCGGCCCGCGGCCCTCCTCGGTGGCTGGCAGTGGTCTTCGCTGGGTAGTTTCGGCCGCGGAAAGTTCCACTTTCAAAGCAGTTTCCCGGAGTAGTTGTAGAGTCTGCTTGGCTGCTTGGGGCTCGGATTGAGGCTACCGCGGAAGTTATACTTCTGAGTCACACAAACTAGTTATCTTAACTCATTCTTGTCTGAACATGAGTAAGGAGGAAACCAAGAGGTAATTAAAAGGCCTCAAAAATCCCACCTCATTCCATCCACAAAGGAATGAGTTGCACCATTCTGGACTCTTCACTTAAGTTTTCAGTTACTACTGAGAACAGCACCATTTAGGCACTGGGCTAGTAGGGGGATATTACTGAAGTAGAGAATATTGTTCTTGCACTTCAGCAACAATTTACCTGGGGAGCAAGCATAATTACACGAAATAGATAATTCAGAGTCAACTTTGCCTGTTTCCTTCTCTGTAAAACGAAGGCACTGGACAGTTTCTGTCCAACTCTAGTGCAGGGATGTCAATACAAGCTAAAGAAATTTAGCTTTAGCTTCTTTGACATACTTATTTCAAAATAAGTACTTCATATCCCTTTGCTCTGACATCCTAACCTCCTAAACATCTTCCAGGCTTTCTCTTGGAGACTTTTTTCACTCCTACAGATAAAGCACCATTTCAGCTTTCACCTAGGTTACCCAGAGTTGCTTTTACCCCTCCAACTGGTTTCCTTTCACATCTAGTCCTCTTATCGGTCATTTCACATCTCCCCAAGGCTCCAGCACTTTTTTTTCTAAGTTTATACTTATCTCCAGTGCTAGAGGTCCTCCATCCACCTTGTAACCTGCAGCCCCAAGGTATATTCTTTCTTTCCTGACTTTCAGGAAGGGCCCAACAACTGAGTAAAAACACTGACCAAGCCACTGAGAAGTACTTGCACACAACTCCCTACTCTTACATTATGAAGAGTTACTCTTTACTTAACTGTTTCCTATCACTTCCTTTCTCCCCAGACTGTTACCACTCTACTCTCAACCATCTGAATAGCATGAAATGTTGATCTTGTCATTTGTCTACTTTTTGGAGAGACTTCAAGCAAGCAATGCAACTAAAATGGAAAAAGAGAAGGCAGAGATGGCGTTCCTCAAGTAGTTCCTGGCCTCAGCTTACTGAGACAAGTCCTTGTAAAAGGGATCAATCATTTTAATGTTATGGGCCACATCTGGCACAGACCTGGTATCCCCAAATGTTCAACATTAACTCCCTAAAGCAAGTAAGGAAAAAAAATCCAGGTTTCTAAAAATAAAACGGGCCTGCTAAGTCACGAAATTCCAGCAGATGGCAGTCACTTCTGTTTATCACTAACATCCTTGAAGGACAGAGGAGCAAACTTGCTGGATCTACCCAGCAGAAAAAAGAAGTGAGGTAAACAGAGGACAAAAGTTTTCCAACCCCTTTTCAAAGAGAGAGATTTATATTTGTCCAAAAAGTATAGTTATCTCCCAAGAGCTAAATACAGTTGTACTGCAGTAAAAAGAACATATGGCAGACACAGCTGGATTCCTATATTCAAATTACTTACTAGCTTTAAGAATTCAGGCAATAACTCAACTGTTCTGTTCTGCATTGATAAAATTGTAGTATCTACCTGGTAATGTATTTGTGAGGATTAAATGAGGTGAGATCTATAATATGGTGCCTAGTATTTAGCAAACAGTAAATAAATGTTGGCTCCACTTTCTATCTCTACCCCTTTTGCTCAAGTGCAGTAACATATCCAAAGTAAAACATTTTACTGGCTATTTATTAAGGGTCTTTAGCCATAGTTAGTCAAAAATCTAATAAAGATGAGGTGCTGAGGGAAAAGAGAAGGTAAAGACAGAAAAAGTAGGATGCAAGCAAGGCTCTCAAAAGGGTCCACACCATACATGTATACGCAGGGCTGAATCCCTCCACTGTTCACCTGAAACTATCATAACATGGTTAACTGGCTATACACCAATACAAAATAAAGATTTTTTTAAAACAAGGATCTACCTCAAAGGTTCCCATCATCTCAAAACTTAGCAATGACTTTTAGGACTCAAGGATTAATCAGATTATGAAATAGCACACCTAATAAATGACAACACAGTGACTAACAATGAAATTCTTTTATCGTTTAAAGAAAGTGGAAGAAAAATCACACACATTAATAATCCATGATGCCAAATTTCTGAGGAATAAAAATTTCCTAGCTAGGAGGAATGCCTCCTTCAGTTTTTGTCCTATTAATATGAATAAAAAGCTTCTGCTCCCTCACCAACAAGTCTTGTATTCAGAAAGAACTGACCCAAGTCTGGGAGAACCACCCACTCAAGCGTGAAGGGCTGAAGCTTCCAAACACAGCCATGGTTTCCTGTCATTCATCTTCATCTCAGTGGTGACACGGTCACTGCCCAGGGAACCTGTGGCAGGGATCCAAAGGGTGAAGGAGCAGCAGACATCTAAGAACACTGTGTGGTGACAGCGGCTTACAGCCTCCAGACTCATAGCTCTGTGTGGTGACCTTCTGCCTTCAACAACTCGCTGGGCTTCATGAAAATGCCTTCCATGGCTTTCCAGTAGTTGTTCTGGCTTGGCTGGGCCATGCCATGCACCTCCTTTTGCCCACTGATGGGTCGACCATATTGTTCTCCTGTGACAGACAGCAGAACCTCGGTGGAAGAATGCTTGAACCGCACCTCACCATCCCTCACCCAGTAGGGCCCATTACAGAGCACTGTCCAGTCATCCAGATAATCGCCTTCACCTTCCTCACCAAAAGCACTCACTTCCTGGAAGACACAGATAGGTAGCAATATTAGTATAGCTGACACAGGCTTGAAAGGGGGAGGGAGGCAATGGGAAGAAAACGAGGCTATCCAAGAGTGAAAAACAAAAGGCTCTCCAGTGCTGTTTAAAAATAAATTACTTTGCAAATAATCCTCTACTTGCCTTGTATTTTCTTTTATAGTCTGAAAACACTTTACCTCTTATTATTTGACTTTAAATATTCCTACTGCATTCCCTTAACTAGACATTAAGTGACCTGATGAGAAACACAAGGCAGAAATGGGATGGGCTCTGGAGACAGGCAAACCTTTGTCCCCTGCTGTGTAACTCCTTTGCGCTTTCATTGTCTCCTCTATAAAGTGATGATAATAGTAACTTACAAAACAATTGTGAGAATTAAATAATAAATATTAATTGAGCAAAGTATAGTAAATTCTATTTTCCACTTGTATTCTAATCCCATTCCCCATAAGGTCAAAAATTCAGAGTTTGTATAACAATTTTAAAAGTTGCTGATATTTCAGACATTTATAATTTTTCTAAATTGAAGTATAATTGACCTACAACCCTATGTTACTTCCAGGTGCACGACATACTGACTCAATATTTCTTATACACTACAAAATGATCACTACCAAACCCATGTAACTTAAATATACACTTATAGCTATAAAATTTTAGATGATAAAAAAATCAGTCAATTGGAAATAAAGACTAAAGTCAAAAGAAACTACATGTAATTAATAATCCTACTACCATACCTGTATAGTGGAACTGAACAGTAAGTAAATGGATGACAGCATTGGGAACCAGGTGTCTCACTGTTAAGAGTGGGAATTTACGAATAAGCAGAGAGGAGGCTAAAATGATCTATGTGACAATGGATTAGAGTTGGAGAAATCAGTTAAGAACTCATGTTTAACTTACAGATACAATTACATACATGATCACTTATAGACATGTATATACACATATACAGGCATGTTATTTCTTTGCTCTGGCAGGTGAGAGGGTCTCAAAGAAACAAAACCCCAGTAGCAGTGAGTTCATACAAGGCCTATATCTTGGCTTCTAAGAATACTCTTCTCCAATAAACGGAAGCAGGATTCCGTAGGGAAACAGCTGAATCTAGGACTGGGGAAAGAAATAGACAAGATAAGCCTGTAATAATTTAGCGCCATAAAGTAAGGAAGTGTTAAAAACACAACCACACACAAACACAATGAGGGGAGCATGTCAAATGGATACAGGAGGCAACTGAAAGAGCTCCCAACAGCCAAAGTTGGAATAATGTGAGCAACATAATAAAGACAGTGGTATTGGATAAAAAAAATACATATAAAAGTACATATAAAAAAAAATCCAGGAATCCATATCAAGAAGTCCATGTCGATATAAATAAATGATTGAATAAATACAGAAAAAACAAATCTCCCATGCAGAAGAATTCCAAATAAATTATGTAGCTATTTCACCCTAGAAGAGGAGGAGCGTAACTCCCCACTCAAGTAAGGGCTGTGCACAGTGACACAAGACTCAGAGTTCTCCGTCCGAGGAGCATAGTACGGAGAGGCGAAAGATGACAAGAATAACTTTACCAGACAAACCTGAGAAACGCTACTTCAGCCAGGTCATCAATATCAACAATCAGAAGATACTATGCACCCTTGAGAGATGAGATGAAAATGGTACTTTACCTCTGTGGTCTACCTCCCAAAAACCTTTATAAATCTGGTCTAATCATAAGAAAAGATCAGACAAATTCCAACAGAGGAGCACCCAATCGTATACCTGATTGGCACTTCTCAAAACTGTCAAGGTCAACAAAAAGAAGGAGGATCTAAGAAACTGTCACAGCCAAGAGTAGCCTAAGGAGACAACTAAATGTAATGTGGATGGGATCCTGGAACAGCAAAAGAACATTAGGTAAAAAACTAAGGAAATCAGAAGGAGCTATAGACTTTAGCTGATAACAATTTATCAGTACTGTCTTATTAACTGTAAAAAATTTACCATACTAATGTTAAAAATGTTAACAGGAAAAACTATGTACAGAGTGGAGGTGAGAAGAAAGCACTCATTAAGGGATCCACATCCTCAAAAGTTCAAGGCTTTAAAATAAAGGGGGCACAATTCCTAATTCATTCTCCTAATGTGGTTAGTTGGCATCATTAGAAAATAATAATATTTTTTATTGCAAGTTTGGAAAACATTGGGTTTCTTTATTGCAAGATTTATCAGGATAACTTATGATACACTAACATATACCTAGCCTCTCTTTCTGCCTCATCTCTTGATCTAGATGTAATCTCTATTTTGACCAGAAACAATTTCCTTCTCCTTATGAGACAGGCAATTCTTCAGGTCTATACAGAAGAAACTTATACCTGGAAGAGAAAGGGCCAAGAACCAAGGTATCAAACAATTCAACTGAGTAAATGCTCTGTTGAGCAGCAGTGACCCATAGAATGCCACCTCACCTGGTTTCCAGAAAGAGGTGAAGTGAAGTGGTGACTATGGAGGTTTCGGCCAGTGTTGACATGTGTCAGCCGGATAGGCTGACCACATCTGATGGGAGTTCCCCTCTCACACACTGTGGCCGTCTTCCCTCGTATTCTCCAGTAACTGTTGCTGTCATCCACAGAGGTTACACCTGTCACCGACTGCTGTCCACTACCTGCAGCCAAAAAAAAAAAAAAATATATATATATATATAAAGGACCAGTCAGAATGGCCACCATCAAAAAAATCTACAAACAATATATGCCAGAGAGGATGAAGAGAAAAGGGAACCCTCTTGCACTGTTGGTGTAAATGTAAATTGATACAGCCACTATGGAAGACAGTATGGAGATTTCTTAAAAAACTAGAAATAAAACTATCACATGACCCAACAATCCCTCTCCCGGGCATATAGCCTGAGAAAACTATAATTGAAAAGGACAGATGTACCATAATTTTCATTGCAGCACTATTTACAATAGATAGGACATGGAAGCAACCTAGATGTTCACTGACAGATGAATGGATAAAGAAACTGTGGTACATACGTACAATGAAATATTACTCAGCCATATAAAGGAACACATTTGAGTCAGTGCTAATGAAGGAGATGAACCTAGAGCCTGTTATACAGAGTAAAATCAGAAACAGAAAAACAAGCATCATGTACTAATGCATACGTATGGAATCCAGAAAGATGGTACTGATAACCTATTTGCAGGGCAGCAATGGAGACACAGACATAGACAATAGACTTATGGGGCCGGGGCCAGGGGCAACAGGTGGGGGGGCAGTGCTGGAGGGAGGGAAGGAGAGGGTGGGATGAATGGAGAGAGTAGCATGAGAAAATATACCGTATGTAAAATGGATAGCCAGTGGGAATTTGCTGTGTGACTGGGGGAATTTAAACTGAGCCTCTGTGACAACCTAAAGGAGTGGGATGTGGTAGGTGGTAGGAGGCAGGTTCAAGAGGGAGGGGATGTGTATACTTATTACTGATTCATGTTGATGTATGGCAGAAACCAGCACAATACTGTAAAGCAATTACCCTTCAATTAAAAATAACTATATTTAAAAAAAATTATTAAGTTACAGACTCTTCTCTTCCAAACTTTATCAATAAAGGGTTTTTATATACAAGGAAAAAAAAAAGGAAAAGAGGGTGAGCTCAACCTGACTCCTCTCTTTCCTATGGCTAATAATGTGCCCTGTCATTAAAAAGGTTTGGAGGAGTGGGAAGGAAACCTTACGTTTCATAATATTTTTTTCTTCTACGACATTAAAACATGAGAAACACAATGTATTTATATAGTATTAGTTACTGAATGATGAACTATATTTAAGAGTGTACTGTATCAGAATAGTCCAAAAATTTGCTTCAAAGGGCACTAAATAAATGAATATATGTGGTTTTCTTGAAGCACAGGCAGTGCTTAACCTGTATACAGTAGCCTGGATAACCCCCAGTATATGTCAGTTATCTAATCATATTTTTAATTGTTTGTAACATTATTCAATGTTCACTGTGTGTTACAATCTACTACCTGCTGTCAAAAAAAAAATTCAAAATTTATATACAGTCCAAAATTTTTTTATATTTCACAATGAAAATGAGACCAGTTTTTGCTGTCAACTTTAATCCAACAAGCCATTACAGTTATCCAGTTCCTGTAAGTAATATATCAACATGTTACAAAAGTATTAAGTCATTTAAATTTGGTTCATAATGATTACAGATGGTGTGACTGTGCAGGTTAAAAGGTTATCCTACCTCTAAAAAGGTTAAATATATACCTACAGACTTGAAAAAAAAGGGAATATATAAATAATAATTGCTAACTAGCTAACCTGTATTTGGGCACATACTCGGTGTCAGATACCAGCTCAAGCCTTTTATTTGAATATTCTTATTTGATACACTTGTCTATTCTCTGGGATAGGTTTTACTATCATTGCCCCCATTTTATACTGGAGTGTTAAAAAAGATGAATAATATGTCCAAGATTGCACAATCCCAAGAGACAGTGCAGGGTTTGAACCTAGGTGGCCCCTACTCTACAATTCTTGACCACTTGGCTTCCCACAAAGCTTTATTTACTGTCAAGCTCTCCCATATAAACTCCACTCATATAAACTCCAGGGACATTCTCTTCCCTAGGCCTCATTCAGTACTCAATTCTTTGAAGGTACTACGTATTTCCCAGATGCTCTCCTCAGTCAATCTTGCCTGTTCCTCCTAGCTTTCCCTTCAGTCCCCTGGCCCTGTAAGACAATAACCTTTCAATGACATTTCCGTTTACCACTTAACACACAGTGTTGTACCACAGTCCACAGTTATCTGAGTGAATGTTTATGACTAAAGTACCACTTTTCTCTCTTGTTTCTTCTACTCAACCCAATGATTTGGCACATTCTTTTTTTTAAGGATAAACCAACTCTCCCTCCTTAATTCCGGTTACTGCCTTCACAGTTCTCTCGGTCCTCACTGCTGCGCTTCACTAAATCGCAGTCCTCCCTTTCTCTTACTTTTTCACTTTCTATTCAACCCTCCACTTCCTCTCCCATTCTTAAACTTAGGGATTACCCAGAGTTCTGTTCCTGGCCTTAGGCATTCTTAAATAACGGTTGGGGATCAGGACAAAAGCATTTACAGGTGCTTCAACGAGCTTTTCAAATGATTCAAATTGACACCAGATTGCAAACCACAGTTCATCTTGGGCAACTTTATTTACTCTTCCCACATCTTCAGCCACCACTGAGACAATGATGTTGTAGTTAACTCTCTACCTCAGGCTCAGCACAAATCTCTCTTCTGAGATCCAGACTTGAACCTGGTTCTCAAATCTGGCTACCCATCAGGAGCATGTGAAGAGCTTTCTAAACCTATAGATTTCTACTGGCAGGCCTCTCTTCACCCACATTCTCACTCGATTTAGTAGATCCAAAGTAGGAAATCAGATCAAATTAAAATACAATAAACCTGACACATAGTAGGTATTCACTTAATAATCACTAGGATTATTAAGACATCCCAACGATGACAATTCAATTCCTCTTCTAGTCTAACTGGTCAGACAGACCCATCTCCAAATGACAGACCTACATCCGTCTAAGAGAACTCTTTCCTCTCTAAGCTAACAGCATCATCAGTTAGCGAAGACAGAAATCTAGCAGTCATCTTAGACACCTCTCACATCTCACTAGCTGAACTTTTTTCTCTCCTTTCTGTTTTTGTTTTCCTGTAACATGCTGACTGGCACACTACTAAATTTCCTGTATCTAGAACAACCTTAGGCACATAGTAGTTGCTCACTAAATCTACACTGAATGACTGAACCCACAAATAACTGCTGACTTATAAATGAACCCACAAGCTAATTTTAATTTCATACGTTAAAAAGCCCCCTAATCAGTTTCTTCTTCAATTCCAGTTGAGTCCTTTAGTTTTTCTTTACAAGGCCAAGGTTTGAGTAAAAAGAGGCCAAAGGAAGAGTTGAAGAGCAAGTGTAAGATGGAAAAGAACTAAACAGAGGGTTATAGTCTTTAAAGAGTGAGGTCCTGGAAGAATTCAGCAATGTAACAGCACTTACTGTAATTTTCTATATGTCTGTCCCTCCTGCACTGAGTACTGCCAGCCTGCAGTAGCTGAAAGCAGGCTTTGAACCTGGACAGATTTGGATCGAACCCCGTCACTGTCATTCACTAGCTGCCAAGGCCTTGAGCATGCGATTTATTTGAGTCTGTTTCCTCATCTGTAAAATGAGGATAATAATAGTCTATACTTCGTAGTAACGTTGTAGACTTTAAAAGTAATTATGCAACATGCCTGGCACGAAGCGCACCAGATAGAAACTAGGATTACGATTAAGATGCCTAAGGACCACCTAATTTTCGGACTCGGCCTCCAGACCTCAGGAACCTCCCCCGGGTTCCCCTAACCTTCCGAGACCACACCCCTCACAGTTTCTCCAGGCCCCGCCCCCTCCGGAGCCTACCAGGCCTTCCCAGCCCACCCGAACCCCGGTGGCCGTACCTGACCCGTAGCGCACGTCGTGTGAGTGCAGTCGCACGTTGTGGCGCGTATTGAGCAGCTTCACCACAGAACCGCACGTAACGACAGCCAGATTGGACGATCCCACAGCACTCCACAAGCCCCCGAACAACAGCAGCGACACCACTGCCATCCTGGCTGTAGCGCGGAGCCCCTAATCTCCGAAGAAACTCCGCCCCTGCCCGGAAGCGGAAGCTGCCGGCGGAACCACAGAGAAGAGAAAAGGGAGAAGACCTAGCCTGGTCTTTATGGTTCCTTGCTAGAGCGGCCTGAGGAACAAGCTAGGCCTGGTTGCTTCCGACCCGTTTAGTTGTTTCCCGGAGCCCTATGGCAACTACCTTCCTGAACCGCTTCGGCCAGATAACCCCCTGCTCTGACGATCACCAAAAAGCCGACTGGGAGAAGAGAGCACGAACTGGCCCGCCCACTCCCAGTGACAGGGCGCCGGAAGTGACGTAGCACGTTTGACGCAGCAGCGGCGGCGGTGGCGGCGGAGGGGCCGTGCGGTGGGTCCGTACTATCCTTTCCCAGTGTCGGTTCGACGACTCCATTTTCCTCGGTGGGGGCTTAGAGCACCAGAGAAGCGGCGGGCCTCAGGCAGGTAAAGTTTGGACCGGAAAGCGTGTCCCTCGAATGAGTCAGATAGGGAGCCAGCCTCCTAGGGCCTGGTCCCGTAAGGGACGAGGCACTGGGGAGCCGTATGCGGGAAGAAGGGGGGCCTCCGGCCTTCCCGACTCTGTAAGGGAGAACGAAGAGGAAAGCGGGGTAGTTGCTCAGAGTCTCAAGGTTCTTCCCAACGCTGTGCCACCCAGAACCCATGAATTGGGTGGCCTGTTGTGTCAACAGACTTCCTGGGATGCCGTCCTCTCTCGCAGCTTCTGAAAACTGGGCCACGCGATAGGGTTGGAAAGGGAAGGGACCTGGGGCTTCCGAGTCAGGATAAGGTGATCGAATTGTTTGTCCTGGGGATGTGAAATCTGCGGAGCTTACAGCAACTCGGTCATCAGCCTAGAGGGCGATGCCAAATTCCGTCTTTTTTCATGTTGTTGAATAATATAGTTAGAACTTTTTGTAGATGACTTCATTCCCTGTGTCTCAGCGGTAAAGAATCCGCCAGCATTGCAGGAGGCATAGGAGATGCGGGTTTGATCCCTGGGTCAGAAAGACCTCCCTGGAGGAGGAAATGGCAACTCACTCCAGTATTCTTGCCGAAGATCCCAGGGACAGAAGAGCCTGGCAAGCCACAGGCCATGAGGTCGCAAAGAATCAGACACGACTAAGCGACTTAAAACACACAGGCATACAACATCTATCCATCCATCAAACGCCTACCACACACTTCAGATTGGACTATTGAGTCAAAAGTTTTATTTTCTTCCAGTTTCTGCCTTTCTCTTCAAGGACTCCCTTGAACCAGCCGGAGCAGTTCATTTCCCTTCTTTGTTGCAAGTACTGATGCTTATTTTTCTGTTATCTCTACAGAAATACTTCTGTAGAAATTCACTGTAATATCAGAAGTAACAAGGGCGTATTAAGTTACACTGCTGCTATTAATGAACATGAAGAGTGTAAAGAATTTTGAGTTTGATTTCTTTGGAGGAAAAAAGTTCAGTTTGACCTTTTTAAGTTCAACTATTTATCTGAAAATTGCTGATTTTTTGTCTTTTGTGTATTGATTACAAAAGTATGATTGCTCCCCCATCAGTTGTGAATTTAGAGCTCTTTTACATGACTTGCCCTTCAGCCAATAGAAGTCTGAAACATTTGAAAGCTTATTTAGTTGGTTTGGGTGGCTGCTAGATCAGATTAGCATGGTATTGCCACCATGATTTAAAGAGGTTTAAATCTCATCCAGGGACTAATCACATCAGGATGTGGCACAGTCACATTTTGCAGTTGAATTTCCTTCAGAGTTTGATGCTGGGTTTTCTGCATGCTTCCTTTGATGATCCAGTCCTGTGGTTTTAAGTACTATCTGAAAGCCGGCCTCTCCCAAGTTTAATCTCTAGCCCTGCCTTCTCTCCTCTGTGTTTTAGAATCACACAAGATACCTGTTTAACAGTTCCATTTGAAAGTCTCTTAAACATCCCAAACCTGGCATAAGAAAAAGAAACTTTTTTTTTTTTCCATCATTCCAAACCTGGTCTTCCCTACCTTCCTGAGTGGTACATGGATGAGAGTGCCAAAGCCAGACCTCTTTCTAACTAACGACTTACGCCTTTCATTAAGTCTTGTCACTTCTACCTTCAAAATGTATTTCAAATCTCTCTTCTCCGTTTCCTCCCTTTTCCAAGTCACCATCATCTTTTGCCCAAGCTCCCACGATAATACCTTCAGTTTCCTCTACTTCCACCTAGAACCTCTCCCCGTCCATAGCAGAATCAGATCAGATCATGTCATTTCCCTTTCCAGTGGCTTTCTGTAGCCTTCACAGCCCAGCTTGAGCAGGTCCCTTCTTCCTCTCAGATTCTTCTGCCTTCACCATTCTTTGGTCACGTGACCTTGGGATATGGCCTGCTGTGTTCCAAGTTCTTGCCCACCTTTTCTGCCAGAAACCCCTTCTTCTGGCTCTGCATACCACAACCTACCCATGCTTCACGTTTCAGTCTAAACTAAGTCTCTCAGAGGTGAGAGTGTTTATTTCCTTCCTATCATTTATAGCCAGCTTTATTTTGTTTGTGGTCTGTCTCCTGACTCAGAATATAGTTATCCTAGAGGCAGGGATTTTGTCTTGTGTGTGCCTGGCGTATAGTGGGCACTCATTAAATAAGTACTTACTGAATTAGCAAGTAAACTACTAAGTCAGTTCTTGGTTTAAAATCCTGTAGGACCATCCCAGCACCTTTCAGTTAGAATCCAAAATCCTTAAGTTAAGAAGATCCTTGTGACCTCACCTCTGACTCATTATGGACTCTCTCAGTCAAACCAGTCCTCACTGTTCCCACCTCAGCATATTCTGTCTGAGCCTTGTTCCAGAGCTCTTTTCTGCAACAATGCCGCTCCTTGAACCACCTCAAAGGAGCCAGCTCCTCTACTTAGTTAATTCCATTTTCCTTTAAAAAATAAAAAATTCCACCTTACTCTTCAAGGTCTTTCAAGCCACTTGCTCAAAACCAGGTTAGAATCCTCTGTTACAGGCTCCCATGGTACCTTTGCCATCATTTCTTTAAAGACCTTCCGTACTTGTAGATCAGGGGTTACCACACTAAGGCTCCAAAATAAATGAGCCAAATTAGGCCACTCCCATTCATTTACATTCTGTGTCTGATCTTGTACTTCAAGGGCAGATCTACCCCTTGGTGGCAGAACAGGAACTATCTGCTCCCAACCCCCTCTCCATGTTGCACAGGGTTCAGGTTGCAGGGATTCTGAATCTGGTTACATTTTGTTGTTTCTGCTCCTCTTTTATTTTTACCTTGTCCCCAAAGGAAACATGGAAAGAAAAAAATAAGTTATTATGTTAACCATTATTAACAATAGTGGCATTGAAAAGATTCTAAGAGGGTTATTTCTTATAAATAATAGGGTGCATGTTAAAATGATTATAGGTTAAATTCTAATGACTTGATGTGATTAAGATTTTTCATAACATAGTTCTGAATTCCAAGTTTAATAAAAGAACTTGTCTTAAGTGTATTCTGAATACTTTTCTCTATTAAGCTGTTAGGTTTTTGAATTCCAAATTGGATAGTCATTTGTGAGCATCATTGAAATAGTCCTAGGCTCTTGCTCATCAAATGCAGAATGTCTTATAGTTTAAACTCCACACCAGACTTCTGGGGCTATTCTTCAGACCACTGGGCCCTTTCAAACCTTTTGCTCATAAGGTTTAGCTCATGCTGCTTTTTTCCAGACTATCTTCTTAACTCCTCTCAACTCAGGCATCACCTTTTGTGCGGCATTCTCTGATGACCTCTGTCTTCATATTGCTTTCATAGTTCTCGTATGTAATTGCTGTAAAACATTTATTATGCTTTGTCATAACTTCATTTACTAGTTTTTTGTGAGGTGAATATGAACACAAGGGTCAAAAGCATATTTTACTTATGTTTATATACCCAAGTCCCAGCACAGAGCTGTACCCTAAAAAAACAAAACTGTAAATGTTAATTGAAGCTGCCAGTGGAGGGAATTAACAGACATCTTTTTTGCTCTGGTCTCCTTTTAATTGCCTCCCACACCATCTTGTTCAAAGGGAGGGACTGCAGAGGGCCTCCCCTGTGGCAATCTGATCCCAGCTCCATTCCTCTTCCAGAGAATGTCATGGTAACCGACAACCTCTCCCTTTGAGCCACATCTTCTACTGCAGCTGTGCTTCCGCCTGAAGAAACCTTCTCCTTTCACTACCCCACTGCCCTTCTGGATCTGTTTCAGTAGCAAATTTAAGTTTAGAGTCTGAATATGGGGAAAATTCAAGAGCCTGAGTACTAAATACAAAATCCAAACAACCTCAGAGTCTTCTCAGATGTCATTTACTAATGATAATCATAGACTAATCAGTGGTGTTTTTGTCCTGGAATAGTTGCTTGCCAACCTCAGCCTGCAGTGCTGCTGCAGTGCCCTCAGCACCTCCCGCTCCCCCAGGTTGCAGCAAATTAGGATTGCTTCTGCCACAGCCTCTTTTAACTGGAAGTCTTGGCAGTGAGCTAGATTGTGGGCCTTCCCCAACTATATAGCATAGCGTATACTTCATTGCTAACCTAGGGGATGGGAGGAAAGCTGTGCGCAGCACAGAGCACCAGCTGCCCCCAGAACAGAGGAAAGCTGTCTGTTTCACTCTGCTAAGTAGGCTGTAGGGCACCTGGTCTGGAGGAGCTGGCATCTAGTGTGAAGATGTTGAGGTCTTAGAAGACTGAATTTGTGGGTCTGATAGCCTAATTAAAGCAAACAGTGTGTGGGGGCTGCTGTACCCAAATCTATTTTTAATGGCTCAGCTTAGGGCTGAGGGGGAGCCATATTAAAATTAGAGTACCACATTTAATTGGCAGAAGTTTTAGATACTCACTTCTCACTTTTGGCTGCACTGAGGATAATGACCTTAAGGGTACAGATCTTGGGGGGACGGGGGGCACCAGTCTAACCAAGGCTTCCTATGTCACCGTCCTGTGGGACCTAAACATGGCTTAGTATAAGGGCTCCCATACTGTTTGATCTCAAGACCTCTTTATACTCTTAAAGGCATATAAGATGATGAAGACATTCTGTTTATGTGAGTTACATTTGTGGACGTTTATGAGATTTATATGTATAGGTGTTTACCGGATCAGAAGTTAAAACTGATAGATAAATGTTAATTGATTTTAACATGATAATAAGCCTGTTTGCAATATACAAGTATATCAAATCAACACATTATGTACCTAACTTTATACAACATTATGTGTCAATTATAGTTGACCCGTGGACAATAGGGAGCTGAGTTGCTGACACCCTCCTCCCCCCCCACCCCCCCACAATGTGCATACTGCTATCTCTGCCTCAAAAACAAAGGAACTGATGAATGCCTCACCCAAGGGCAGGAAGCTGAAAACATTTTGAATGGAATCAAAACTCAAACCTGGATTCTTTTGATTCCACATATTGTGATCTCTAACAGAACACAAACTTTCTCCCACACCTAAGATATGTACAATGAAAATACAGATACTACTCTATTTACTGGGGGGAAAAAATCCACATACAGGTGAACCCATGCAGTTCAAACCCTTGTTGTTCAAGGGCCAATTGTTTATCAGTAAAACTGAGAAAATAAGCCTGCTGCATTTTAACATTTTATGGAAAACAAGTATCTTCAAAACAAAATGTAAGAAGAGTAGCATTATTTTTGTTCGGGGGTTTATGAGGTGGTTGTTGGGTTGTTGTTTGTTGTTGTTTTTGCATTTGTGGCAAACTTTTTTACATACATTTATTTTATTTATTCATCTTGGCTGCCTCAGGGGTTAGTTGTGGCACGTGGGCCTAGTTGCTCTGCAGCATGTGGGCTCTTAGTTCCCAGACTCGGGATTGAACCTGCATCCCCTGCATTGCAAGGCAGATTCTTAACCACTGGACCACCAGGGAAGTCCCACTGCCAGATTTTTCAATTGTGCCTTAATACAGCAATGTGGACTCTCACAGCTTCTTCTGCGTTCAGCCCGTTGTGATGCTCATGTCGTATAACCTCTGGAAGACTTCACTGTGCACATGAAGGAAAAGACGGTGCTCCCTGGATCACCCTTTGAGAACTACTGATATGATAGAAACAACTGTTTCTTTGGAGTCAGACAGACCTTAATTCAACTTCAGGTCTTACAGTTGAAAGTTGTATCACCTTGAACAAGTGACTTCATCTCGGAGCATATTTTTTCCTCTCTTGAAAGGACAGAGAAATGTGATATAACTCATAGGACAATGTTGGGCTTAATAGGTTATTTATTAAGTGTCTGGAACTTGTTAGGTGGGCAGTAGATAGGGAAGGCCTACATTTGTTTTATTCATTTATTTTTGGCTGTGCTGGGTCTTTGTCGCTGTGCATGAGCATTCTCTAATTGCCACACGTGGGGGCTACTCTTTGTTGCGGTGTGTGGGCTTCTCACTGCGGTGGCTTCTCTAGTTACAGAGCAGGGGCTCTAGGACGTGGGGGCTTCAGTAGTTGTAGCACAGAAGCTTGGTAGTTGCAGCATGTGGATTTAGTTGCCCTGCAGCTTGTGGAATCTTCCCGGACCAGGGCTTGAACTTGTGTCCCCTGCATTGGCAGGTGGATTCTTAACTGCTGGACCACCAGGGAAGTCCCTTTATGGTCCTTTTTTGGACCTCTACTAGAAGTCAGCTCCTTGGGAACATGCAATCCTATTTCTCTTTAAGTTCCCAGCTCCTAGAAGAGTATTTGTATTTGGTAGACATTTAGTATAGTTTAAAAAGAATGACATCTGAAACTTCAGTCTAAAATTGAACATAAGACCCTTCTCATTGATTCTCCCTTTCCACCAGAACTTGTACCTTCAGTTTTGTTTCCTTGAGTTCAGTTCATCTTTACTTGGTTATGGTATCAGTTGATATCAGTAAGGGTAATTTTCAGGAGAATTAGAGCCACAGCACTTAAGGCTCCTTCTAGAGCTTAGACCACTTGAGATAGCCATTAGCCACCCTCCTCCCTCTCCAGGCCCACTGCCATCTTTAACTGGGAAGGCATGAATTAGTAATCTATTTGACAGATACTTAGCAGTTTCTTTTCTGTATAGAGCACCTTGTGGGATACAGCTTATCTGCTACAGAATAAAAATGCAGTGTAATGCCTCTTATATTGCTGTTTATGTTTTTGTGGGGGTTTTTTTTAGTCCTTTAATTGGATATTGTCTGACTTCCAGAAGCTTGTAGTCTAAGTGGGAAAAATGGACATAGACAGTGAACCATAATTCAGGACAGCATGAGTAGTGCTAAGTGGAAGAGCAGCCAGCTTCAGGATTCCAGAGTGGAATTTTGGTTCTCTGATTTGTGTGATGTATGCTGTATTTTAAAGCCCAGAAGACTCTGTGTCATGGTTCTGTGGGTCTCTACTCCCTTGTCTAGGTTTTGGATGCATCTGACAGCAGGGAGGTAGAAGACAAAGTTGAGATTGGTTGGTGCTGAATTATAGAATGCTGGAAATTAGGCCTAGGATTCAGTTAACATTTTTTTAAATAGTAAACTAGACTCTTTCCCCTATTATCATGTAATATTCTCAACTACCCTGCATGGTAGGTAGTGCTGTTGCCTTTTTTCAAATGAAGACATTGATATTCAAGCACATTCAGTAATACGCTTACCTTTAAGACCTAGTAGACGATGGGACCAGGATTTGATTTCTATTCTAAAGCCCAGCAATGTTTGTATTTAACTGTGTTGCATTTAATTTGCAGGCCATGGAAGTCTCTTTCAAAGTGTTTTTTTGTTTGTTTGTTTGTTTTTCTGGGGAGGTAAATGCTCACAATAGAGTTGTGGTCCTAATGTTTCTGAAGAGGCCCCTTTTCTACTCATGCTCCCGACCAGTACTCACACAGGTGGACTCAGGCTCATGAAATGATGTTTAATCTGTTGAAAAAGATTTTCTTTTTGACTCTGCCAATAGCCCAGTTACAGCACAGCTATAGTTCCTGTCATTAAGTTGGCATTTAATTATTGTTTCCCAGACTTATGAGTGAGTCATATAATCTGACTACTATTGTATCCCTACCTATATAATTATTCCTGCATTAATTTCTTCATCTGCCCATTTCTGTCCCCAGATGGTAAGTCAGATAAACTTCTTTGGACAAGCCATGTGGTATTTACAGAGATGTCCAGTATAATTGCTTTTTAAAGGTACACATGAGAGGGGCAGTGGTGAAAGGAATGGATAATAGAAGAGATGGAGCCATCTTACTCTTACTCTCTCCTCCCAGATAGCAGTGATTGGACAGAGCAGTAACACATAGCTGAAGGCTGTTTATGGAAATGTTTAAGAGTCCTCTCTCTCATTTTTTATCCCCATCTCTCTCTCTTCCCTAGTCGTCTTCAGGCAGGCCGTGAGAAGCTGCAGCAATGTCTGATTTTGTGGAAAGCGAGGCCGAGGAGTCCGAGGAAGAGTACAATGATGAAGGCGAGGTGGTGCCCCGGGTCAACAAGAAATTTGTAGAAGAGGAGGATGACGGTGAGGAAGCCCCAGCCTCAAGCTTCTCCCCACTATTGCTAAGCTTTGGATAGTTGGATTCTTGCTGATGAGAGGCTCAGGGTGAGCACAGACATTATCACACATGAGAGGTACCAGCTTGAGTAATTTTCAATCATTCATAGAAAATATTTACTGAGTATCTGTCTGCTATATGCCAGGCACTGTGCCTAGAACTAGGAATACAAAATAAAGACCTGGCTCTCATGGAGCTTACATCAGTGGGATGGGACAGCCAGTAAACTAAGAAATACGTAGGGGATGTCTCTTTCTTAGAGACCTAGCAGTGTTGGTATTTATGCACGCAGTTTCCAAATTTTTCTGTCCAAACCCAGCCATTAGGATCATTAGCAGAGTAGAACCATGAAAACAACTTTAGAGACAGTAAGTAAAATGGAAGATTTATCAAAAGCTTTATAGATGAAAGAAGGAATACAGCTACTGAGTTTATAAACTGAGAAGAAAACAAAGTTATTGGTGGCTGTAAAACCTCTAGTCAAGATTTTGACCATCCAGAGTAATTAGGAAGCTCATCTTGCCAAAAGACAGATAGTGAATGTAGAAAAGAGATTCCTTTCCAGAGGCTACTGCTCTGAGTCAGTGGTCATGTTTTTCATCTCTGGATTGGATGAGGCAGAAGGGTTAACAGGGCATTTGGTTCAGAGTAGATAAGAAATAACAGTTAAACAAGTGATCCTGCCCCAGTGCCAGCCTGGTTCCCAAACTGCATGCCTCAAACACGCATGTTTTCCAGATGAGGAGGAGGAGGAGGAGAACCTGGATGATCAGGATGAACAAGGAAACCTGAAAGGCTTTATCAATGATGATGACGATGAAGAGGAAGGGGAGGAGGATGAGGGTAGTGACTCTGGAGATTCGGAAGATGAAGTTAGCCACAAGAAGAGAAAACGCAGTGAGTAGCCCCTCGCCGGGTCAGGTGAGGCTGGGGTGGAGGCCATTGGAGGAGGGGCCTCCCGGTCACAACCAGCAACATTTTGTCTTCTCTAGCATCTTTTGACGACCGCCTGGAGGATGATGATTTTGATCTCATTGAGGAGAATTTGGGTGTCAAAGTCAAAAGAGGAGTAAGTGCCTTTTTTCCTCTGTCCTTGAGGATGAAGGAAGAAGCCCTTGAAATTCAGTGGCTCTGGGAAGTGGTGGGGAGGCACATCGAGAACCGTCTGGGGAACTTCAGCAAGGAGAAAGTGGCTCAGTATCGTTGTGCTTTGGAGCCGAGTTCTGGGTGCCTGTCAGAATTTCAGGATTGGGCCCTTGAGGAATCAGTTGATGTGCTCTTTCCCATCTTCCTCTTCAGTGTAACTGTGGTGGGAAAATAGAAGTGAGATTGGAGGGCAGGCATCCTTATGCCAGTTCCCTCAGACCCTGACCAGACAGGCTTTCCACCCCTAGCAAAAATACCGACGTGTCAAAAAAGTCTCTGATGATGAGGACGACGAGGAGGAGGAATATGGCAAGGAAGAACATGAAAAAGAAGCTATCGCAGAGGAGATCTTTCAGGATGGGGAAGGGGAAGAAGGGCAGGAGGCCGTGGAGGCCCACATGGCTCCTCCAGAAGAGGAGGAGGAAGATGATGAAGAGTCAGGTATGTAGCATCGGCAGGGAAGCCAGTTTGGGGCAGGGGGTTGGGTTTCCTGCCCCGAGGAATGGGGTGGGAAATCATTTTTCAGCTGCTGGCCTCCAGCATTTGACAGAAAGGAGTTCCTTTCCAAAGGCTCTCTCCTCTTGGCTGGCCACTCACACAGTAGGGACTAAAGCCATTCAGTCCTGCCTCTGGGCACTAACCCCTCCCTTCCCTACCTAGACATTGATGACTTTATCGTGGACGATGATGGACAGCCTCTGAAAAAACCTAAGTGGCGGAAAAAGCTTCCTGGATACACTGATGCGTGAGTGGAGTCTGGGACAAGGTGGTCATAAGGGCGTCTGAGTGGACCCAGGCAGGAAGGAAGAGGTCAGAAACCTTGGCCAAAAATGGGACAGTCAGCTCTCGGCCACTTTGCCTCCCTGCCTCTGATAACCTTCACCAGGCAGTGATGTCAGACTGCTCCTCGAAGCCCTGAAAGCTCTCTCTGCATCCTAGTGCCAGGGTGGAATGAAGGGGGAGGCACATGTCAGCAAAGACCCAGCCTTTCTCTATTACCTGCAGCTCCATGTTCACTTGTTTATGTATCAGTCCTTTAAGTATAATTTTGTCAGAGGAAATTCTTTGCAAACATCTTAGCAAAGGATGGATCCACTGAACATGATGTGAACCCATCTGTCCTGTTACTTTTTGATCCTGGTCACGGACATGTGCCAAAGATGGGTTTTCATCTCAGTAAAGGAGAGTTTCCCCAGAGATAGCCACCAGCTAAGCCTTTATTCCGCGGTGAATATGCTTTTTTTTGGTTTGGATTTCCCTCAGCCTTCCTAGTTCCCTCGGGGCAGGTAAAAGGTCTCTGCAGGGGCCGCATCTGTCTCCTCTCACCAGAACCTGGTGCCTTTCGCTCTCACCTGCAGGGCTCTGCAGGAAGCCCAGGAGATTTTTGGTGTGGACTTTGACTACGATGAATTTGAGAAATACAATGAGTACGACGAAGAACTGGAGGAAGAGTATGAGTATGAGGACGATGAAGCTGAGGGCGAGATCCGAGTGCGCCCCAAGAAGACCACCAAGAAACGTGTGAGCCGCAGGAGCATCTTCGAGATGTATGAGCCCAGTGAGCTGGAAAGCAGCCACCTCACGGATCAGGACAATGAAATCCGAGCCACTGACTTGCCTGAGAGATTCCAGGTAAGGAAGCACCAGCTTCTGTCCTTCTGCTGAACTGTCATCAACTGCCCTGAGCCACCTTGGTACACGGGTTACAGCAGAGATCAATCTAACAATAGTTTATAGGGGGACTTCCCTGGCAGTCCAATGGCGAAGACTCCATACTTCCACTGCAGGGGGCACGGGTTCAATCCCTAGTCAGGGGGGCGCAGCCAAAAAAAACAAAAATGATACATAGGAACTTGGCTTTGAACCTTAATCTGACTAGGGGTACAGGAAGTCTAGCTCAACATAGACTCTCATGTGTCTTATGGTTCTTGAAATGGCTCTCTCTCTTTAGCAAATATACAACATGCCTACTTCTTGCCAGACAGTACTTTTCCAGGTACTGGAAACACGTGCCTCTGGAGCACACATTTTTGTCCAGAAGAAGTGCGTGTTTTTGCTGGATGAGATACAAAATAAAATCAGTCTCATGCTGCTGTGTTATCCCCTGCAGCTCCGTTCCATCCCCGTCAAGGGGGCTGAAGATGATGAACTGGAAGAAGAGGCAGACTGGATCTACAGGAATGCCTTTGCCACACCAACCATTTCTCTGCAGGTACCCCGCAAAAAAAAGAGCCTATGTTTTGACATGAACCAGAAGTCACCTCATCAGGATGAGTAGCTGCTTCTCCCTTGCCCCAAACATCTGTGGGCCTCCCACAGAACAGCATGTGTGTACAGGTGTATGAGGGAGATTTTTCTAGACTTATTCTGAGAAGGTCATCCTGTGACAAGAAGCAGTTTTGTATGTGGCGAGACAAAGCAAGTAATGGTGTTATTGCTGTTTCTTTTTTCTTCCAACTGTAGGAAAGCTGTGATTACCTAGACCGAGGGCAGCCAACCAGCAGCTTCAGTCGAAAAGGGCCCAGCACAATTCAGAAGATTAAAGAGGCCCTGGGCTTCATGCGAAATCAGCATTTTGAGGTAGCACCACAGGCTCTACTGGTCCAGTGGTTAGAACGTCAACTAGGGGTGAGGGAAAAGTTGGCCACCTAGGTTAGGTGGGGACCCCCTCCCATCTCCTGTCTTCAGCAGTGGTCCCTTGACCAAGAAGTGTGAGGACTCAAGGAATCAAAAGAAACCGCTACCCCTTCTGCAGCATTATGTTCCCCCACGGCAGGGCGAGCATGTGCCCTGGATGGGCCAGGGTTCCCAGTGCTGAATTTCACGGAGCTGTCTATCCCTCTAGCAGCGGGGTTCCTTGCAGCTCTTTCCTCTCTGGCTGACTGCCCATCTCTTTGCCACCCTAGGTGCCTTTCATTGCTTTCTACCGGAAGGAGTATGTGGAGCCTGAGTTGCATATCAACGACCTGTGGAGGGTGTGGCAGTGGGATGAAAAGGTAACATAGGGATCCGTGTCCCTCAGAGCTGAGGGCTGCTCTGGGTACTACCACTGCAGGGGCCCGAGTTTTCCTGCACGTACCAGGTGATGGCCCAAACCCCCAGGCCTGTCGGGCTTCCCCCAGGGACTCTTGGTAAAGAACTGCCTGGCCTTGGGCCTCCAAGGCTAAATACCAGCCCTTACCCCTGCCCTGCCTTGTCCTAGTGGACCCAGCTGAGGATTCGTAAGGAGAACCTAACACGGCTGTTTGAGAAGATGCAGGCTTATCAGTACGAGCAAATCTCTGCTGATCCTGACAAGCCCCTTGCTGATGGCATCCGGGCTCTGGACACCACGGACATGGAGAGGTAGCATATGTGGGTTTTATTCCTTTAGAGGGAGCCCTCACACCAAAGGCAGGTGCACCTCATCCCTGCCCCACCCACCCACCCTCCAGAGCAACATAATCTTGTAAAATTCACAGCAAGGCACCTATCCCTTAGAAACCCAACTTACCAACACACCAGAAGTGCTCTTTTTGACGGGCAAATTCCTGTTACTTACCCATATTGGCATAAAAGGTTAAGAGGATCAGATAGTCATGTTTGCTTATTTATGTTACCTGTATGAAAAGCCACATGGGAAACCAAACTAGAACCAGAAAGTGGCTTGTGAGCCTGGAATTAGAGAGGGTTGTGGGATGAGTCATGGTTTAGGGCCGTTGTGTGTCCCTGATAATCGGAGAACACGGGCATCTATCCTAGTTGGGATCTTGCCACATGGAAATTGTACCTCTTGTAGCAAACCCAGGGTATACCCTTCCTCCATGACAAAATTGAGGTCTTATGTCCCTTCCCTCCAGGCTCAAGGATGTTCAATCAATGGATGAACTGAAAGATGTCTACAATCATTTTCTGCTCTATTACGGTCGTGACATCCCTAAGATGCAGAATGCCGCCAAGGCCAGCCTCAAGAAGCTAAAGCGTGTAAGGGAAGAGGGAGATGAGGAAGGTAAGTGTTGGAAAAGAAAACCCAGAAGCTTGGTGCCCATGGCCTTTCCAAGGATGCCTTTGACTGATTACTCTTTGGAGTTTCTGTCCATGTGTCAGATCCTTAGAAGTGACTGGAAGCCAGAAGACTAACTCATGTTTTCTCCCCAGGTGATGGTGAGGAGGCAGAAGATGAAGAGCAGAGAGGGCCAGAGCTCAAGCAGGCTTCTCGACGAGACATGTACACCATCTGCCAGAGCGCTGGGCTAGGTAAAAGCTAATTGTATAAGTTCTCTGATAGTCACTGGGAGGTAGGAAGACAGCTGAGTGAATCACCAGTCCACTTCTAACACTTGCTCCCATGACCCAAACCCATGCCAGAGGCATGGTCCAGCTTTCCCTGTAATTCCTGAAGGAGTGGGAAACACATGATCAGAGTTCATCCTATCTTTGGGAAGTTCTTTTGCTAAACTGTAACTTCCACAGAAAATTTCTATTTTTTCTGCTTCTGTTTAAAGCCAGCATTTTCATTGTTCATTGTGAGGCATCCTGCTCCTGCTCATTGGTGATCCTTTTTAAATCTACTGCCCAGAATTTGCAGTTTTAGACTGAAAACCAAGAAGTTATTCAGTCCTGCTGTTGGCTTACCTTTAACTCTCCTGATTTGCTTTAGATGGCCTGGCCAAAAAGTTTGGGCTTACACCTGAGCAATTTGGGGAAAATCTCCGGGACAGCTACCAGCGGCATGAGACGGAGCAGTTTCCAGCAGAGCCCTTGGAACTGGCAAAGGACTATGTTTGCAGGTGGGCATGCAGTAGCTGGCTGGTGAGAGGAGGAACCTATGGGCAAAGGTGTCCTCATCCTGCAGCTCCTCCATTTTCCCTGCAGCCAGTTCCCTACCCCGGAAGCCGTGCTGGAAGGTGCCCGCTACATGGTAGCCCTGCAGATTGCCCGAGAGCCCCTCGTCCGGCAGGTGCTAAGACAGACTTTCCAGGAAAGGGCCAAGCTCAATATAAGCCCCACTAAGAAAGGTAGAAAGGTAAGCCAGTTGAAGGGCTTTGATCCAGCTTATGGTCCAGCTCTGTTTGAACTAGTTTCTTGCCTTCACACTTAGCTGAGCTGTCTGCCTGAGTGCAGAGGCGGGCCTTACCCAGGGTCCAGCCCAGTCTTTCTGTCGACTGATGGTTGCCTCTTGCTGTGCAGGATGTGGATGAGGCCCACTATGCTTACTCCTTCAAGTATTTAAAGAACAAGCCTGTTAAGGAACTGAGAGATGACCAGTTCCTCAAGATCTGCCTGGCTGAAGATGAAGGGCTGCTCACCATTGATATCAGCATTGATATGAAGGGAGTAGAAGGGTAAGCAGAGCTCTAGCCTGGGGTTATTTTGGGAAAGCCTGGTCAGGAGTCTGTTGGAGGGAGGGGTCCCTCAGGAATGTGAACCACGCCTTCAGAACTGAGCAAGCCATCATCTGGCTCACTCAGTGTTCCTGGGCATTCAGGCACCACCTCTTCTCTGTCCCTGATAAGTGTTATATCCCCTCAGCTATGGCAGTGACCAGACGTATTTCGAAGAAATCAAACAATTTTACTACCGAGATGAGTTCAGCCATCAGGTGCAGGAGTGGAACCGGCAGCGCACCATGGCCATCGAGCGAGCTTTACAGCAATTCTTGTATGTGCAGATGGCCAAAGAGCTCAAGAACAAGCTGCTGGCTGAAGCCAAAGAATTTGTCATAAAGGTGAGGACAGGGACTTGACCTTTCAGTTCAGTTCAGTCACTGAGTTGTGTCCAACTCTTTGTGACCCCATGGACTGCAGCACACCTTCAGTCATGTAATTTCCCCAGGCTAGAGCTGAAAGTGAAGGCACCTGTTAATAGCTGTCCTGTAGCTAATGGAAACCCCTGGGCATAACCTGAGAGGGTGTGCACACAAGGTCATGGGTCACTCTAAGACCTCCCCTTTGAAGAGCCTCTTCCCTCCTTCCCCCACCCCATACACATATTCTTTGTATATGTGACTGGCCTCTGTACTATTCTATTGTTAAGAATAAGGTGTGCCTTCTGGTTGTAAGCCTGCCAAGGGCTAGAAACATGTGCATGTATAAATATGATCTTTGCAAATACGTGTCTGCCTCTGTTTCTGTAACACACTTGGCGAGCCTGACGGCCATAGTGACTGGTGTGTCTCCTCCCCAGGCCTGTAGTCGAAAGCTCTACAACTGGTTGAGGGTGGCGCCCTACAGGCCAGATCAACAAGTAGAAGAAGACGACGACTTTATGGATGAGAACCAAGGGAAGGGCATCCGGGTCCTAGGCATTGCTTTCTCCTCTGCCAGGTAACTTCCTGTTCCTGCATGCCTGTCATCACCCCTTACCTGTCTCCTAATCTTGTTCTTCTCTTACTCATATCCTTATAGCCCTGATTATCACACGGTTCTTTTTCTGTCGGGCTGGCAGAGATCACCCTGTGTTCTGCGCCTTGGTCAATGGTGAAGGAGAAGTGACAGACTTCCTCCGGCTGCCTCATTTTACCAAACGGCGAACTGCATGGAGAGAGGAAGAGCGGGAGAAGAAGGCAAGTGGCTGGGACTGGTTATCAAATGTACATCTTCAACATGTCTTATTATTCAGTGGGGATACGCATTCATGGTCTAAGCAATATCCCATGCAAGATCTCTGACCTGCTCACTAACCTCTTAAGTCCTGGGATAAGTCTCACTTTCATAGGCAGTAGATGGCACTCAAGTTCTAGAACAGAATTTGCTTCTTGACTTGAAGCCAGTTCCTAGGCCTTGTGCTTCTGGGAGCTGCCGTTATTGCTTGTGTTCTTACCGCATCTGGGTCAGCTTGTTCCAGGAGCTGAAAGCCACTGAGGCATTAAGCCAACCTTTTTCCTGCTTTTAGCATTTGTGTTTCTTCCATGGAAGGAGAAATTTGAATTCATCTCGTGTGTATCCTTCTGATTTTTTCTTTAACGTAATGGTATCTTTCAATTTTATTGACGGGAGTTCCATTCTAAAATAATTTTCAGCAAACAACTCTTTTAAAGAAAGAAAAATCTTAAAGTGGAGATCAGAATAGTCTTGACTACCAGGCAGTGGTTCATGTTAAAAGAAAGACCTGAGTATGTTAACCACAGCTCATGTGTAAGCCAGATATACAGTAATCTTAGGAAAGATTAACAAATGATTAATTTTTAGCTGGAGCTCCTAGTCACCTTGTTTTGCGTTCCAGTTAGACAACACATGATGCATCATTGTTCTCTGGTCTTGCAAGGTCTCAAGCTACTTACGGAGAGAAAAGCGCTCGAAATCTCCCCTGTCCTCAGAGCCATTTAGCTCCAATTTTCTTTCACTCCAGGCTCAAGACATTGAAACTCTGAAGAAATTCCTTCTGAACAAAAAGCCTCACGTGGTGACAGTTGCAGGAGAGAACAGGTAGGGAGGGGCACCAGGCGATTGGGCCAGGCCTGGCTAAAGTCACTCATCCTTTATTGTTGAATCTGCTCTGTGCCTGTGAAGAGCCTTGATAATAACACATGATACCCACCACTTCCAGGGGGTATCCCTGGAATATTGTACCCCTTTGTCTTCAAAGATCTCTCCTCCCCGCTCCCAGCCCTGAGATGGTTTATCCCTGAGAAACTATTCGGGAATATCCCTGACCAGCACCCCTCCTTCCTCCAGGGATGCCCAGATGTTGATTGAGGATGTGAAGCGCATCGTGCATGAGCTGGACCAGGGTCAGCAGCTGTCCTCTATTGGGGTGGAGCTGATTGACAACGAGTTGGCCATCCTCTATATGAACAGCAAGAAATCAGAGGTAAGGCTGGAGCCCACCCTTAGGCTTCACAAAGGCAAGAGCTATCAGCCCCAGGGAGATAGGAAGGCAAAGATTGTCAGGGGTGCAGGATTGCACCTGTTCTCTTACCCGTGCAGAAAATCTCCCATCAGGCCAGTAATAGTTCAGGTTGGGAGCCCCATAGATTAAATTGGTCCCAGGAAAAATGATCCCAGAGAAGAAAACATAACATCAAGCCAGGCAGTTTGGATTACCTCTGGCTGTTAGAGCTGAGGGGACTTGGTGGCCCTGCTGACCCTCAACTAACCCTAGGCAGAATTCCGGGATTACCCTCCTGTGCTGAGACAGGCCGTCTCCCTGGCCCGGCGCATCCAGGACCCTCTGATTGAGTTTGCCCAGGTGTGCAGCTCAGATGAAGACATCCTGTGCCTCAAGTTTCACCCCTTGCAGGTGAGTAGGATTTGACAAGTAGGCCCAGGTGGACAGAGTGGCGCAGTAACCTTATCCCTGCCTACTGTGTGTTGACAGGAGCATGTGGTGAAAGAAGAGCTACTCAATGCCCTGTACTGTGAATTCATCAACCGAGTCAATGAGGTTGGAGTTGATGTCAACCGTGCCATTGCCCACCCCTACAGCCAGGCCTTGATTCAGTATGTCTGTGGCCTGGGACCTCGAAAAGGGACCCATCTTCTGAAGGTAGGATTGGGTTGAATCAGGACAAAAAAAAAGGAAAGTTCTTATTTCATTGAACCTTTACTTTCCCAGCATGGTTTGACAAAAAGGGCAAGGTCAGAGAGGTAAAGGCACTCCCCTAGAGTCATCCAGCTAGTAAGAGTCAGGGTCAGACTTCAGCCTAGGTGGCCACAGTCCTGGTCGTCACTACTGCATTCTGGTGGCTCATGGAAAAGGTAGCCTAAGCCATGATTTAGAGGAAGGCAAGAGTATGCTAGACACAGACCTAAGGATAGTGGTTTTCTTCCCATGGAGGAAAGAAAGGATTTCAATATAGAGAGGGACGTGTAGCAACCTTCAAGAGTATTTGTGGTAAATTTTTTCTTAATGTGGGATGGGTACTTGAATGTATATTCTACATCAACTTTGAAGCTGTACATTAGCTGTTTATTCTCTTTGCTTGGCACAGTGTGGTGGTTCTTTAAAATAATTTTTTTAGTAGCAGTTAGTATGTTGTGCTAACTGCTCAGTGTTCAGTTAGATATTGGGGTGCTGGGGCAGCTTCCCATTGTGGAAGGTTTCCCAGAGACCTGGAAACAGACCAGGAAGTGGGGCCTATCTACTGCTCCTGCTCACTCCAGGCTTCTCTTCCAGATTCTGAAACAGAACAACACCAGGCTCGAGAGCCGGACTCAGCTGGTCACCATGTGCCACATGGGTCCCAAAGTCTTCATGAATTGCGCTGGCTTCCTCAAGATTGACACCGCCTCCCTGGGGGACAGGTGATGCCCTCTGCCTGGGTGGGCCAAGAGGAGTTCTCTTGGGCTTTGTTTTGGGGGTTCAGGGATTAGGGCTGTCAAAGGGCCACAGACTATTTAAATTAGGAAACATTTTAAAGCCAAGAGCCTTTATTTAGTCAAGAGCCTCTGACCTATGGAAAAGATCAGTTCAATTATGTGAAGCTTTTCTGTGAGAGAAACATCAAAAGAACCAACTTAGTTTATCAATTGAGGACAGAAAACATAAGACTTGGTTCAGTAAACACAAACTTGTTCTGTTGTTATGATTTTTTGTGGCTCAATAAGGGTGGGAATAGTTGGGGCAATGGAAGAGGAGTGTGGGGGTCTGAGGAGATAAGGAAGGGGGAGAGAGATTTGGTATGTTCTGAGATGATGTTATTGAGAGAAAGTTCTCTATTCACTTGGACTTTGGACTTCACTATTGACCTCTTCCTCTCCAGAAGTTATCAACTCAGTCTTTGGAGGATCTTTTCCACGGGCACATAGCTCCTCATTCAGTAATGGAAATCAGTGGGGAAATAGGCTTCAAGTTCTAAAACTTCATTTTCCACCCAGCTTTGCTGTAACACTCCACGAATAACATAGGTCCATGTGAGTGCACGGGCAAGACCAGCCTGGGAAGGCTTTATGGGGGAAAGTAGCTGTCAGCAAATTCTCAAAGGTCTTCTTCCCCCTTCTTGTTTTATTTACAAGACTTTTATATATATAATTTTATCATATAAAATTCAATAACATATAGAAATATTATGCAGAAAGTGGAAGTCCCCCATAATCCCACCCCCCAGAGATAACTGCCATAACAAGTTGATGTATACTACAACTTTTCTAAATTTTATTTTTGCTATGCATTTACTAACTACCCATTTACTACAAAAATGGGATCATATGGTTCATAGTGTTTTGCAGTGCATTTTTCACGTTATCAATATATCGCGGCCATCTTTCATGTCAGCACACACAGATCTGCCTCATTCTTTTTAATGGATGTATAGTATTCCATTGTATGGAGGTACCCTAATTTATTTAACCAGTTCCCCATTGGTGGACATCTGGGTTGTTACTAGAAGCTTCTTGTTATATATCCTGCTCCTCTTCTGCCTCTCCTTCAGCACTGACTCATATATTGAAGTCCTTGATGGTTCCCGAGTTCACCCTGAGACTTATGAGTGGGCCAGGAAGATGGCAGTGGATGCTCTAGAATATGATGAATCAGCTGAGGATGCCAACCCTGCGGGAGCCCTTGAAGAAATCTTGGAAAACCCAGAGCGACTCAAGGACCTAGACCTTGATGCCTTTGCAGAAGAACTGGAGAGGCAGGTGGGTGAAAGAGTGGAAGGCCTGGCCTAGATGAGAAGAGACTCAGGAAGCACATCCTCAGAGTAGCCCCAATACTACTAATGTAAGAGACTTGATCTTCTCCCTCCCCACGCAGTACTGGGTTTACTCAAGGAAGTTTTCAGTCTGCTTATTAAGGAGCCAAGGACGTCTCAGAGACTGCTGTAGTCATTGTGGGGGGCATGTTTTGGAGGAGCTGGGAGACGGGGGCATAGTAGTTTGCTTCTGGGGCCTCTTTCCTCCTTTCCAACTGTGTGGCTTTGCATTTGTTTCATGCATTGTGATTACATGAGGGGTTTTATTTTTGGCTGCACTTTGAGTTTCCATTGCTATGCTCAGGCTTTCTTGAGTTGGGACGAGTTGTGGCAAGTGGGGGCAACTCTCTAGTGCGGCGCACAGGCTTCTTATTGTGGTGACTTCTTCTGTTGCGGAGCACAGGCTTCTTCTCATTGTGGTGACGACTTCTGTTGCGGAGCACAGGCTCTAGGGCCTCCGGGCTCAGTAGTTGTGGTGCCAGGGCTTAGTTGCCCTGCAGCATGTGGAATGTTTCTAGACCAGGAATCGAACCTGTGTCCCCACTTTAGCAGACAGATTCTTTTTTTTTTTTTTTCCATTTATTTTTATTAGTTGGAGGCTAATTACTTTACATCATTGCAGTGGTTTCTGTCATACATTGAAATGAATTAGCCATGGATTTACATGTATTCCCCATCCCGGTCCCCCCTCCTACCTCCCTCTCCACCCGATCCCTCTGGGTCTTCCCAGTGCACCAGGCCCGAGCACTTGTCTCATGCACCCAACCTGGGCTGGTGATCTGTTTCACCCTAGATAATATACGTGTTTCGATGCTGTTCTCTTGAAACATCCCACCCTCGCCTTCTCCCAGAGTCCACAAGTCTGTTCTATACATCGGAGTCTCTTTTTCTGTTTTGCATATAGGGTTATCGTTACCATCTTTCTAAATTCCATATATATGTGTTAGTATACTGTAATGGTCTTTATCTTTCTGGCTTACTTCGCTCTGTATAATGGGCTCCAGTTTCATCCATCTCATCAGAACTGATTCAAATGAATTCTTTTTAATGGCTGAGTAATATTCCATGGTGTATATGTACCACAGCTTCCTCATCCATTCGTCTGCTGATGGGCATCTAGGTTGCTTCCATGTCCTGGCTATTATAAACAGTGCTGCGATGAACATTGGGGTGCACGTGTCTCTTTCAGATCTGGTTTCCTCAGTGTGTATGCCCAGAAGTGGGATTGCTGGGTCGTATGGCAGTTCTATTTCCAGCTTTTTAAGAAATCTCCAAAAAAAAAAAAGAAATCTCCACACTGTTTTCCATAGTGGCTGTACTAATTTGCATTCCCACCAACAGTGTAAGAGGGTTCCCTTTTCTCCACACCCTCTCCAGCATTTATTGCTCGTAGACTTTTGGATAGCAGCCATCCTGACTGGCGTGTAATGGTACCTCATTGTGGTTTTGATTTGCATTTCTCTGATAATGAGTGATGTTGAGCATCTTTTCATGTGTTTTTGTGCCATCTGTATGTCTTCCTTGGAGAAATGTCTGTTTAGTTCTTTGGCCCATTTTTTGATTGGGTCATTTATTTTTCTGAAGTTGAGCTGGAGGAGTTGCTTGTATATTTTTGAGATTAATCCTTTGTCTTTTGCTTCGTTTGCTATTATTTTCTCCCAATCTGAGGGCTGTAGCAGACAGATTCTTAACCCCTGGACCACCAGGGAGGTTCCCATGAAGCATTTTTATTGTAGAACAGTGTTCCATGGCTAAGAAAAAGTTTGAAAAGCTGATTTAGTAAATATTGGGGGGAAAGAAAAGAAACCCTGACAAGAGCCAACTGGCTACTCCTTTCACTGAAACCCTTGGTGGCTCAGGTTGGGGAGCAGTTGCAAGACTCTTAATGGGGGCTTCTTCCCCAGGGCTATGGTGACAAACACATCACGCTGTACGACATCCGAGCGGAGCTGAGCTGTCGATATAAGGACCTCCGGACTGCCTACCGCTCTCCTAACACAGAGGAAATCTTCAATATGTTAACCAAAGAAACACCAGAGACCTTCTACATTGGTAAATCCTGGGTCTGTTTTCTTTAGTTGGAGGAGGACAAAAAGGGGTTGAGGGGATAGTGTTTACCGTGTATGTTCAAGTCAGACTATAATTCCAGCAGAATAAGGCCAGTTTGTACTGTGAGTGGGAAAGCCCAGGGAAGCTTTTTTTTTTTTCCCAGGGAAGCTTTTAAGAGGATTATAGAGCCCTAAGCTGGAAATCAAATTCGAGTTCAAGGTCAAATCATGCTTTTTAACCTGCTATTGTGAAGTGTTCATGGGGTCAATCTTGTGGCTTCATTTTCCTGTCATCAAATGAAGGGACCATCTCCCTTTTCAAGGATGTGAAGAAAATCAGGGGAGATGCTCTAGGACAGATGTTATGTCACTAAACAGTTGATGGGGAGGAGTCACCTCTCCAGTTCTCTCAGACTGCCTCCCGTTCTCCCCTTCTCCTTCTCTCCCCTTCCTGCAGGAAAGCTCATTATCTGCAACGTCACCGGCATCGCCCACAGGCGTCCACAGGGTGAGAGCTACGACCAGGCAATCCGCAACGATGAGACGGGGCTGTGGCAGTGCCCTTTCTGTCAACAGGACAATTTCCCGGAACTAAGCGAGGTATGTGCTACAGTGTTGTTGTGGTCCCTGGATGTTTGTGATTGCATGATCTCAGTGCTTTAGAAAGGTACCGAGAATGGGAGTAGTTTAGGTGACACTTTACCACGGCAACACACAAAGAGGGAAGAGATCTGGAACGCACACAGGCCTGACTTAAAGTCCCTCCATGTGCTGCTAGTCCAGATGATCTGTGTGCTCTTATTCTGTTCTCACTCAGCCCTTAATCCTGTTTCCCATTCTCTGAGGATCTTGCTCAACCAGTTAGAGACATGAGGAGATGTATGCTTTTCTTACATACAGGGTGGGCACGGTGTCCCTATACTATTTAGAAGGTAGCTGTAGGCTCCCTTCAGTGTTGTCATCCTTCACACACATCTTTGTTTTTCCCACGGTCTTCTAGACATCATCTGCTTTTTTCATGGTTAGAACTCATAAAAGCCATCCTGAAGCTTTTTCTGGATCTTCATATGTTACTTAGGCAGATAGTAAAATAGACTGTTTTTCAAATTTACCCAGTAAAAGAAACTAGTGAGATTCGTCAAGGATGTAAAAGAGCCATGGTGTGCTGGTTCACTGAAATGAGTTGTTCTGAGGTGACAAACAGATATTTCTTAAGCTCACAAGGTCAGGAGAGAATGGAAGGGAGGGGCTTCATTTGACGCTGGAGGGACATATACATTAAATTAACATAAAAGATTGATCTGCTGGCTAGTGGTGCCAAACATGAGTTATGCATCAGGGAACTTAGGGGATATTCAAATTCTGTGTTGCTGGGTGGCTGAGTCATCATGTTCTCACATCGTGTTGCCAGTGTCAGTGGTAAGATGAATTACAGCATTCCTGCCAGCTCTTTCCTGAATGTGTGGTCTCCAGAATCTTAATGATCAAGCTCTTCTCCTGATGCCGTCTTTAGGTCTGGAACCACTTTGACAGCGGTTCATGCCCAGGCCAGGCCATCGGTGTCAAAACACGGCTAGACAATGGTGTCACTGGCTTCATCCCCACCAAATTCCTCAGTGACAAAGTGGTAAAGCGGCCAGAGGAACGAGTGAAGGTAGGTGAATGATGAGGCTAAGGCATCTGGCGCAGTTTTCAGTGGCCCAAATCAGGCTGGCTTTGGCTGTGCCCACCAGGAGTTAGGCTCTGTTCCCAGGGGCTCCTGGGAAATGTTCCTGGGGAACATTTCAGGAGGATTTATAACCAGTTGAGTGAAGTCAGGGTAAGAAGCATCTACCCAAATGAGGAGCAGTTTTTGTTCACTACCTTTGTGAAATTAGATCAAGTTGCCAGCCCTTCCTGTGTGGGAAGCCGTGGTTTAGTCTGGCGGGCAGGAAGCAAGGCCCGGCATTCCATGCTGTGAAGCAGAAAGGCTGAGCTCCCTTTCTGTTCTAGTTTCTCTTGTCAGAGCTGCTGTTTATTCACACACTGGATTCCAGCCCTTGATATTTACATGTGTTGTCTCAAATCTGCTAGTCCAATGGAGATGGAAATATTTATCTTCTGGTTTCAGAGAAATTTGAGTGCCTTTTCCAGGATCATCCAGTTAGTGACATCTGCTAGTGGTATCAGATTTGCCAAATCTCTGGTTCTAAGTGTTGTGAACCCCTGAGAACCATGGACTTAGGAAGGCTTGGGAAAGACATTCCTAACACAGGCATCCCTCGTTTTATTTCCCTTCACAGTTACTGTAATTTTTTTTTTTTTTTAAGAAATTTACAGTTGGTAGTAACCTGCATTGAGCAAATCTATTAGTACCATTTTTTCCAACAGCATTTGATCACTTCATGTTTCTGTGTTGCTTTTATTTGTGCCAATTCTCACAGTGTTTCAAACTTTTTAATTATATTTGTCAGGGTGATCTGTGATCAGTAATCTTTGATGTTAGTGTTGCAAAAAGATTAGGACTCACTAAAGGCTCAGGTGATGGCTTGCCTTTTTTTTGGCAGTAAAGAAATTTTAATTAAGATATTTAATTTTTTAAAAAAATAGCAGTGTTTGAGGGAAAAAAAGTGTTGCACACTCAATAGACTATAGTGTGACCATAACTCTTATATATCCTAGGAAACTAAAAAATTCTGGTGACTCACTTTGTTATGATGTTTGCTGTATTGTGATTGTCTGGAGCTGAACTTGCAATGTCTCCGAGGTATACCTGTAAACAGAGCTAGGACAATTTCCAGGAGAGCCGTGCACATTGACTGGGTTTTGTCACTCTTTAAACAGAGGGGCTCAAATCAGAGGGAAAGTACAGAAAAACTGTTACTTTGCTTTTCCTCCAAAAGGACGGCCAGACTTGGCTCATACCCTAGGAATAGTAATTGGGCAACTTTATGGGGAAAGAGAATAGTGCCAGTGAGAGATCCCAGGAGACTCCAATTGGTGTTTCTGCCTAGAGCAGGAGGCGTCAATACTTGGCACAGACTAGTCTGCAGGCCAAATTCAGCCCAGAACTCCTGCTAACCTGACGCTCAGTAGCCGGCTGGCTCTGGACAGCCTGTCCACCTTCCTGCCTGGACTTTGCTGTTGTCACGTGTAAAATGGGGCATCGGCTAGACCGTCTCTGTCCCTTCCAGCTCAAATGTTCTGTGGATCTAGGTGGGAATGACTGTTCATTGCCGCATCATGAAGATTGACATCGAGAAGTTTAGTGCAGACCTGACCTGCCGCACCTCAGACCTCATGGATAGGAACAACGAGTGGAAGCTGCCCAAGGACACCTACTATGACTTTGACGCCGAAGCAGCAGACCACAAGCAGGAGGAGGACCTGAAGCGGAAGCAGCAAAGGACCAGTGAGTGCTCCCAGTCATGCCTGTGCACCCTTGTCCTGGCAGCCCTCTGGCCCCAGGATGTGCGTGCTGACTGCTCAGCTTCCCAGTGGGAGTGAGTGCTCAGCTCTGAGGGGCTGAGGCCCAGAGGCAGCAGGAAAGGGAGTCATAGGCCAGGCTGGACGCCGGGGTCTTTGTGGGTCACATTTTCTTTGCTAATGCACTGGGACCCCTAAAGCTTCATTCTCGAAGCACCCTAGGAGCCAAGGTTAACACAGCCTTCACATCTGAGAATCCAGGCCCAGAGAGGGTGAAAGTCTCAGAATTTAGTGGTGGATCAGAAATTTAGCCATGACTTGTCTCATTGGGCTGGCTCCCCATCCCATCAGCTAACCTATGCTTCTTTCCTGCCCTTTTCAGCATATATCAAGCGAGTGATTGCACACCCATCCTTCCATAATATAAATTTTAAGCAAGCAGAAAAAATGATGGAAACCATGGACCAGGGTGATGTGATCATCCGACCGAGCAGCAAGGGCGAGAATCACCTGACAGTGACCTGGAAGGTCAGTGACGGCATCTACCAGCACGTGGATGTGCGGGAAGAGGGCAAGGAAAATGCCTTCAGCCTGGGAGCCACCCTGTGGATCAACAGTGAGGTAAGAGGCAGCCCCTGCACACGCTAGCATCCCACTCCTGCTTCCAGAAGCAAGCCCCTTCCACCGCAGTCACTTGTGTGCATTGTATGTATTCTAGCTACTCAGGGCCCTTATGAGATGAGTAATTTGACAGCAATTTTGTATATATCGTGTTTTCGTGTTTCTTTCTGTCCTACAAATTCTGAAATAGACTATCTAGAGAACCACTGGAGGAAGAGGAGAAAATACACATGCAACTGCTTGTGTCCTCAAGCAGACACAGGCCAGATTTCTCTGTTCAGTGGAGAGAAAGTTTATGAAGGCCCTTACTGTTGCTAAGTAATGAGGGAGAACTAAAGTTATGACTTAAAGCTTTTGTGGACTTCCTGGTGGCTCAGCAGGTAAAGAATCCGCCTGCAGTGCTGGAGACCTGGGTTGGGAAGATCCCCTGGAGAAGGGAACAACTACCCACTCCAGTATTCTGGCCTGGGGAATCCCATGGACTGTACAGTCCACGTGGTCACAGAGAGTCGAACACAACCCAGAAAGCTTCACTTCCCTGCACTGGTGGTCCAGTGGTTGAGAGTCTGCCTTAGAACGCAGGGATGTGATTTCGATCCCTGGTTGAAGAGTTAAGATCCTACATGCCTCAGAGCAACTAAACCTGCCCACAGCCACTACTGAGCGGGTGCACTCGCGCCTCAGAGACAAAGACCCAGTGCAGCCAAACAAATAAAAAATGTAAGGGATTTTGTGTCTTGTAAGCTAGTAAAATTAGACCCAACTCACACAGATGGGTAAGATGAAGGGACTTTGCAGCAGAATGAGGCTATAGCAGGAGGGCTGGGGGAGTTCCTCCCCTCCCATGGGTTCTCTTCCAAGTGGATTTGAAAAGACTGGATCTCAGTTCAGAATGACACTCAGGGCCTTCACCTTCTTCCCACAGGAGTTTGAAGACTTGGATGAGATTGTTGCCCGCTATGTTCAGCCTATGGCATCCTTTGCCCGGGACCTTCTAAACCACAAATATTATCAGGACTGCAGTGGTGGGGACCGTAAGGTGAGCCCAGGGCCCTGCAAGGGATGACCCCTCCCAGTCACTTAAGGATGTCTGGTTTCCCTTCAGTGTAGGGGATGCTGCGCTGGTGAAGGAGGTGTACATGGTGTGTGAGGCCAGACATTGTATACCAAGCATGCTGCTATCCCAACCTCTCCCCCTCATTCTACCCCCAGAAATTAGAGGAGCTGCTCATCAAAACTAAGAAGGAGAAGCCCACCTTCATTCCCTATTTCATCTGTGCCTGCAAGGAACTGCCCGGCAAGTTCCTACTGGGATACCAGCCCCGGGGTAAACCCAGGTGAGCACTGGTGCTGAGAAGGTGCTGCCGCTGGGGTCCACAGATAGGCTCGCAGGCCCCGAACAGTACTGTCTCTGGTTCTGCTTGACTGCCTTTCCCCTCTAACCTGTTTTGAGTGGAGGTGGAGGTTGGAGGTGGGGACAGAGGGTAATGAAAAGGCTGGACTTAGAGGCAAAAGGCAAAGACTGAATAAGGTGCTTTAATCAACCGGGTGAAAAAGGAGGTCCCTTCACCTCTTCTCCCTCCCAGGGAGTGATGGAAACCACCAGACACTCTCTCCACCTGACTGGCAGAGACGGGGCCAGCAGGCTGCTCTGTCCTCCGCTTCCCCCTCACCAGGGCCTTTACCCTCACGCAGGGGTTCCCTGCTGCTGTGGTGAGCGTGTGCTGAAGGTGGGGTACGTCTGGAGAGCATCTCTTCTTCCAGTTGCCAGCCTGCTCTGCCCCCTTCTGTGTGTGACAGCCAGGCTGGCCTCTCTCGGTATTCGATGTCTGCGTCCCTCCAGCACTCACCCTGCACCAGACCAAGTCCTGTCTCCCTCGACCTTTCTTGTGTCTGTTACCCAGACAGATGGCCAGACTTGCCTTCTCCACTCCCGCGTCCTCCTGCGGTCCTTGGCCTCGTTTGTGCCTCTCTGCTCTTAGTCCTGTCCACGTGCATGCGCATGGTGCCCAGAGTGGGCTCTGTTAGCAGGTGTTCAGAGGACAAGCAGCCCTGGACCCTGCACCATCGTGCGCACTTCTGGAGTATTGTGCTTGTTTCTGATTCACCAGCATGCTTCCGGAAGATGGCAGCCAGGGCCACGTGGGGGTTAGAAACTGTTCCATGAGGAGCAGTTGAACAGAGGACTTTAACCAGGGACATAGGCCACGTGATAGCTTCCCATGGAAAGGGGCACAGACTCCTTATGGTGCAAGAAGCAGGTTTCATCTTAATCTGCGTGAGAACGTTGACATACTTAGCGCTGGCTGTTTACAGCTGTGCTTTATTGAGCACAATCCATTTTCAATAGTGTGATGAGTGCTTTACACACACTGTTTATTCCTAGTAGGTTAAATGCTATAGATTTAAGTGCTATCATCCTCTTTTCACAAATGAGACTGAGATTCACATTCAGTAACTTGGTACCAAGTAACTTGGTAAAAAACCATATAGGTGGTGAGTTGACAGAGCCAAACTGGAACTGGATCTGAACCCAGAGCCTCTTATCCACTCTCTGCTCTGGCAAAGTGTTAAATGAGGACAGACCAGCCATCTTCAAGAGGCACTTCAGATTCTGCTCATGGAGCACTGTGCTTTGCTGCCTGGGGGGCCCCCCCACGCCAACACTGTGATCTCTGTATCCCCCTCACCATCTGTGTGGTGCCATCACACAGCAGCCCAGGATGGTGACCTGGCCCCCAGTGAGTCTTCTGGCGGCCTGTAGAGAGCACATCTGGGGCTGCTGACTCCAGGCCCTGTCTGGGCTTCTCTGTGCCCTCCTCACCTCGCCAGAGTGCAGCCTCCTTTTCCAGGGTCAGGGACTGGCTCTTTTATCTCTCCTCCCCCAGCACCCAGTGTGGCTACTTCACATGGTGGAGATCTGCTCTGGCCACTCGCTCCCAGCTGGTCACAAGTGGGATCTGATGCATATTTCCTTCCAAAATCCCAGGATAGAATATGTAACTGTGACTCCAGAAGGATTCCGGTACCGGGGCCAAGTCTTTCCCACTGTGAACGGCCTTTTCAGATGGTTTAAGGATCACTATCAGGATCCTGTACCAGGTGAGCTCTACTCTCTGTGACTTCCAGAGTGTAGTTGAAGGGGCAGCTGAGCACTGCGTGCAGACAGACACTAACTCTTACAACTGAAGGTGAGACCTAGGCTGTCACTGTAGCTCTCAATTCCTGCTCCCTCCTCCTAACATCAGGAAGGTCCTCCATCCTCTGCCTATACAGCTTCCCTTTTTTTTTTTTAACTTGTGTATTTATTTGGCTACACCGTGCAGCTGTGGGATCTTAGTTCCTTGATCAGAGATTGAACCCAGGCTCTCAGCAGTCAAAAGGCAAGAGTTCCAACCACTGGACTGCCAGGGAATTCCCCCAGCTGCCCTTCTTTCCACCTACCTCGGTACCTCTCCCAGCTCCCTAAGTTGTAAAACTGGAAGTAGGTTTCTAGAGAGACTTCTCACTCGGGCCATTTCTTGTAGGCATCACCCCCAGTAGCAGCAGCAGGACCCGAACACCTGCTTCTATCAATGCTACCCCAGCCAACATCAACCTTGCAGGTAAGGAGCTTGTGCCAGGCCTGGGGGTAAGAGGGATGGAGCTGGAAGGGCTGTCCCCTAACATGCCCATCTCCACCTCTTGTGCTTACAGATCTCACGCGGGCTGTGAACGCCCTGCCCCAGAACATGACCTCGCAGATGTTCAATGCCATTGCTGCCGTGACAGGCCAGGGCCAGAACCCTAATGCTACCCCAGCACAGTGGGCCTCCAGCCAGTATGGCTATGGTGGCAGCGGAGGGGGCAGTAGCGCTTACCACGTACGTGGCCTGGGGAGGAAAAGCCCTGCAGAGGGTGGGAAAGAGTGAAAGGGGACGGTCATCCTTTACCAGCCTGTGTCTGTTGACTGGGCTTTGCAGGGCCCACCACGAGGGCCTCCACAGCAGGTGGGACTGCCACAGCGTTAGGAGCTGTCTCCAACAGATATTCCTTGTTTTCGGGCCACTGAGGGGAAGGGGGAGTAAGAGAAGTTCTGACCATTCCATGGAGTCTTTTGGGATCTTTGGAACCTGAACCCTCAAGCCTCTAGACTCGAGTGGTCGAGTGGCTGGCCCTGCTGTTGGCCTGCCTCCGCTGCTCAGAATCACACCCTGCTCAGGAGAGGGTCAGCTGGAAGGCTTTGTGCAGAGCCCAGATTTTCAGCTTGTCAGAAATTTACCGCAAGAGCAAGTAAGCACAAACTCAGCCTAAACTCAGCTGTCTCCCTTCTCCAGGTATTCCCAACACCAGCCCAGCAGCCAGTGGCCACACCACTAATGACCCCCAGCTACTCCTACACAACACCCAGCCAACCCATCACCACGCCACAGTACCACCAGCTGCAGGCCAGCACCACCCCACAGTCTGCCCAGGCCCAGCCCCAGCCCTCCTCCAGCTCCCGGCAACGGCAGCAGCAGCCAAAGTGAGTATACTGACATTATCAGACAGGTCGTTAGTCGAGGTGGGTGCTCTGGATCTCCTGACAGCCGTAAGCCAGGGGGTGTCCCCCAGAGGGCTGTTCTCTGGGAGAAGCCAGAACACTGCTGTCCACAGATGCAAGATCCATCTCTGTGAGCATGGAGGCTTCCAGGGACTGCGGGGTGGGCTTTCTTCTGGTGAGCCGCAGGCCGAGTAAGTCCTTGTATCACACACCCTGGTTCTCCCTCCAGGTCCAACAGCCATGCAGCCATCGACTGGGGCAAGATGGCGGAGCAGTGGTTGCAGGAGAAGGAGGCGGAGCGGCGGAAACAGAAGCAGCGGCTGACCCCTCGGCCCTCTCCCAGCCCTATGATCGAAAGCACCCCCATGTCTATTGCTGGCGATGCCACCCCACTCCTGGACGAGATGGATCGGTAGGGCGCCTGCTCCTAGGACTCTGGTTACCTCTGAGGCTGGGAGAGACCTGGCTGCCCACTGCCTCACTCCCTGCCCCTCCTTTTCTGTCCATAAAGTGGCGTGAATTGACGTTCTCTTTGGTGGTCAGCCTGGATGGGCGACAGGCTGGATGGCCTTGTGAACTTGAGCTCAGTGTGCGCTAGGCAACAATCCTCCCCTCCAGGCCCTCACTGACCACCTGTCGTGGGACCAGGCTGGGAGCGGCGTGTGGCAGGGAGAAAGGAGAGGAAGAAGAAGGTGAGAGCAGTTTTGTGCTCTGCTCCCTACAAGCCATTTTGAGCCTCTGCCCTCCCCGACTCTGGGCTGCGGCGGGGCCAAGTTCAGCACGCGAGTCTCCCCGCACTCGTGGGGAGAGGGATGCTATTTATTCAGTTTGGGACAGGAGGGCGAGGAGGGCGAATATTTCCACCTTGGTGCCAACAGCGGGGTGGCCGTCGACACAGGATGACGAGGGATGTAGGGGAGCAGTGCTGACCTGCCCAGCCCCCACCTGGCTGCCCTCACCCCTTGCTGCCACCGCTTCCTGCCTGTCATTTGAATAAACAGTGTTTCTACAGAGCACCTGACAAAGCCTCTCTCTCCCAAGTCTCCGGCTCTCGAGGGGGAGCTTTCAAAGCCCTGTTGGGAGCTCTGCAGGCTCCCCAGACCCCAGGCCTTCAGAGAGGCAGCTTCTCACAAAGGAGCCGTGGCTTCTGCATCAGACCGCCTAGGGTGACAGCGCTGTGACCTTGAGCAAGCGATCTTGTCTGTAACAGGAGGAAACCCGCCTCAGCAGGGCAGCTGTGATGACAGAGAAAAGGTGCGACGGGTCAGTCCGGGGGCTGGGAGCGCATCACACCTCAGCAAACGTTTGCACAGCTGTTGCTGCTCACACAGCGGCCACCCCGTCCACTACCTCCTGGTCTTCTCTGCCGTGCTGGGGAAAGGCCACAAGTCCGTCTGGGTTTCTCCACTTGAGCCCTGCGCCTTTCCCCACTTTTAGCTGACTGGGCCTTGGGATCTGACCTCTACATGAGTCGCCGCAGGACAGGCCCTACACTCACCCGGTCCCGCCCACACAGCCCTGGCGAGGGTCCCTTCGTGTAGCCCACTGCCTCTTTAGTTCTGAATTGACCTTCCTGTGTTCCTTCACGTTTTGTCTCACAGCCCTGGGAAAGCAAGGCTTTCCCCTCCCTTTTCTGTGACTGAGGCTCAGCAGAAAAGGCCACTGCTGCCCATACTTGGTGGGCTTCCCACCTGACATCTTCATTCAAGATCCCTTTGGCTGCTTCTTGGCAGGAGTTGGGAGGAGGGGCTTGCCTTCTGACAGGAATTCAGTTCCTTTCCCTTCAGCACAAAAGGTTTCTAGAAGAGGGACTTGCCTGATGCCTGCCAATGCAGGGGACACAGGTTTGATCCCCGGTCCAGGAAGATCCCACTAAGCCCATGCTCCGCAACCAGAGAAGCCCGAGCACAGCACCAAAGAGCCAGTGCAGCCAAAAAAATAAATATAAATCTTTTTTTAAAGAAGGGGGGTTGGGAACAGTTTAGAAGGGCTGAGCCAGAGCAGGGCCAACCAGTTGGGAAGATCGTGTTCCCTTCGATGCCACCAGCACCTTCCCAGGGCCACTTAAGAGTAGGGAAAGGCCAGGCACGGTGGCACAGAGTGGGTTAAAAGGTTCAATTTATTAGGGGTATCACTGCACACAGTACTGCCCATCACCAGGTGGATTTCACACAGACCTGTCTCCTGGTCGACAGGAAGTCACCCTCCCACCGAGTTGTGCCTGGACCTAGGATGTTACAGAGAAACAGAGTCTGCCCCTTCCCTGCCCACCCACCTACCTTCCCTGGACTTCTCTTGAAAGACGGACTGCCCTTCAGAAACCCCTGCAGCCCCTTAGCGCATTGGCTCCAGCCATGCCCAGAGCCCACCCCCGGCCCCCATAAGAAGCCAGGTTGGAGGGAGAGAGAAGCAGGGGGTCAGCTACAGGCTTGATCGCATTTATTCTTCACCCTGGTCGCCTCAACTGAGATTGGGGTTTGATGCTGGGGGAGATCGCCTCTTGTTGACCTTCTTGACTGGCGAGGTCTTCAAGCCGGGCTTCTTGACCTGGACCCCATTCTTCTCTCTCTTCCTGGGTGATGAAGACTCCACAATATCCTCGCTGGAGGGTTCCTCCCGCCCAGGGTCATTGTAACTGTCCTCACTCTCCAGATCTTGCCGGCTGTCTGGGCTGGACTCTGACATCCTGGCCAGCTCTCTTGGGCTTAACGATCGGCTTAAGTCCGGAGGTGATTCTGATTTAACTGGGCTTTTCTTCTTCGTCAGCTTGCCCTTCTTGACTTTTTTCTTCACCTTTGCCTTTTCCTTTTCGTCTGTCTCCTCCTCCTTGTCTTTCTCTTTTTTCTTCTTTATCTTCTTGATCACCCTGTTGCCCTGGGACTTCCCAGTGGGGCTTTCGGAACGCCAGATGGTGATGGGAGCTGCTGAGTCAGGGGCACCCGTGATCATGCTCATGCCTGTGTCGGTGGGGGTGGTGGTGGGCACCACCTGGGTCGGGATGGGAGGCTTGCTTTCCTCCTCTTCCTCCTCCTCTTCCTCTTGGTTTAAGTCATCTGTGCCACACTCATGGTGGATGGGATGGTGGATCACTGCCACGGAGACAGGCCTGTAGCTCTTGCACCTGCGAGGGAGGAGGGCAGGGAAAGATGACTAACAGGATGTGGGGGCCAGTGATCCCTTTCCACCTGCCGTAACTCACCAGCCATACCAGAACCGCTCCACACACTCTTCCTCTGGGATGAGCTCAAAGCATGGGGACTGGATGATGTCAAAACAGGTTGAGTCCACGTCTCGGGAGCAGGTTGGGCCCACATCTCCAGAGCTGCTATTCGTCTTCTCTGAGCAGTCCTTCAGCCTGCCACACAGGGGATTCAGCCCGGCTCCCATGCCTCCATGATTCCCCAGGGGCCCAGAGCGAGAAGCCTAAGGGACAGCGGGCTTCCACTCTGCTCAGCCCAGGCTGCCGGAAGACCGCCCCACGGCCCCTGGAGCAGAGCCAGGCTTATAAAGCTGGGGCCAGGAGGGCAGAGCTGACGCGGGGAGACACAATGGACGTTTTAGACCTGGGTCTGCCCAGGAGTCTCTCCTGGGCTGTGGGTCTCCCAAGGAGGGGGGCCCTACCTCGAGTCACAGTCACAGTGGCTGAGAGAGTGCAGGTGCACGTCGTGGTGGACACAGTCAGAGGAGAAGGGGTGGACGATGTGCCTGGCACACTTGTGTTTCCAGCAGCACCTGTCAGCGTTCTTGAATTCACCTGAGGTGGTTAAGAGCCTGGGTCACACGGTGGCCACGGCAGCACACCTGGATCTCCTGTCTCACAGCTCAATCTAAATTGATTGATCTAAAATGATTCAGCTCAACCTGAATCATCAGGTTCACCCGCTGCCACCACCCTCCCTCCCCCACAGTTGTGTTGTTCTGTTTGGGGCCTCACTGTGCAGCTTGTGGGATCTTAGTTCCCCCGACGAGGGATTGAACCGAGGGCTCCAGCATTGAAAGCGCTGAGTTCTAACCCTACTGGACTGCCAGGGACATCCACCCACATGCACACACAGCTGTCTTTACTGCTTGGTAGTAGTAACTCAACCCAACAGTACCTAGGTCTCAGCCTCTCCTCTCCCCAGCCCATTGCATGTGAGTCTGCCTGCCCCTCGCAGACTTCCAGGACAGTGCCTCACCAAGGTCCCCACCAGCCCCATGCTGTCTGGTAACACCTGCCTCTTCCCCTCCCCTGCCTTCTATGGGAGCCCCACCTTCCCAGGGCCCTCCACTGACTCCCACCTGCCCCTCACCCAGTGCTCTGAGTTGTCAGCTGACCCAATGTGCAGAGAGCTGAGGGGAGCCAGCGGAGACCGGTGTCCTACCCCTCCCAGCCTTTGAAGCGGCTCCAGCCCCAGGGCCCACTATAGCAGGATGCTGGAGCCAGGGAGGAGCCTGCCTGAGTGCCACCCCTGGGCGCATCATGTCCCTGGGCTTCTGTCTCTTCTCCTTCCTCCTCTCTTCTCTAAGCCTCTTCTCCCTCTCCCTCTGATGCCTGTCTCACCATCACTTGTCTCCCCTTTCCCAAACTTAATCTTGACTCTCCCTGCTCCCTCTTTATCAAGTTCCCATTCCCCATCCATTCTCTCCCCAGTCCTTAAAGCCACGAACTTGAACAACCCACCCTTGTAGGGAGCACAGGGGAGAAGCTGCCAAGAGATGACTGGAATTAGGGGAGGCCCCCGAGGAAAGATGCCTACCTCTTTTGCTAGGATGCATCAAGCCTGTACGCAGACTGGTCTCGCCCAGGCTCCACTCCCACCACCTCACCTCTGACCCTGCCTAAGGCCCAGTGGCATTTCCCTTGGGCCACCATCTACAACATAAGCCCATGAAACAACTCCCTGTGCTGAGAGGACAGGGCACCTTCCTGCAGGTTCCCCCTGAACCCCAGTTCCGGGTACTCGTAAGTTCCAGGGCTGCCTGGCTTCGGGTGCTGTGGCTGGCTGACTCTCTCAGAACAGGCCAGGAGGACTGTGCCTTTATCCAGCCCCTATAAGGGGTGGAACTGGGGCAAGACTTCATACTGGCCTCCAGCCAGCAGTTAACTCAGGCTGGCCTTAAAGTTACTCCAGGTGACCTTAAAGGACTTGAGAGGTGAGACAGAAGCTTGGTCTGAGCCTTCCCCACCTTCCTTGTCCCTTCCCTTCCCCCCACCAAGCTGTGGGGGGCCTGGGTCCCCCATACACCCCAATCCACTTAGTGGCCTCCCTTTGTGCTTCCTTTCCTCCCCCATCCCTTCTCCAACGGCAGGGGAAGGAGTCCTGCCCGGGATTCAGGACCTTGGAACACCATCACCACTGCCTCAGGGTTTCTCCAGCACTGCTCAACTGCAGCAAAGGGCAGCAGAGTGGCAACTGCCCCGAACTTGTAGTCAGGCCTGAGTCCAAGTTGAGCTGGGTGACCCAGGGGCAAGTTACTTTACTTCTCTGAGCCTTCATTTCCTTACTCACAAAGTGGGAATGATGGTAATACCTCTTTTGCAGGGTTGTTGAGAGGACTCAGTTCACGTATGTCAAAGATATTTGTGCACCATAAAGGGCTGTACAAAGGAAAGGGGTGACTGCGGCCTCCAGGAAGGGGTGGCCCTCTCTGCGGGGCACGAGAAGGGGGTGGGGTAGGGCAGCTGGGTGACCCTTTCAGGACCAAACACCTCCCTCCCTCCAGCCTACCACCAGGTGAGGGCCAGAGATTTCCACACACCCTGCCCCCCTTAAAGGAGGACCCACCTTCAGAGGATAAAGTAGAAGCATCTGTGCTGGATGCCACACTAGCAAGCAGATGTCCTCTCCCCCAGCTGGGCAACCTGTTTATATCTGAGAGAGTACACAGAGGTAGCAGCCGCCCCTCCCCACGCCATTCACTCAGAAAACAGCTCCTGAGAAGCTCCAGGGACAGCCCCAGGAGATGCAGAGATTAAAAGACAATAGTCCCTGCTCTCATCAGGGGCTGGGGGACAACAGGGGCTGGGGGAGGGGATGAGGAGAGGAGACACAGTCTGTGCAACAGTACAGGACAGTGGTGTGAGGCAGACCCTGATAGGGAGCGACAGGGTGGGGAGGCAGGCCCGTGGGAGCAAGCACACCCACTGAAATGGGGGCACAGGGCTTCTTGGAAGAAGCATAACAGGAGTAGAATCTGGAGGGAAGAATAGGCGTGAGCCAGAGTCTAGGTAAGAAAGGACGGTTTCAGGGAAGGGATTGTCACAAACTCCAACATGACAGCAGCTCCATCAGCAACCGCAGAGTAGAGTTTGCACTTCCTTTTCCTTCCTACAATTAGCTTTGTCCTATGAGGGTACCGGACTGAGTCCTGCTTAAAGAAAGGAGATGATTGCTTTGGGGCTTCAGCGGGGCCTTCAGTGATACTGGTCATCCTTCTATAGGTCTCTGGTAAGTTCCATCTGTTTTCCACGGCACAGGAAGTACTCAAATGAATGAAACTCTGAACACTTCCCTTGGAAATTTGCACCCTGCAACTGTTCCTCTCAATGCGTCATTTCATGGGCTTCATCTGTGGCTGCTCCCACCCCCGTCAACTTCTAGCCTGGGGAAGTGTCCCTCCCTCCTTGCCCAAGCACCTAAAATCCAGGTCCCAGACAGAATTCTCACCTTCTGCCTCTTTCATGTTTGTTTTTCTTCTTACAGGCTATGAACATCTTTAAACAAAACCTTCTGTGAACCCTATTTCTCCTTATGTCACTGCATAGCCACCCTTCCTTTTCAATCCAAGTTTATTCACTACGTTATTTAACAGACATATTGGACAGCTTCACTAGGCACCAGCAAAGGAGGCCCAGTCCCTACCTTCAGTGAGCTAAGTCTTGACCTTTGTCTTCTCCAGCCACCTACAGGTGGCAGCCATCTCTGTCCTCTATCAGAATAGCCCAGGCAAAGGCCACCAGTGATCTAATAGCCAAACCCAGTGACCTTCTTTTTGTCTCATCTCACTGATCCTGTTGATCAATCAACCTCTTTCTTCTCTTCCTTTGACTCTCGTGACACACCTCTCTCATCTCTTTCTTCTTTCCTAGCTTTTAATTCTTTCCTAACTTCTTTGCTGGCTTGTACTCCTTAAATTGGTGATGACCAGGGTTCTTTTGCTGGCCTCCTTCTCAAAAGACTCTACAGGCTTGTCTTGGATAATGTTATCCATTTCCATGGTTTCAACATCCACTAATAAAATGACATAAATCTCAATCTCCAATGCAGACTGGTTTCCTGAGCACATAGCCTATGTCCTCTCGGACATTCTCAAAACATCAGACCAGCACATGTCATATGAACCCACCATCTTCTCCCTACACTTCATGAAACACTGTCTCTTGTAACTGCCATTTCAGAAAGCAACAGACACCTCAGCTAGAAATCTAGGGATCATCCTTTGCCTCACTTCTCACCAACTCAATGACCAAGTCTTGCCATGCCTACTTGCCCCCACATCTGACTCTGATTCAGACCTATCAATTATCTCTTGACACAGACAGCTGGAGTAGCCTCCCACCTGGCCTAATTTCTGTCTCACTCCCTACATCCACTCCTCACAATGCAGCCAAACTGGTTCACCACATTCCTCCTCTTTAATAGCATTCCACTACCTTCAGGATGAGCTGCAAACTCTTCATCATGATATAACTGGTCCCCCAGTTGGTTGATTGAATGAACACATGACTAGAAGAGAATAAAGCCCTATTGGTGCCACAAAGAAGCTGTGGCACTGGGGATTCTCTCCAGGGTTCAAATCTGGGGACTTCTCTGGGGAAAGAAAATTGACCTTGGTGGAGAAGGAAATGGCAACCTACTCCAGTATTCTTGCCTGGAAAAATCCATGGACAGAGGAGTCTGGCGGGCTGAAGTCCATGGGATTACATGACAGCATGTGTGCACGAGGGTGGAGGGAGATGGGTTGGTAGCAATAAAGTGGTAGAACTAAAAAAAAAAAAAAAATTGACCTTGGATGAGCATTTTCCCAGGGTCAGGCACTGTGCTGGGCCTTTAAAATATGCCATTGATTCTAAATCCTCACCAAAGCACATTTTATGGATGGGGACACAGAGACTTACAATAAGTAACTTGTCCAAAGAAACAAGTTAATAGATGACAGAAGTAGGATTCAAATCCAATTTTCTTGGCTCCATAGTCTATCCTCTTTCAGCCTGTCTACTTGTGGTTCCTATCCAAAACCTGTCCTGCCAGCTATCACTTCCCACTGCTTTTCACCTCTAACACAGCCAATTCCTCACCCTCTGGTTTTACTCAATCCTGACTCCACAGCCTCCTTTATCCAGCCTGGAACTAAAGGTCAGGCCAGAGTGACCTGAGCCACGGTCAGGATTCAAACTCTGCTTGCTCTCTCCAGAGTCACCATGGAAGAGGCTCATATGCAGTGTCCACGAACTAACCTCCCCTCCCCCCATATCCCCAAGAAGCCTTGACTTAACCCTATGCCATAACTCTAATGCCAAGGGGAGGGATTTAATAACTCTTCTCAGCTCTGAGGAAAACAATCTGCTCTAGTTTCCAGCTGAAGCGGCAATCTGGAGCTCCTGCAGCAGAAGTGATTGAAGATGGCCCTAGGGGAGACCCCATAATGAATGAGTGACATTGAATGAGAGAGAGCTTAAAAGGCAGAGGGAAGCTTGAGGTCTCTTTCTTAGTAGGACTTTAATCGAGGTAGAGACCTAACTCAAAACTCACAGGTGATGCTCATTTGTACAGTCCTCCCAGTCTAGCGAGCTGAGGAACTTCCCCTGCCCTTGGCGGCACAGGGGTTAGGGTTCCAGGTCGGGCGCCCGAGCAGCTGAACGGGGGAGGGAGGGGGGGGGGGGAAGGAGGAAGGAAGGGAGGGAAAAACCAAGGAAGGGAAGGAGGGAAGAGGAGGGAGCTAGGCAGGGCAGCTCCGATCTCCTAGGAAATGCCGCCCTGGCCCCGCCCACCTCTGGAGGAGATTGTGATGTCACGAGTGGAACTTCCAGACTTCTTCCTGCCCTAAAGTCAAAGGAACCGCCGGCCCCAACCCCAGCGACTGGACCATGAGCTCCAGCCAAACCCCTCACTTCCTGCTTAGCGGCTGAGGCACAGCAATGCCTTCCACCCCTACAACCAGAGGTCGTAGCTCTGGCTCCAACCGACCACCCCGGTCCAACCTGCAAGCGGTTCTCCAGCCCTCCTGTCTCTATTGCTCAATCATTGGTCCAAGGCTAGAGTGAGCCCGCCCCCAGGTCCTAACTCCGCCCCAGTCAGCCTTTGGCCCCGCCTCTTTCGTCGGGCTCTCAGGTTCCACCCCCTCCTTGGGTTCTCAGGCCAGTCCCCCGTGCCACGCCCCCCAGCGGGAAGCCCTCCCCTAATCTGCCACGCCCCCTCCTTACCAGTGCTGCTCTCGTCCCACGAGCTGGTTTCGTCCTCAGTTTTTTCCTTAGTCCACCTTTCAATCCTCAGTGTCGTCCTGACCCACATATCTCTCAGTCTAGTTCTTCGTCTCTACAAGACTCTTCCACGCAGAAGTCCAACCCTGAACCTCAGCTTGGCCGAGCCCACTGTAAACCCCAATCTCAGCTTCGCCCCAGTCTAGCCCTTAACTCCGCCTCATGCTTGCCCAGTCTCCCCTCTCCCTCTGCTCTAGGCTGCGTTGTCTTAGCCCGAGTATTCGCTTCAGCGGCGCTCTTCATCCGGGGCCTCCTAGCTCCTTCCGGGCCCCTCCCTCAGCACCTCCCCCGAATCTATCTCCCCGGGCCTAAACTTTAGCTCGGCCGCTCAGGCCCAGCCCTCAGTCCCATCCCTAGGTCCTCTCCAGATCTGCTCCCGGCTTAGTCCTACCCCCAGAACCTAGCCCCGCCCCAACCCCGTTCTTAGCCCCGCCCCAGTCATTCTCTCAACCTCCCGGCCCCTCCCAATCCTTCCGAACCCAGCCGCAGCCCTTATAGCCCCGCCCCCAATCTACACTCGGGTCCGTGCGCGTCCGCCTAGGGAGCTACTCCCACCAATCTCCAGCCCTCCATCCAGAATTTCAGGGTCTTTCCTTCCCTGGCGGGAGGCCGGGCTCGCTCTTTCTCTCCCCCAGCAGGCCCCTCCACGGGAGCCCAGCGAAAGAAGGCGTGATACCGGCTCTCAGCCCCGCGACGGCCCCCACCCCAAGCGCCCCCTCCTATTTCTATGGGGCTCCCTGTCCCGGTGACAATACTGCCCAATATAGATGTCAACATGGAGTCAGAGGAGTGGGGAAGGGCGAGTGTGCAGAAAAACCAACTCTTCCAGACGGGCCTAGCAGGTAAGAATGGTAGCAAAGGACAGAGCGGTTGCTTACTGGGAACTAGGATTGATGTTCCTGTCTTGGCCTCTTAGGATGACGACACCAGGCCACAGGTGTCCCTCCTTTTGTGGCCCGAATATCTGAGACACGTCCAGCCAATCTCTGGCTCTGGGTCAGATGTCAATGGGGAGCCAGGTTCTTGGTCACTCTTCACCTAAACTGTTATTATAATAGTTAAGGTTTTTAAGCTCTTTCTGTGTATGTATTGGGGTATCCCAGGTGGCGCAAGTGGTAAAGAACCGGGCCCTGGGTTGGGAAGATCCCCTGGAGGACAGCATGGCAATCCACTCCAGTCTTCTGGCTTGGAGAATCTTATGGACAGAGGAAGCTGGCAGGCTATAGTCCATGGGGTCGCTAAGCGTCAGACATGACTGAAGCAACTTAGCATGCACACATGCATGTATGTATTAGTGCTTTATCATATTTCATCCATGAAATGAATGATGAATGTGCTCCTCCTTTACAGAGGAGGCAACTGGGAGTTCCTGGATTGCCTAGTTAGGATTTCAGTCTTTCATTGCCGTGGCCTGGGTTCAATCTCTGGTCAGGGAACTGAGATCCCATAAACTGCTCAGCACACATTCCCCCCAAAAGAAAATAATAACAATAGAGATGAAGAAACTAAGGCACAGAGGAGAAGTGACTTGTCTGAGTGTCCCAAGATGTACAGCAAGGATTCAAATGCAGAATCCTCCCATCCTCCTGCTTAGAGCACATCTTTTTTTTTTTTTTTTTGAAGTGGGAAAAATGTCTCATTTTTAATTCAATTTAGTTTTTAACAGTTTTAAAATATTAAAATGTGCTACTCATAATTTTATGTTTATATCACGAATATAGTTAGATGTTATCAGCACATCTTCTAAGTAAGAGTCCTGCCTCTACCTTCCTGGGCCTTCTGGTCAACCCAACAAGCACCCAAAACTCACTTCTCACTGTGTTCCATACTCTAAAAAATACTTCTTAGAGAAGTATTTTTAAAAGGCAGGAAGAAGGTGAAAAAAAATATTATCTAAAAAAAATAAAAATAAAAAAAATAAACAAAAAATATTATCTAATGGTGGACTTATGTATAAGTACCAAGTAGCAGGAGACATTTGGGGGGAAGAGACCAAAGGAAAAGGGCTCTTAAAGATCTCGAAGGTCACTCAGATGTCATCCAGTGAAAGCCAAGTGCATCCCTCTACATGTGGTCCGAGTTCCCAGCCTGCCTGAGCCCTGCCCAGAGGCCAAGAATGGCCAGAATTGCAGCAGAAGGCTCCAGTCCTAAGATCACCCATTCCACATCCCTGATCCCCCAGAAAGGACTCCAGACCCTAACCTGCTAATGACAGAAATTTTAATGCATAAGGCATAGTGTGAGACTAGGACCATTAAGCATCCTGAAACCTAGAGGGCCCAGCGGCTGAGTAAGAGCAGCAGGGCCCTCTTATCTCCCCACACTGGGCACCTTGGAGAGAGAGGGGGATCCAGGTTTTGACACAGTGCCTGGGGGCAGGAAGTGACTAGCATGGTCCCAAGTATCCCTCCAGGAATACTGCCACCAAGAGGCAGCTCTTTGGTCTGGAAAAACAGTCAGTGCAAATGTCCTGGAGTTGAATTCTGGGGGAGTCAAGGTGGCACAGTGCCCGGGGGCGGGCAGTCTCTGGACAGTCCCTTACCCATCATGGGCAACACGTGGGCTTTTTCTTGCTGGCAGTTAGGTAGAGGTTGCTGTCATCACTGTTGATGCCTGAAGAAGGGTGAGAAATAAGTGAGACAAGGATGGAGGGTCCCTGTGCTCTCTGCCACCCTCGTCCAGGCGGGCACTCACGGACAACATCCCCTATGCGCCGGGATCCCGATTTCTCCAGCTCAGCCAGCACGTTGACCTCAAAGGTCAGCGCCGCCACACGAAAGAAGAACTCCCGGACATTTTCACCTGACACAGGGAGCAGACAGGAGCTCAGGGGTGGTTCCAGGCCAACGGGCACAGCTGGAGGTGCAGGAGTGAGAGGCAAGGCAGGCAGGAAGGCCAGAGCAGAAGGCCAGGTGCCTCTGACTCACCAGTGAGGGATGAGACTGCCCAATACTCGGCCTTCATCTCTTGGGCCACCTTGAGTGCGTCTTTCTCCATCAGTATATACTGAGCGGGAGTCTGAGGGAAAGTCAGAGTCAGACACTAGGTGTAGGGTTTCCCTCGACAAGATGGGAAGTCCTCCCCCCGACACTGGCACACTCACACTCAGGTCCTTCTTGGAACCCACAAGGAAGAGAAGCACGCTGGAAGGGTCGTTCTCCTTGAGCGCATCAGCCAGCCACTGCCTGCCATAGACAGTGGACAGCAAGGGATGAGGAAGCCAGACAGGTTCCCCCCACTTCTATGCCCCATGACCCTTCCTCTGGTCCTGGATGCACTCATCTTCTCTTCCATACTCCTGACCCACCTCTTTTTGAACCTTCTCTTCTCAGAGCCCCCATTATAGTTCGGCATGCTCACTCACTTGGTATGCTCCAAGGAGGCCACATCATTCAGGTTGAAGACAATGATGATGGCTGGAAGAGTGGCAGAAAACGGCTGCAGATTGTTGGGGAAGAAGCTACTGGCTCATTTCCACAATCCCTCCAGCCCTAGGCTAGAGGCCGGGTGTACCCACCTACCTCACTTCACCCTGGTGCTTACCTTGAGCTCCTCGGTAGTAGGTTGATGCGATGCACTTGAACCTCTCCTGTCCAGCAGTGTCCCAGCTGGGGAGGAAGGTGGTGGGAACACAGGTATGTGCGGGGCAGGGTGGTGCTGGGGTTGAGGTGGGGAATAGGTGCTGGGAGAAGCAAGGGCGGGAGGGAGTGGGGAAAGAACTCACAGCTGCAGACTGAACGGCACGCCCAGCACCTCAAATCGTTCCATCTCAAAGTCCACTCCAATGGTGGCCTTGTAGTTCTTATCAAAGGTGTCTTTGCAGAACCTGAGGGGGCACCAGATGCTCTGGTCCTGAGCCCAGTCTGCCTGGCTAGGCTTGAGCCCACCCCCCTCAGCTCCAGCACCCTCTTACCTATTAATGAGACAAGTCTTCCCCACTGACAGGTCGCCCACCACAATGACCTTGGAGATCTTAAATCTGCTGGACACAAGAGTAGGTGGGAAGAGTGAGCTCTAGCTCCTTCACTCAGAGGAGTCCCAATGCTCCCGGGCAGGTCCACAAAGGGAGCTGCACCTGGGCTGAGGTTACCATAGACACCAGGCCTGGACAGATGTGCTAGGGAGGAGTGTTTCTGCTTCAGTGTCAGAGAGACTGATTTTTTATCCCAGCTCTCACTAGCTGTGTGACTCGGGACAAGTTTCTTAGCTTCTCTGAGCCTCAATTTCAACATCTGTTAAGTTGGGATTTAACACACATTTTATTGGGTTGTTGTGAAGGTTAAAATGAAATAAATGTCCTACATTCTGGACTGGTCAAGTGGCTTAGTGGCAAAGAATCTGCCTGCCAAGCAAGAGACGCAGGTTCGATCCCTGGGTCAAGAAGATCCTCTAGAGAAGGATATGGCAACCCACTCCAGTATTCTTGCCTGGGAAATCCCAGGGACAGAGAAACCATAGGGTCACAAAGAGTTGGACACCACCGAGTGACTAAACAACCACCCAACAACCCCTCCCCCTCAACACACACACACACACATTCTAACATCTCTCCCTCCTCCCCCAGGATACAACTTAAAAGTGGTATTTTCCATTTACTAAAAGACAGTAATTATATCCAACACACTGCCTGGCACACAGTACATGCTCAATTAATGGTGACAATTATTAATAGTATTATCTTTCTTTTTTTTTTAACCCACAATGGGACTTACCCCTCTAGAACAGCTCACTGTCCTAGAGGTCAAATAGATGGAGTGTGGGAAGCTAAGCTGGTGACCACAGCCTTAAGTTGGACCCCTTCCCTGTGTCAGGAATTAAACTGCCACCTTCCTACTCCACCCCATCTCTTAGGACTTCCCACAACTCAGCTGGAAGGAAGGGGACCACAGGGGCACGCTAAGGGGGAACAACAGTGTGGCTGGTAGGGACAGAAATGGAGCCTGCAGCTCTTGGCTCTGCACACTTGCTTTGACTGCAGGTTTCCTGGGACTCCGTTTCTTCCTTCCGGGTGTCTCTAACTCACCCCACGGTGCCTGTCCTGTGCTCCAGGCAGGCGCAGGTGACGCGGGGCTGGAAGTCTTTGTGCACGTGCAAAGCGGCCTCCTTCCTCAGGCACTGGGTGGGGTGGAAGAGAATGGGACTCACCCATTCCTGGCCCTCAGCCCGCCACCGAGCAGCCCCGGGCGGGGCGGGAGGGTGGGGGTGGGGAGCGGACCACCCAGAAGCAGCTGGCCTGGCTGGGCGGCAGGGTTGGGCCCAAGCCCGGTCCGGTGCCGCCTCCTCCCGGCCCACACCCACCGCCGCCCGAAGCCCGACGTGGCCCTGGCGCCTACCTGGGGCAGCTCCGTCAGGACGCGGTCCCTCCGCACCGGCGCCAGAATGTTCATCTTGCCTGCGTCCTTGCGGGGCGCCCTGAGAAGGCGCGGAGGCCTGATGCGCCCCGGCGACCCGGGCCCGTGGAGACCCGACAATCACCCGAGACCGAGGGGTCCCGACTATAACTCGGGGCCACGGGGAGCCTACGGGAGCCCGTGGCCTCCGGGACGCTACGACCACCGCGGGCCACGGGGATGAGACAATCACCGGGGGCCGGGGCGAACCCACAATCACCCGGGCCCGGGGAGTCCCTAGGACGACTCGGGGCCTGGGAGACCCCTCGGCCTCCAAGTGAGGGCGAGGAGTCCCGTCTGGGGGGACCCGAGTCCGCGCAGACCCTACGATAACTCGGGGTCGGATAGTTCCTACGATAACTCGAGGCCGTGGAGACCCGACGACAACTCGGGGTTGAGGCGGCCCTACCATAACAGAGCAGCCGGGGGGCGCAGAGCGGCCCCGCCACACGGGGTCAGTGTGTGCAGGGACCCCACCGTGTGGCCGGGGACTGCTGCAGGAGGGGGCGAGGGGCCCAGTCCGCCGCAGGGCCTCGCGTCCCACTCGGCTCTCCCTCCGCCAGCGCTGTAACTTGATCCCCGGAAATTCCTGGAAAAGGGCCGCCCCCCGCCCCTCTCCCGGCAACTCCCGGCCTTGCTGCCCGCCCCGGCCTCCCCCTCTTCTCTTCCCCGAGTGCTGCCCCAGGTCAGCCTCCCCTGCCAGACTGACTCGCCAGGGCTCCGGGCCCGCCCTCACCCAGGTTGCAACCTGCCGAGAGCTCCCCCAAGTCTCTCTCCCCAGCATCTCCTGTGCGGGGAGGAGCCTCCAAGGGGACCCTTACCCCGCCGAACTGGTGAAGGGGAATCGGCGATCGCTGCGCAGCATCTGGCTGCGCCAGGAACCAGCGGGAGGGGAAAGGGGGAGAGAAGGGGCCCTAGGAGAGGCGGCGCTTCCCTCATCAACTGCAGGCCCAGGACATGACTCATAGGGTCTGCTCCCGCTCGCCCTTCTGCCCTGGGAGGTGGCGATGCCAGGGTAGGAACGAGGTACCCACCGAAGAGAGAGGTGTCCGAATCTGGTGCCTATTCCTCCAAGGTTGCCGTGTAGATTGGAGGCCTGGGGGGCCGAAGATCAAGCTGCCTCCCTTGATGGAGGATAAAGGAGGGCTAGGGGACCGAGAATTTCCTCCTTTGAGGGGGTCACCGTTCTGGGACATGGGGACTCTCCTTTGGCACGGGCCTTCTTTGCTCCGAAGCCAATGGAATCGACCCCCACTCCCCCAGGGCTTTTCCTTTTTGTAGTCTGCAGGCTAGAAGAGGGGGTGAAGTCGCTCAGTCGTGTCCGACTCTTTGCGACCCCACGGACTGACTATAGCTTAGCAGGCTCCTCCCCGTCCATGGGATTTTCCAGGCAGGAATACTGGAGTGGGTTGCCATTTCCTTCTCCTGGGAATCTTCCCGACCCAGGGATCGAACCCAGGTCTCCCGCATTGCGGGCCACCAGGGAAGCCCAGAAGAAAAAGTAGCACACGGTAAATCTCACCTTCAAAGGGATCCAAAGGGAATCTCTTGATTCCGAGAGAGGAGGGGGAGGACATAAAGGCGATGTGATGGGGCGGGTAAGCAGTCCCTCAAAGAAGCTAAAACCTGAGCGTTTACTAAACCTTGCAAAGTGTCAGGAACTGAATTTGGGGATGTAAAGATAAGTAAAGAAAGGAAAACTATTAAGGGGAGGGGACTGTGAATGAAAGTTCCCGAGAAGAACGAGCGTATCCTGGAGAAATCTGAGCGCTGAGTGTTTGGAATATTGGAAGAGTATCTTCAAAAAGATTTCCAGGAAGACGCATGAAGGCTGTCACAGGTAAAGAGGGGAAAAGTGACCACCTCCTCTGACACTTAGCTCCTCCCTTCTGCCTGACTCGACCAACTAATCACCCTGTTATAAATAAGTCCTCTCCCATCTCTCGACCTCAGTTTCCACAGATGTTGTCTGACGGAGTTGGACTGGACAAATCCTGCTCTAACATTCTAGAATTTTGCTTCACTCTACTGAGTCAATCTAACTACAGTATTAATTCCAGTTTGCAGTGGACCTGCAATCCTTCATCCTCCGTGGTGCTCGTGGTAAAGAGCCCACCTGCCAATGACGGCAAACGTAAGGGACTCGGGTTCGATCCCTGGGTCGGGAAGATCTGGAGGAGAGCATGGCAACCCACTCCAGTATTCTTGCCTGGAGAATCCCGTGAACAGAGGAGCCTGACGGGCTACAGTCCATGGGGTCTCCAAGAGTCAGGCACGACTGAAACGACCACAAGCACACAATCCTCCTCCCTAAAGTTGCTCAAGATGCGAAGCGCTCAGATCCGCGCAGCCGCAGGTTATGCCACTGAAAATAAACGCGTGTCTCCAAAAAACTACAACCCCCATGAAGCTTTAGGGTCTGACAAGCGGAGGGGTGGCGCTAGCTTAGTCTCTCTCGCGAGGAAATAAAAAAAATCTACCTACCATTCCCGACGGGTGCAGCGCTGCAGATTGTCCAATCAGCGTTAAGTATAAAGTATCGCGAGTCTTCGGTGAGAGTTGGCTCTATAAGCCCGTGGTAAGAAGTCTCAGGAACCCTTTTCATGAAGATGGCGCCGAAGGCGAAGAAGGAAGGTGTGTGCTGGGGCTGGGGATCAACAGCTGACTGGCCGAGGGTCCCCGCAGAGTGAATGAACTGGGAGGACGATGGCTGGGCTGACCCTTGCGGTGTCTGCTCCTTAGCAGCTTCTTGCGTTTCGGCAGCGCTAAGGAGCGCGTACGCCCAGCCGCATGGTTGGGGCTCTAGTGAAGGGCGTTGGGGAGGCAAGCCTGGCCTATACCACCTACCAGAGACAGCCGGGTCGTCAGCTCTGGGAAGCTCCATGTTTCCCAGACCTGTAAGGAATCAGTACTCTCAACTGTTTGACCCCACGTTAAATGGGTAGCTGTGCGATGGTATATATAAAACTACTCACATTCTAGCAAGTGCCAAGAGTTCGTCATTGCTAGTTTATTCCTCATTTTATCCTAAGTTCGTCCTAGAATCGTGCATATGATGGAAAAATTTTAATCTCCTGAAACTTGTGATGGCTTCAAAGGAACCACTGATGCACGTGTGGCCTGGGACGGCCACTACCGGTCTTGAGGCCGGAAGTGATTTCTAAACCCCTCACCCTCGTTTTCTTTCCTTTTCTCAGCCCCTGCCCCTCCTAAAGCTGAAGCCAAAGCAAAGGCTTTGAAGGCCAAGAAAGCAGTGTTGAAAGGTGTCCACAGCCACAAGAAAAAGAAGATCCGGACGTCACCCACCTTCCGGCGGCCCAAAACACTGCGGCTCAGGAGGCAGCCCAAATATCCTCGGAAGAGCGCCCCTAGGAGAAACAAGTCAGTACTGCCCCTTGTTCGTGAAAAGATGTTTGGGTATCCGCCATTGGTAATTGGGAAATGTACCAAACCTAGAGTACAGCTCCTCAAAGTCACGTTGGTAGCTAGTGTGCTTGTCTAACGGGAGTATGAGGTTAATGCCACATTGAAACAACTCAGAGTCGTTGTCAAGGTTATAGTCGATTGTTGGATTGTTTCATATGTGGTTTACATTCTGGTGAGTATAAAGTGGAACTGAGTTCCAGGTTTAGGATCTGTATTGGACAGTGAAGGCCTGCAGCAGTATATAGTAGCTTCTTTTCATTTACTTTCCCAAATGTTTACACTGAAGGAATGGTTAGGGGGAGTGAGCAAAAGTTTAGGGTACGTGCGTGTTCTGGTGTCACACTACTGGTGATGACCGACCTTATGGAGCACAGTTGAGAGCAGAGCCATGGTAGTGGTTACCACCAAAGGTAATTTAACCATTGCTTCCTACGAAAAAGGCAGGAGAGTAGATTGTGTCCACAGAGAAAAGAACTTTTACCCCCATTTGGACCTAGATGATAGGTGATGAGAGGTTGAGACCTGATCTCTATCTTCAAAAAAGGACAGTGTACCCAGGCAAACAGAGCTTTGCTTCCAGAATTTCAGAGGGAAAGCTGTGTCCTGAGGGGCTATTGTAACTTTAACCTAGGCTGTAAATAAAAAGTTGTTCTCAAGAATTGATGGCTTGTCACCACTTTTCAGTAATCGAAACAGGGAAAAACAGTCAATTCAGTCTCATAGTGAAGTACCAACATTCTTTGGAACCCTAGCCTGGATTTCAGGATTCCATAGTCTTAACTTTGCTCTTGGGTTTGGTTTTCTAACCTCTTAAGTCTCAACTTTCTTTTAGAAACTTGCTCCTCAGGAATGTTGGTCAGGTAAAGAATGAAGAGGGTTGGAACTCAAAGATGATTGTTTAATCTCTTAAAAGGATGAAAGCCCTTGAAATGTCACTAAGCCAAGGCTCCAGGTCCCCAGGTTTCAGGGTGCATGTGATGACACTGTTCAGCGACCAAAGTCTGACAGAAATGATTGCTATCATTGTCTGATGCACCTGGGCTCTTTGGGCCTTGGGCTCCAAAAAAGGGCCCATCCTTTTATTGGACCCATGCCAGGTAACCCCGTTTTACCTTTCTCCCAGACTTGACCACTATGCCATCATCAAATTCCCCCTCACCACCGAGTCAGCCATGAAGAAAATAGAAGACAACAACACACTGGTGTTCATTGTGGATGTCAAGGCCAACAAGCACCAGATTAAACAGGCTGTGAAGAAGCTCTATGACATTGACGTGGCTAAGGTCAATACTCTGATCAGGTGGGTGAGTGGGGCCCTGTGGGATGGGGAGGAGGCTAGGGCCTCTGTCATCTAAATGGCATGAAATTCCTTGATGCTGCTTTTGGGGTCCGAAGTAGGCTTCCCAGAACGTCAGCTGTCCTGTCTCTAGGACTTAAGGGTTAGTGCTCATTTTCCTGATCCCTATCTCTAGGCAAAAGCAGGCCCTAGAGTAAGGTACACTTAATGTCAGAATACCTGTGGTTTGTGGCTTAGTGGCTTCCCTGACTCCCCCTGTGCAAATGATGGGGGGAAAAAGTCACTATTGGTGAGGGAAAAAAATGACATGAACAAAGGAACCACTGATGCACCAGAAGTCTGGGTGGAAGAGGGTATGGGGGCAATGAGGGGCTGCAAGGATTAAGGCTTCCTTCACCACCCTAGGCCTGATGGAGAGAAGAAGGCATATGTTCGACTGGCTCCTGACTATGATGCTTTGGATGTTGCCAACAAAGTAAGCTTCCTTTGCTACAAACTCCTTAACACTCTCCCTTCCTGGGTGCAAATGATGTGTCTGTTAGTGACCAAAGCCTGACTTCGGTGATTAGTCTTAACTGACTGACTGCACCTCTGTCTTTTAAAAATACTGTGACATTCCCTCTTAATCTTCACATTTCAACTCCCAGTAACAGTTCCCTTTTGTTTTTCAGATTGGGATCATCTAAACTGAGTCCAGCTGGCTAATTCCAAATATAAAAGTTTTCACTATGTATATACTTCTTGTCTTTATGTTGATTTTTGGGTGAGGGGCCATACTGTGGTACATAAACACTTAAGTAACCAGGCTTGATTGGTCAAGATTCTTGGTCTACTTACCCTGTTGGAACACTCAGCCATATACTTCACCATACTTGCACCAGAGATTTATGACCCAGATTAGAGTTGGTTGTCCTAGGACAGCTACAACTTGACCTCTATCCTGGAGGTAAGAGACCAAGCAAGAAGCTTTACAAGAACACCTTCCTTTATCTGGAAGAGGCTTGGTATGAGACCAATATCCAGAGGTTCCATTAGCATCCATTTTAGGGCTGTGTGGCTTGGCTGGCTTTGCAGTAGCACCTTACCCCACACCCATCTACCTCGTCCAACCGGTCTGTCTGCTTCCCTCACCCCTTGCCCCAGAAAGGACAAGGACTTCAGAGACATTCTTTCATTAGTGTTTTAAATAGTAGGAGCAGGCTTGGTGGAGAGGCTGGCCCCAAGAGAACACCTCAGGCGAGGGGCTAAGCCTCTTCTCCATTCCTGTGAGGCTGTTCTTGGCGGTGTTTGTTGTCCTTGCCACAAATCCCTAACTGCTTTTTCACTCAGTCAAGAACTTGTCTTTGTGTTGGTGGCTGGGGACGCGCTGGGGACAGAAGTCTGAGCGGAGGAGGCGGGAAAAGTAGACAAGGATCATGACATCCAGCATGAGCAGGATGGCCAGCAGAAAGGTTCCCAGGGTCCTCTGGCCTGCGTAACCCAGGAAGAGATGGGTGAGGTAGGCCTGAGGGGCCAGGCGGAAGAGGAAGTACATGACCAAGTTGATGTATTTGTTGACCCGATAGAGGAGGAGATGCTGGGCATTATTGATCTTCATCATCATGCGTATTGTGAGGAAGATGTTGCTGACTTCCACCAGCAGTGTTAGGACACCCCCACCAACAAATCTGCTCCAAAAGATGCCTGAAAAGAAGGCACCCATAGCCTACAAGGCAAGGGAGAGAATGGGTTAGGGCCCAGATACCACGGTTTCCTTGGAACTTAGTGGGAATATCCAGGGTATCAGGAGGGATAAGAAGTCCTTCAATATCTTCACTCTGAAACAAAGCTTACAGTGGATTCAACAGTAGTAAACCTTGATCTCTGCCCACACTGGCTGGAAGGCCATGATTGCCAGCCAAGTAGTGAACCAAGGGCTCATTCTAGCCCTCAGCACTGTAGCATGAGATGTGGGACATGGTGGGGATGGGGTTTAGAAAAGATGGTCTTTACCTTCGAAGTTCAGGTAGCTTCAGGTATAGGCACCAAGCCTATACCACATCCCCAGCTTCTCACTTACCATGACGTGGTGGACGAGATATTCCCATGAAGCTCTTGACTGATGGCTAATCACGATATCCACCGTGTCGTGGATGAAATACCCTAGCGGAGGGACGGGGGAGAGGTTGTAAAGGGTACCGAATTAGAAGTTTATCCCTGTCTCCCCACCCATTTAATGCCTCCCGGCAAGATCTACCTGCGGAGAAGCAAACAAGCAGGTAGCCAGAAAGCGACCATGCTTTCTCAATCTCCACCAGCATCTCAGGGGTCTGCCATATGCTGAAAGAGGGAAGAAGGCAAGCTATCATTTCAGTATCCCAAAGGTCCCACAAATCCCCCTATTACCCTAGCCAGTCCGCTATTGGCTGACGGGGGAGCGAGGAGGGGCTTGGCTGAAACCCAGGTGTGTCCCGTTTCCCAGGTGAGAAACCTCCCCCCTGCCCCCCGGCCGCCTGGGGCTGTCGCCGCTCCTGGTTGGACAGCATTACAAGCAGAGAATCAGGTGAGACTGACTGGGCCACAGCCCGCCGGTGAGTGATGGAAAGAGGAATCCCTAGCCACCTTCACTCCCCCAGTCCTTCACTCACCACAGCAGCGCCCAGATCCCTGACACAATGGAATGCGCGAAGGAGACGAGCAGGTTGTGCCAGCGCCAGGTCCGCAGGGGGTCGGCCCGCACGTGAGCGGGCAGGGGCAGGCGACAGAGCGCGTGCCGGACTGCCCGGAAGGTCAGCGTGGCGCCCAGGAGAAGCGGCAGGGCGGGGAGCAGCATTGGGGGCATGCTGGCCCTCCCTGCCTCTGTCCGCCCTCCAGGTGGCCTCCTCCGGCTGTTCGGGGACGGGGCTCCCTCGCGGACCAGTCCACCCTGGATCCCTGTCCTGCCAGCCGCCGACTTCACACACAGGGTTTCGGCAGAGCCCTGTAGGCCCCTTCGCTCCTCCTGTCCCCTCCCTGCCGGCCTCTACCCCCGCCCCCAGCCGCCCGCGCCCCCGCCCCGCCCCGCCCTTCCCGCCTGTCCCCGCCCCTCCGGCGCCTCTGCGGCGCAGAGGGCACTAGCCCCATTTCCCCCGGGCCCCCCAGGCCCGCCAGGCTTCCGCGGACTTCCGTCAAAAGGAGCTGTCCTGGGGGCGCCGCCGCCGAGCCACCCCTCGCTGGCGCCTCCCGACGGCCGACGGAGTCCCACTTCTCTCGCTTGGCCTCGCTAACCCTCAGCCACCCTTTCCCCAGGCGTTCCGGCTCCCCAGCCTGGGCGCCTACTGAGAGAACTTTCTCTCCGCCTTCAACTCTTTGGTGGGCAGAGCGGAGCGGAGCGAGACCCCTCACAATCCACGTCCTTAATCCCTGGTCCCAGGGACCAGCCGGTACCCCGCTTCGTACGGTGATCTCCGCCCGGACCTTGTTCCACTGGATCACTAGTTTCTTGGCGCCCAAGACGTACATGTTTACCTGCCTCTACCTCGCCCCGCACCGAGTCGGTGCCTAGAAACTGTCGACTAACTCTTCAGCACCCCTCCTCCCAGCCGGCTCTTGGGCTCCTGGGGCCGCGCGGCACTCACAGTCCTCCCTCACAGTCCCAGCTCTCTTCTCCCGGCTCCCTAGAGGCTGGGGCGGGGAAGACGGCCAATTTGCCCAGGCCGCCAGGGTGACTCTGCAGGCCAGGGGACTGGAGCAGATGCAGCTCGCGACCACAAGGTGTCAGCCTATCCTCACCGTGGCGCGGATCCCCTCCCACGGCCAAAGAAAAGAGGTGATTGTTTGGGGTGGAGAGTTAGCCAGACTCCGCAAACAGAAGGGCGGTGGAGAGCTGGGGATGGGGCGGAGGGGGCGGAGGTGCTGTGAGTGGGAAGAAATATCAGAAGCCTTGAGGCGCCAAGAGGTTTGGGTGTTTGCTCTGCTTCCCCTGCTGACTCCAAGGTTACACATTAACCCCTTTGGGGCTCCTTGGTCAAGCCAGGCCTGATCGGTTTCTAGGTGAGAGCACGGAGTGTCACGGCTGAGCGGTTTTCCCCCTTGCGCTCCCCTTTGCTCTCAGGGCAGCTTTGTCCGCTAGCCACACCGGCCTGAGCCAGACGGAGGTTTGGGGCGGGGGGTGGGGAGGGGGGTTCCTCATGAGGGGCCCTTCTAGTAGTCATCCGCGTGGATAAGTTTGGGCACCCTTTCAAGGGGCAGAGTAGGAGCTGAAGATAAATACCCCTTTTCTCACATTCCTCGCCCACTCAGAAATAGGGACGCTTTCCCTTAGCTCATCACCATCCTTCCTGCTTCCTTAACTGAGCTTTTATGGAGCTATGGAGCTCGTGAAGAGCAGGAGGCGCCAGGGAGAGACCTGAAATTAAACACACTTCTGATCAAGACCTTAAACAAGTGTACAAACCAGCCCCCCTACCTCTGGGCAGAACCCTTGAACTTATATCAGCTGAACGACTCATTCTCCCTCTTCCCGATTCTTTCAGGTAGCAGTCCACTTCCCTCCCATCTTCTCCCAAGGAGGTCCTCTCTAGTTAAGTGTTGAAGTCAGATTACTCTGCTGCAGCGGCAAAAGTTGTACTTGTGCTCTGGGGAGTTGAGAGTGTTGACGAGCTCAGAGCTCACCAGTCGGGACAGCCCGGAAACCGTGTCACGTCCTCCCTAGGTGAATCAACTTACACAGCTCAGGGTTTCCCCCGTCCCACCCTAGGCAAACACGAAACTAGCCTTGCACCCTGCCCACAGACCGAGAGCGCTGACTCGGTTAAGTTTTGGTAGTTGATCGTCTGCGTGCTAATGAGAATCTTCCCTGTACTTCGAAAACATTGTGATTTTTTAAAAAAGAAAGAAAACAGCATGATTAGTGGACAAAGAGTGGGGCAGAGAGAGATCCGTCCTTTCTTCCCACCCTCTCTTGACCTGCGCGGGGAACCCCTCCGGTCTAAGGAAGAACTGCAAGGGCCGGATGCGGCCACGTGTGTAGGCAGTGGCTGGTACAGTGCTGACCTTTGCGGGGCGTGCCAAGAAATGGCATATCGCCCTATTCCTTGGACCCTAGAAGGCCGACTGCGGATCCGAAATGCAGAAAGTGTGCAAGTGAGCAGAGACAAATAAGAGGCTGAACCAACACCTAACTCCACTAGCTCCTCCCCGTAATTATCTTGAATGGCAGTGGGCGTGGTTCTAGAGAGGGCGGGTCCGCGCACGCGCTGCCTTTGGGTTTGGGGGTTCCGGAAATGTGACTCGGAGAAATGAGATGGAGAAGTACGAGCGGATCCGAGTGGTGGGCAGAGGTGCCTTCGGGTGAGCCAGGGCTCTGGGGGAGGAAAGCGCTTGGGGAAAGGGAAAATCAGCCCCCCAGTTCTGACCTCAAAATAGCCGCCCATGTAGCCCCGCCCCGAGGCGTGAGCGCCCACTCCGGGAAGCCCCTCCCAGGCTTCCGGTTCTAGTCCTGCTTGGGAAACTCCGCCTCCAAGGAGGTCACGCCCCTGGCCGGCCTTCGCGGCCCCCGCAGTTTGTTCTTTAATCCTGACTCATTCATTCAACAAATGCTGAGCGGCTGCTATAGTCGTCAGGCTTTCGGTGCTGTGTATACAGTTAAGACCAAAACAGGCGTGGTCTTCTCCCTCTTGGAGCTTACATACTACCTGAAAATTATACTATAAACAGGACGTTGTTAAAGCAGTGATTAACAAACAGAATAGAGTACAACATGAGGGAGTGTTCATTTGGGATGGTTAAGGAAAAGTTCTCTGAGAGGTGAAATTTAAAATCAAGACTTGAGGAATGAGAACCGATCCGTAGTGAAAAAAGCAAAGTTTCTCAAGCGAAGGAAACAGCTTTTGCTAACGTCCTCACGTGGGAAAGAATTCAGAGTATTCAAGGAACTGAGAAGAAGACTAATGTCATTGGAATGTAGTGGGCAAGGTAAAGAATGGAATAAAATGTGATTGTCACAGAGGGCGGGAACCAGATTATGGCCTTGTGTGTGTGTGCGTGCATGCTAAGTCACTTTAGTCGTGTTCCACCGTGTGTGACGCCATGGACTGTGTCCCGCCAGGCTCACAATATTTTGGAGGTAGTAGAAACAGGGTTTACAGATATGTTAGTGTGAAATGGAAGAAAAATTCTGGCATGATTTTCAGGTGTCTGACTTTTAATAACTAGTGGATGGTGGTATCATTTACTGAAACAGGAGGAACTGAGGAAGGAAAGGTCAGGGATCAAGAGTTTTGTGTTTGTTACATTTTAGAATGCTTGTGGGCCATTCAAGGAGAGATACAAAACAGGTAGTTGAAAATGTAAGTCTGAGGCTCAGAGAAGTCTGAGCTGGAGATAGACATTTGATACTTAGAGAATCCTTCATTCAGCAGATACTCGTAGAGCTCTTTCTAAGTGCTGGGGTAGCACTAGGCTATGCACTGGGGCTATAGTGGTGAAGGAGAAAGAACAAAACCCTGCTTTTATGAACACTGACTACAGAGTTGGAAGAAAATAATATAATGAATGGCTCCTGCTGATTGAGTATTTTTGATGTGCCAGGTAGTGTGCTAAGTGCAGAACTTGCATTTTCTTATTTGATCCTCTCAACTACCTTGTGAGATCGACCCTATTTTTTCCAGAACCTGATGTCACGTAATTTAAGACCAGATAACTTGTAAGAGGAGGAGCCAAGATTTGAACCCAGGCAGTTAACTCCAGAGTCTGTGGGGACTTACTGAGCCCAGGACTAACTTTACGTCTTGGAGCCTATGGTGAAACTGAGTCCCGGGGACTTACTGAGCCCAGGACTAACTTTACGTCTTGGAGCCTATGGTGAAACTGAGTCCCGGGGACTTACTGAGCCCAGGACTAACTTTACGTCTTGGAGCCTATGGTGAAACTGAGTCCCGGATAAGTTTAAAGACTTGCCAAAGGTCTCGCACAGTTTGTGGTCTGTTCTCCCTACTCCTCACTCATGTTCTGTACACTTACTTAGATGGCTTCTTAGTGTAGGTGCTTATTCCCCTGTTCTAAGAAACATCCAGTCACCAGTCTGACCTGCTTGATACGTGGCTGGAGGCTCAGTCCCTACTCCTGTCTTCCATGTCCTCAGGATTGTTCATCTGTGCTTGCGCAAGGCTGACCAGAAGCTGGTGATCATCAAGCAGATCCCTGTGGAGCAGATGACCAAGGAAGAGCGGCAGGCAGCCCAGAACGAGTGCCAGGTCCTCAAGCTGCTCAACCATCCCAACGTCATTGAGTACTACGAGAACTTCCTGGAGGACAAGGCTCTCATGATCGCCATGGAGTACGCACCAGGTGGGACAGCCTTCTTGCATTGGCCTGAGGGCCTCTCGCCACTGGGACAACCCCGATTCCCTCTTTGGAGTGGGCTTGGCTGAGGGTCCAAGGTATATAGAGTTCTGACCCCAGGAGTGTGATACTGGCAGAGCTTCCTTGCCCTGTCTGGGCCTTCAGTTTCATAAAAGGGAATGCTCGAGCACAGAGAAGCCTCGGTCTTGACGAGCTTCCTGTGGCTGCAGGCGGAACCCTGGCCGAGTTCATCCAGAAGCGCTGTAACTCCCTGCTGGAGGAGGACACCATCCTGCACTTCTTTGTGCAGATCCTGCTGGCACTGCAGCACGTCCACAGCCACCTCATCCTGCACCGGGACCTCAAAACCCAAAACATCCTTCTCGATAAACACCGCATGGTCGTCAAGATCGGCGACTTTGGCATCTCCAAGATCCTTAGCAGCAAGAGCAAGGCCTACACGGTGCCTGGGGTGGAGGGGCCCTCAAGGGTGCTGGAGGTTTTGGGGGGCCAGGTCTACTTGGCATCTCTGTCTCCATCCCTGCATCCCCAAGACCTCAGCCCTTGGGTCCCTGGCTGGGTGGTCCCGCAAGAGGAAACACTTTGGCCTGCTTTGAAGGGACGCTGTCTCCAAGTGGGCTTTGGGGCCAGAGCCTTGGTCCTCCCGCCCCAGCTGTAATAGCAGCTCCCCTCCTGCAGGTGGTGGGTACTCCCTGCTACATTTCCCCTGAACTGTGTGAGGGCAAGCCCTACAACCAGAAGAGTGACATCTGGGCCCTGGGCTGTGTCCTATATGAGCTGGCCAGCCTCAAGAGGGCCTTCGAGGCTGCGGTGAGTAAGTCCCCCGAAGGGGAACAGCTGGGAAATCCCTCCCTCTGTCTCCTGAAGTCCCTGGCCCCAAGCACCATTATATCTCTCTCTTCAAGCTGGTGGATTACCCCCAGCCAGGGCTGCACGTCCCCTCACACCGTGGGTTCCTGAGGTTAGGGCATGTGTCCTCCCTTAAACTGGAGACTCCTGAGGGTAGGACTCTCCCATCAGATTAGGGACTCTCCTAAGGCAGGACTTGAGTTTTCCCCAATAGGCAGCCAGCGGACAGGGCTGCAGCTCCCCTGTCAGCGGTTCTTGAAAGCCGGGTTTGGTTCACCTATCCTCCTAGGAGTCCCATTAAGACACCCAAGGCTTCCAAGTGAGTGCAGAGCTGCGACCACCCCACCAGGCTAGGGGCTGGAGCTGGGGGTGCTGCTGATTTAAGAGCCTGGCTGAGGCTCCGCTACCTTCACAGAACCTGCCAGCGCTGGTACTGAAGATCATGAGCGGTACCTTCGCGCCCATCTCTGACCGGTACAGCCCAGAGCTGCGCCAGCTGGTTCTGAGTCTGCTCAGCCTGGAGCCCGCCCAGCGGCCACCGCTCAGCCACATCATGGCGCAGCCCCTCTGCATCCGGGCGCTCCTCAACCTGCACACAGACCTGGGCAGTGTCCGCATGCGGAGGCCGGTGCAGTGAGGAGGGCGGGAGGGGGCCCTGGGAAGCCGGGGTTGGGGGGCACCCAGGGGAGGTCTGGGGCACAGGGGTGCTCTGGGCCAGTCCTCTCTGCCTTAGTGTGGGATCGTCAGGGAGGGTCCTTGTCCTGACGCCCACCGCATCTGTCCCGCAGGGCAGAGAAGCCCTTGGCCGCTGGGCCACCCATGGCCCCGGGCACTACAGGAAGCAGGACCACCAGCGCCCGGTGCAGAGGTAAGTCGGGCGGGCGGGGCGACCGCCAGGGTCCATGCAGCGTTCGCACCTATGTAACGGGCCTGATGAGCTGTCCCCGCAGGCGTCCCCCGGGGACCAGCACGGCCGGCCATCCCGCCGCCGCTGTCGTCGGTGTACACGTGGGGCGGCGGGCTCAGCGCGCCGCTCCGGCTGCCTATGCTCAACACGGAGGTGGTTCAGGTGGCAGCCGGGCGCACGCAGAAGGCCGGCGTCACTCGCTCCGGGCGCCTCATCCTTTGGGAGGTGAGCAGCCAGCAGGGGTGGGTCAGAACCGAGGCGGAGCGGGGTCCAGAGCTGAGCGCTCAGGCCCCGCCCACGCCCTCCCCGTCCCCTCTCAGGCCCCGCCCCTTGGCGCTGGAGGTGGCACCCTCCTGCCGGGGGCGGTGGAGCAGCAGCAGCCCCAGTTCGTCTCCCGTTTCCTGGAGGGTCAGTCGGGTGTGACTATCAAGCACGTGGCCTGTGGGGACCTCTTCACCGCCTGCCTGACTGGTGAGCCGGTCAGGGCCCTCCCCTGTGGGGACTCGGCTTTAAGAAGGCCCCCAGAGCAATTTCCATCAGTTGCCTGTCATTTGCTAATCACGCTTTTATCTTCCAGGAGGTGCTTTACTTACAGATCTCCCTTAACCTTCCTAGTGGACCTGGCAAGACAGTTAGATTCCCATTTGCCAGATCTGGAAACTAAGGCTCAGACACTGACACTTGTCCAGAGTCACACACTTGGGGAAGAAAGAACCCTGTCCTTGACTCCCCTCACCCCGTTCTTCCAGCCCTAGCTGCCAACTAACTTTTTCTCGCTCCTCTAATCCAAGGTTGCACTGGTCTGTCTGGAAGAACAGCTTAAACTGTCTCCTTTCCCTCACTGCCCCCTTCCCCAGACCGAGGCATCATCATGACCTTTGGCAGTGGCAGCAACGGGTGCCTAGGCCATGGAGGCCTCAATGACATCAGCCAGGTGGGTTCTGCCTGCACCCTGGGGAGGAGGAAGTGGGGACATGGCAAGGAGCCCACATCTGAGAGCTGACACCCAGGTTGGGGGAAGGGGAATCCCCAGCAACCACGGTCCCAGTAGCTTCCAGGCTGCACCTGTTCTGGGCAACATCTGGGGAAGTACAGAAAGAGCAGGCTTCCCCAGCGGGTGCAGTACATGTGGGGGGTAGTTAAAGAGACAGCCACCTCATGAGACCTTGCAACTTCCAACTTCATCCTTACAGGAAATGCTGAGGCCTGGTGGCTAACCAGGCCCCTTGCCCAGTCTGCCCTTGCTTTCTCTCTCTCTCTCTAGCCCACCATCGTGGAGGCTCTGCTGGGCTATGAGATGGTGCAGGTGGCTTGTGGGGCCTCTCATGTGCTGGCCTTGTCCACTGAGCGAGAACTATTTGCTTGGGGCCGTGGAGATGGTGGTAAGTTTTCACTCTGTTCCAGCCTTTGGAACCCCCCAGCTATGGTTTCATAGCCACGAACCCCCTTCATAGTCATCTTCTATCTCATGGCCTGTTCTCTTGCCCTTCTTTTCTCTCCGATTCATTTGTTCACTCCACAAACCTTCATTGTGCACCCACTATGCACCCACCTTGTCCAGAGTGCTGGACAAGATGAATAAGATGTCGATTCCTTCGGGCACTCATGATGTCATGAGAGAGACTTCATTTCTCCAGCCATATTTGTTGTGGTCCTCTCTGGGTCAGGCATCAGGCTGGGCATTGAAACTAGAGACTTAGATGGGGTCCTTGTCCTCCTAGGGGACTCAGTCTAAGTGAAGGAGGATCACAGGGGATATATCTCCAGCATGATAGAGGACAGACAGCCACAGGACTCCCCCCAAGGTCAAGAGGTGTGGGAACCCAAGGAATGGCAAGAGGCTCCACTTGGAGAAGACAGATATGGCATCTGAACAGGGCCTTAAAGGAGGAATAGGATTTTGACCCACAGAGGGACCAAGGATGGGCATTTCAGTCTGGGGAAGAGCCTTCATTCATGCCGTCTCCTCCTCTCCATGGGCCCTCTTTATCCTAGTATCATCAGTCCTAAAGCTCAGATGAGCCCAGTCCTGATTTCTCCTTACAGGTCGACTGGGACTAGGCACTAGGGAGTCCCATAGCTGCCCGCAGCAGGTGCCCACGCCCCTGGGACAGGAAGCCCAGAGGGTCATATGTGGCATTGACTCCTCCATGATCCTCACAGTGCCTGGCCGAGCCCTGGCCTGTGGGAGCAACAGGTAAATGGGAGCAGCAGGTACCTAGGTGCGCTATGATGGCTAGCCTCCCCCCACGCCCCCCACCCCCCTTAGCTGCCAGCGTTCCATCTGTCACTGCCTACCTCCCACCAAGGATTAGAAGTGAGGAGGGCTTAAGTCCAACCCAGGGTGGGACCTGTTCAACCCAACCTGCTGTGAGTTCAGCCCAGGGTAGGGCCTGTCCCCTGGTGCACCAGCTCCTGCCCAGATAGGTGAGGGGGAGGACAGTCTATCTAAAGTGTGTCAGTTGAACTGGCTCCTGGCTCTGTCCTCAGGTTCAACAAGCTGGGCCTGGACCACCTCTCCCTAGGGGAGGAGCCTGCCCCACACCAGCAAGTGGAGGAGGCCCTGAACTTCACTCCACTAGGTTCTGCACCCCTGGACCGGGAGCCCTTGCTGAGTGTGGACTTGGGCACTGCTCATTCAGCTGCTGTAACTGGTAAGTAGGACCTGGACACCATAGGCCAAAGGCGGATTATCTTGGCTTCCTTGGGCCCTTTTCTTCCTTACCTCTCTTCTTCTACAGCCTCTGGTGACTGCTACACTTTCGGCAGCAATCAGCATGGGCAGCTGGGTACCAACGCTCGCAGGGTCAGCCGGGCACCCTGTCAAGTCCAGGGCCTCCAGGGCATCAAGATAGCAATGGTGGCCTGTGGGGATGCCTTCACTGTCGCCATTGGGGCAGGTGATTAATGAACATTATGGGGACAGATGGGGGTGTTGGCAGACCCTTGGGCAGTGGGGGTTATGCTCAGGGCTGCTGAACTCAGCAACCCCATGTGGGGGCCAGTAGGGCAATCTAGGAGGCTAGCTGCTTGCTAAACTCTGTCCTTGTCCCATTGCTTTCCTTGGGATTCTCTTTGGCAGAAGGTGAAGTGTACTCCTGGGGCAAAGGGGCCCGAGGTCGCCTGGGAAGGAGAGATGAGGACGCCGCACTCCCTAGGCCAGTGCAGCTGGATGAGACCCACCCCTACACGGTGACCTCCGTGTCCTGTTGCCATGGCAACACTCTCCTGGCTATCCGCCGTGAGTTATAACTTCAGCCTCACCCACACAAGGGTTAACCCAGCTGGCTCCTGCCCATACTCTCATCCCCAGCGGTCACACCCCAAATTGCTAAAAGCATCTTCAGCTCCCAGATAAATGAAAGCAGAAGCTGCAAGGCCAAAGTGAGCTCCCAGGGCAGGCAAGAGTAAGCAGTTCTTGGGCCTCACTGAAGGGCTGCCCCCTCTGCTCCCTGGGGATCGAATGCATTCTTTCTCCTCCAGCCCTCAAGTCCAGTTTCTGTTTGAACCTCTGTTTCTGGGCCTGGCAGGATCCAGAGTCCAGGGCCCTGTGTGGGAGAGAGTGGAGGGAGCTGAGGCTTGCTGGAGGCACTGCTCTCTGGGAGGCTGCAGGGATTTCTCTTTTGTACTCCCCAGCGGTCACGGATGAGCCAGTCCCCCCTTGACACACCTGGATACACTGCCGGGCTACCCTGATATTGCTTCTCCTGTGAATGTTCTTGAAAACTGCAGGCGCCACACTGGATTGTATCATCAATGGGGTATAAGGACCAGTAAAACCCCTGCTCTGCTTTCGGCTCTGGATATGGGATTCCCTGGTGGCTCAGTTCGATCCCTGGGTTGGGGAGGTCTGGAGTAGAAAATGGCAACCCACTCCAGTATTCTTGCCCCGGGACAGAGGAGCCTGGCGAGCTCCTACAGGGCTACAGTCCATGGGGTCACAAAGAATTGGGACACGACTTAGCGACTAGACAACAACAAATGTTAAAACAACCCACTCAATTCCCCCAACATCCTAGTTTCCCCTCCCCACCCCTTCTTATCTTTAGTTAATGTCCCCAGGGTTCAGCCTGGCTAGAGTTGGAGGCCATAGTAACTTTTGGAAGCAGGGTGGTCTCCGGAGCCTCTGCAGAAAAAGGCTGGAGGCGGCTGTGTGGCTCCACCGAGACCCTGCCCCTTCCCCCAGTTAGCAAATAAGTCCCTGGTGTCTACTGGGAGAGCAGCGCGGTGCTTTGGAGTAGGGCAAGCTGGGGCCTGCCTGGACTGGCCATTCCAGCGACCTTGCCCCTGCATCGCCTGGGGCAGGGAGGTCCCGGGAGTGCTGCCGCCCGCCCCCACTCCTATATCCAGAGGCAGGGGTTTACATAGTTTTTGAGTGCCTCCCTTCCCCTGCGGGGGTGCATAGGCTGCAGTACACTCAGAAGGTGGCCCCTCACTCCATGCCATTCCCCCAAAGCTGGTTGGGAGAAGGGGTAGCTGGCTGGACCAGACTAGCTTCACAGATGACTGGGAGGGTAGCGCGTCAATAAAAAAGAAAAAACCAGCTGCCTGCCCAGAGTGTGGTCTCTTCAGGGGTGGGGGCGGCCACCCCAGGGCTGGGCAGGGCTGGGCTGGGCTTGATCTGGGCAGCAGAGCCGCGGTCCAGGGAGGAATGTGGGCGCAGCCTGAGGCTGGGGCCGAGGTTCCTCTGGCCCGGGGCCCAGCCCGGCCTCCCCGCCCAGCTGGACTCCCCGGATCTGGTTGCTATGCTTCAGCTGCCTAGCACCTGGAGGCTGGAGCCCCGGGCCCCTGAGCGACACGTGGCCCCCGAGACCGAGCTGTTGACTCCGGAGAAGCGAATCTTTGCGGCGCGGCCCGGCCGGTCCCCCGAGGCCCTCCGCCCCATCCAGCGTCCGAGCTCCTTCCGACCTCCCGAGCCCTGGAAGGAAGCGGGGCCTCGGTTTTTCTTCCCGAGGGGAAGGGGGAACCCCTGTTCCTCGGCGGTGTTGAGTCTGGCAGAGCGCCGACCCCGAAGCCGCCGGCCGGCAGGGTGGGTGGGGAGCGCGGCGGAGCGGGCGCTAGGACCGCGCGGGCGCGGCCCCGCCCCCTCTTCCGGCGGGCGGGCTCAGGGGCCGCGAGCGGGCCCCGGCCGCCAGTCGGCGCCGCCCGGAGCCGGGAGCGCGGCCGGAGCGAGGCACGGGCTGTGGGGCCTTCGCGCACCCGGCCCCGCTCGCCCGTGCCCGCCCGCCATGCCCGGCTTTGACTACAAGTTCCTGGAGAAGCCCAAGCGGCGGCTGCTCTGCCCGCTGTGCGGGAAGCCCATGCGCGAGCCCGTGCAGGTTTCTACCTGCGGCCATCGCTTCTGCGACACCTGCCTGCAGGAGTTCCTCAGGTGCGGCCCGGGACGGGGGGAGCGGGGCCGGCCGACCGGGGGGGACGGGAGACGCTGCCCAGGGAGGGCCGGGGCCGGGAGCACACCTGCTCTTTGTCTGTGCCGCGTCCCGGTGACCTCAGGGGTGCCCGCCGTGACGTCACGGGGCTACGGTGACGTCACGCCCCCTAGGGAGGGCCACCCCCCCACTCACGAATCCGTAGGGTCCCGCGTGCCACGTGCCCGGTGGGACGAATCCCGTGCCTTCCCGCGGGGTGGAGGTGGGAAAGGACGCCCTTCCTGACCTGCGACCGGCCCTTCCCCCTCACCTGCGAGCCAGAGCGGCCTCGGCCTTGAACTTTGAATCCTTCTGGGAAGAGGAGGACAAAACCCTCTGTCCCGCGCGGCGCCTTAAGCCTCCGGAGTTTTCACCCATCTAAGCCCTTCTCTTGTTTCCAATGTTCCCAGAACGGCAGCTATTGTTCTCCCATTTCACAGATTCAAAGAAAGACTGCGATTTGCCCACGGGTCGCGCACCTACCTACAGGCGCACAACTATCTAACGGCTGGGTGGGGGTGTCAGCGCGGGCGGTTTGTGCTCGAACGATAGGGGGAGGACTGTGACGCCCCGATCTTCAGTGAAGCAGGAGTCCGTTGTTGGGTGCCCCTCCCCGCCTCTGGGGGTCTTGGATACCGCGGATGGTCTAGATCGTTAGGGAGGGGCCCGCACCCCGCCGTTTCCCGCCCCTGCTTATCCGTTCCTCGGCTCTTAGGGCCCCATCGAGTTCTGGGCGCCCTGAGCTGTCCTGAGTCTCCAGCCCGCGCTGGGAACTGCACTGTCCGGGGCGTGGGGAGGCCGGAAGAGGGAGCCCCGGATCTTGGGGTCGTCCGCCGAGAGCCGCGGGGAAGGTGGGCTAGCCGCTGCCGTGTGTCAGGAGGCTGTGTGCTGAGGGTTCGCGGGGCCCAGGCTGCGAGAGCACCTCCAGGGCTCGTGCCTGAAAGGTCCCCTGCCTTCGTCCTCCGCGGCCCCTAGCCCTGCGATCTTCGCAGGCCCCTTTGTTTTGCTGTGTTCCCCGCAGCCTGGACCGGTCCTGCCCTCACATATGCTCCTGCTCGAGCCTCGGTGCAGGCCCCCTCCTCCTCTTCTCTCCCCTCCTCCCTCCTCCCGTCCGTGTACACACGCTCTCCTACCGACACACAGCCCCATTGTCTTCTTCCGTGCCCTCCCCGGCCCTCTGGTTTCCAGATGAGGCCAGCTGAGCCTCCCCCCCTCTTCAGCTGACCCACCCTGCCTGCCTCGAGGGAGGATCGGGGGAGGGGGCTGTCAGGCTGGTTTCCCTCCCTTCTGCCCCTCTCGGCGGCTTCTACCCCTCCCCCTCCCGGAAATCCCCTCTTCCTCTCCCCCAGCCCCCTCCCCCATCCTGTCTTCTCCCCTGGGCCTGGGCCTCCACTGCACAGCCTGGAGCGCTCGGCCCCGGCCTGCCCCCACCCCACGGCTCACTCTGAGGCCCGGGGAGGGAAGGGCGCTGCCCCACCCACCCTAACAGCTAGGGTGTCCGCCGTCCTGGGGGAGCCTTTGTTCTGGCTGGGCCCCAAGCTGCCCAGGCTAATCTTCTGCCTGAAGCCTGGGGACTTGCCTCAGCCCCCCTCCCTGACTCCAGAACCGCGAAGTCAGCACATTCCTGAAGCAGCCAAGCTGACCCCCCCCTCCAGGCCCACCCCTCGTCCCCGGCTCTTGCCAGGGCTATTACTCAGGTTGGTCCAGGAAGGCCGGTTGCCCCGTGGGCACGGGCACACCTCCTCAGTGCCTGGGCATGTATTCGTCTGGGTATTGGCAGCATGGCCAGTAGTAGTCGTGGGATCAGGGGGAGGAGATGGGTGCTAGAAATCCTTTGACCACGGGGAGCACAGACTGCCTGCGGCCTGCCAAGTGCCATCCTGGACAGGGGCGCCGTGTAGCCTCTGCTTCCACCTTCATCCTGGCCTGCCTCCCACCTACCTACCTGACTCAGAGTTGCCAGAAATGCCAGGCCTGAGGGCCTTCAGTTCTGCTGAGTGAGCCTTTGCCCTGCCTAGGCTGCGCCAGGCAGCGGTGACTGGTCCTGGCTGGGGTCAGCAAGGCCATGCTGGCAGGAGGAGGCATGCCACAGGTTCCTGGAGTGCTGACGGCCTGGTGTGGGGTTGGTGAAGGACCCGAGGGCAGCGGGCAGGGTCAGCAGGCTTCGGATGCCTGCTGTGCAGTGAGCAGAGTCTTGGCTGTGCTTGCCTGGCCAGTTTTTCCAGGACTAGCCTCTCTTCTGTGTACAAGGTGGTAGAAACCAAGCTGTGGAATCAGGCAGGCGTATCCAGTTCACCTGGGAGCCCCAGTTCTTTCATCTGCCAAATGGGGAGACTGAGCCCCTTCTCAGGCAGGTGGTGAGAACGGGGTGGGAGTGTAAACACAGGACCTTGGAGCAGCCTCCTCTTTGCTTTAGAAGACACACCCACCTAGGAGGAGGGGGAGGTGGGGTAAGGTGGCCCCAAGCTGGCCTTTGTTCTGGGTTGTGGGCTGGGCACCCTCATGGGGACTGGGCAGCCCTGGCACTTAATCTCAGCCCATCTCACCCTCGTCTGTGAGCTTCCAGCCCAGCCAGTGAACACCAGCCTGGGGGACTGGGTGGCTGGGCAGCCTGTGCCTTTCCCAGTCCAGCTGCCATCCTGGGGGGAGGGGTGCCAGCTGCCACCTGTTGGCCAAATGCTGCCTGAGGCAGCTGCCTCTGCCTCCACTGGGCCCAGATCCTCCCTCCCCGGGACAGGAGCCGGGCTCTTCCAGGAGTCCTGGAGAAGTGGGTACCCTCAGGCCTCTACTTGCCCTCTCCGGCGAGGCTGCCTGGGAGCCCATCTGGTGACATGGAGGCTGTTCTGGCTGACGGGGTGGGGCCCCAGGGTCTCCCCTTCAGCTCTGTGACCCTGTCCCCCCCGCCCCCCCCACCACAGTGAAGGAGTCTTCAAGTGCCCGGAGGACCAGCTTCCTCTGGACTATGCCAAGGTGAGTTCACCGTGCCAGGTACAGGCTCTTGCCGCCCTTGTTGGAGGCTGGAGCTGCCGCTGCAGCTGTGGGCTCGGGGCCAATGTCAACCCAGTGCTGTGCGCCCCCACAAAGGTGGCCTGTTCCCTCCTACCAGGCCAGTTTGCAAATGAGGCCCGTGTTTGCCCTGGAGGGTGGGCACAATGCCCAGCCTGTGGGGGTGCACAGAGCTTCTCTGTGCCCACCAGAAGTGTTCCCCTCCCCTTTGGGTGGCTGGCCAGACCTGTGGCTGAGGGCCAGGACCCCTCTACCATGGGGAAGGAAGCGGATGGTGTGGGGGACTCCAGGGGCTGGGCAGGCTGATTGGCTGCCACCCCCCTGTGTCAGCGAATTGGGGACCCCGGAATCTGGGGTTGGAGCAGATGCCACCTGCTGCCCTCTGGGCTCCGAGGGCAGTTTAGCGGGAGAGAGGATGTTCCTGGCTCTGAGGAAGCCTGCAAGCCTATTGGGGGCGGGAGGGTGGTGAGGGCAGGAACTGGGGACTGTCGCAGGCACTGTCCCTGATCACTGCTCCGCGTGACCCCAGATCTACCCGGACCCAGAGCTGGAGGTGCAGGTATTGGGCCTGTCCATTCGCTGCATCCATAGCGAGGAGGGCTGCCGCTGGAATGGCCCCCTTCGGCACCTGCAGGTGAGCCTCTGCCCGGGGGAGCGGGACGCCCGCCCCCCCAGGCAGGCACTAACTCAGCCCCTCCCCCAGGGCCACCTGAGTACCTGCAGCTTCAACGTGGTGCCCTGCCCCAACCGCTGCCCTGCCAAGCTGAGCCGCCGCGACCTGCCTGCGCATCTGCAGCACGACTGCCCCAAGCGGCGGCTCAAGTGCGAGTTTTGCGGCTGCGACTTCAGCGGGGAGGCCTTCGAGGTGGGTGGGGCCCCGGGGGGTGGAGGGGCGCCCGGTCCGAGGAGCCCTGAAGACTCAGTGCGGCCCCCCGCCCCCGCGCTTCCGCAGAGCCACGAGGGCGTGTGCCCGCAGGAGAGCGTGTACTGTGAGAACAAGTGTGGTGCCCGCATGATGCGGCGGCTGCTGACCCAGCATGCCACCTCCGAGTGCCCCAAGCGCACCCAGCCTTGCACTTACTGCACCAAGGAGTTCGTCTTCGACACCATCCAGGTGAGGCCCTTCCTGAGCCCAGAGCTGGAGGGGCTCTCCAGCTGCTCCGGGGCTGCGGGGCCGGGAGCAGGGCGTTGGGCCGCTGACTGCTCCGCTCTGTCTCTGCGGCCCTAGAGTCACCAGTACCAGTGCCCGAGGCTGCCTGTGCCGTGCCCCAACCAGTGTGGCGTGGGCACCGTGGCTCGGGAGGACCTGCCGGGCCACCTGAAGGACAGCTGTAGCACCGCCCTGGTGCTGTGCCCGTTCAAAGACTCCGGCTGCAAGCACAGGGTGAGATGCCTCTTTTCTTTCCCGTCAGCTCCCTTCTTGGTGCTTGAGACCTCAGACCTCGGGCCGGAGTGGGCCCTGCTGTGCTGCCCGGAAGGCCCAGTCCTTCCTCTGCTGGCCGGCTCCAGCCTTATCCTCGTGCCCTGTCTTCCCCATTCAGGGCTCGGTGCCCACCGCCCTGTATCCACTCCTCCCCTCGACTCTCCCCTCCTCACTCTCCTCTCTTTCCCCCATGGCCTGGGGCTTTGCCGACAGTGCCCTAAGCTGGCGATGGCACGGCACGTGGAGGAGAGCGTGAAGCCGCATCTGGCCATGATGTGTGCCCTGGTGAGCCGGCAGCGGCAGGAGCTGCAGGAGCTGCGGAGAGAGCTGGAGGAGCTGTCGGTGGGCAGTGATGGCGTGCTCATTTGGAAGATTGGCAGCTACGGGCGCCGGCTCCAGGAGGCCAAGGCCAAGCCCAACCTCGAGTGCTTCAGTCCCGCCTTCTACACACACAAGTACGGCTACAAGCTGCAGGTGTCTGCGTTCCTCAACGGCAATGGCAGCGGTGAGGGCACCCACCTCTCGCTCTACATTCGCGTGCTGCCGGGTGCCTTTGACAATCTCCTCGAATGGCCCTTCGCCCGCCGCGTGACCTTCTCCCTACTGGATCAGAGTGACCCTGGGCTGGCTAAGCCACAGCATGTCACTGAGACTTTTCACCCTGACCCAAACTGGAAGAATTTCCAAAAACCAGGCACTTGGCGGGGCTCCCTGGATGAGAGTTCTCTGGGCTTTGGTTACCCCAAGTTCATCTCCCACCAGGATATCCGCAAGCGAAACTATGTGCGGGATGATGCGGTCTTCATCCGTGCCTCTGTTGAATTGCCCCGGAAGATCCTCAGCTGAGAGCAAGCCAAGCGGCAGAAGAAAGGGGGAGGGCAGTGACCTCCATCGGGCATGGCTGAGCCTGGAGAGGGGGCCGGACCCCCTTACAGCCGCTGCTGCCGAGGCTCTGGTACCCTGCTCCCCCTCCCTCCTTCCCCACCACCCTCAGGTGCCTCCTATTGGTGCTTCAGCCCTGACCTCTGGGAAGAGCAGGTCTTAGGGTCATCAAGGGCTTGGAAACGAGCGAGCCCCAGACCTGTCTCCTGGACAGGGCAGACACGCCTTGGTGCCGGCTACACTCTTCCCGGACCGAGGTGCCTGCTGGTGCTATGTCCCAAGAGCCATAGGGGGGAGGGGGAGGTGGGAAACTGAGGGGGTAGTTAAAAGAATCTTGTCTCGAGATCTGATTTCTCTTATCCTTTACCCAGCTGTGTCCCCTCTGGTTATTTATTTACTTAGTGCCAGGAGGGCACAGCAGGGAGCCCTGATTTTTAATAAATTCTGAATTGTATTTATTAACTTGGTTCCACCTGACTCATCTGGGTTGCTTAGGGTCCTGGAAGTCTGGGCCCAAGGGTGAAGTCAAGGGACCGCAGGGTGGGGGGGGGGGGGGGGGGGAGGGACCCTGCAACCGTTCTGACCCGATTCCAATGGCGCTCATGGATCGCCCTCTGGTGGAGGACAGAGGGACTGCAAGGGGCTTTGTGTGGACGAGTTGCCTGCTGCTGCCCTCTGGTGGTTCGATGAAGGAGGTGCAGGCTCAACACTATAAGGGCTATAGTCCCTGATTCATACCCCATGAAACACCTGTCCTTTGACAGGTGTTCCTTGGTCTGATAGTAGCTACCATTCATTGAGTACTTTTGATATGGCAGACACTGCTAAGCATTTTATGTGCATTATTTCACAAGTGCAATAGTTAATAAAAGGACCTTCGTGAACTGTGATGAGGACAGTGCAAGTTCCCACCTAGCACAAGATACACTCGGTCCTTTGTGGGTTCCACATCCTGGAATTCAATCAAGAAAGAGTGAACTGGAAACACCTGGGGGAAAGTTACATAGAACAAAACTTAACTGGCCAGTCATGGGCAAATGTACATGGTGTTACATTGTATTAGATATTATAATCTATAATTACTTAAAGCATATCTATAATTACTTAAACCACAGAAAATGTGTGGTTATATGCAAATACTATGCTATTTTCTATCAAGGACTTCAACATCTGTGATCTGTGGTATGAGTTGGGGAATTCTTAAACCAATTCCTTGTGGATAATGAGGGATGACTGTGAGCACCTGGTAAATGTTAGCCTAACTCCAAAGCCTTCGAGGTGTTCAAAGCACTTGGATTTCCCCATCCATACTTGCTTTTCGTACAGGCATCAAAGAGGGTGCCTGTGATTATCCATATTTGAACTGATTTCAGTGATCTTCCAGCTATTTGGGGGCAGGGCCTGGATTTTTCTTCCCCTTACTGGATTCTGTTTTAAGCTCCAGCAATCCCTAGAATAGCTTCCTTTAATTTTGGCAATAGATTTGGTTTTGGATCTTTGCTGATTGCTTTTTGGCAAGTTACTTAGCTACATGGCATCCTTACTCTCACTGGTAAAATGAGAGTAATCCTGCTAGATTTGTAAAGATTAACTCATCAGCATAAAGCACCTTACTCTTGCCTGGCCCTAAGTGGCCTTAGGTTTACAGCAAGGTGGGCGAGGAGGCTCAGTCGCCCCACCTAAGAGGCCTGTGTATGGAAAATACTGTTCAGGCTCAGAGTATGGGAAGGAGAAGTTTCAAAGGCTGTAGCTTGCCCTCTCTGCCTTCCCAGCCAGAGACTCAGGTGAAGAGCCCTTCTCAGAAGTGACAGGAAAGGTCTAAGCCTGAGACAGCAAGCCTGAGGAACTAACCAACCTAGCCTTCAAAAGGTCAAATTCACTCATGTAGGGAGAGACGAAGCCCTGGCTGCTTTGCTGAGAAACATGGCTCTTTCATGAGCTAAGCCGTCTTGGTATAGTGAGGCCTGGAAGCTGGTAAGAGAGCGTGGGCTCTAGCAGAGGAAATGCCTTCACTTAAGCACAGACCTGGGTTTCCAGCGCCAACAGGTGGAAGCTCTTCTGCATTAGCCTTTCAGCAGAAGCCAGACTCCCCTCCCCAGACCAAGCCCTCCCTCAGCTGGCAGCACTGGGCCCCTGCCCCACTGCAGGTGGTAAGTTCGCATAGAGTGGTGCCTCTGGCTGACCCCACACCATACTGCTCACCCCGTCCTCTGCGGCTGGTCCTAACTGCTCCTGGAACTCAAGCCAGGTTTTGCATCACAGTGAGGCTCAACTGTCTATTCCGTTTAGCCTTCTTACTCCAGGCTGACTATAGGTCTCATCTAACAAGTGCAAGAGAGTTTTCTTTCACACGGATGGGAGGAGTAGTAAAGGCAAAAAGCACCTTCACGAAAGAACAGCCCACAGACAAGGGCATTCAGGGTGCTTTCAACTCCATCAGTTGTGAGAACCACTATTAACCACCTGATTCCACCCTCACTGAGTTCCACAACCTGTGGGATCTTTCCTTCCCTCCGGCACATCTTAGCCCAGACCCAAACTCAGCAGAAAGGGGAGACCTAAAGAGCTGTTTTGGATTTTTTTCCCCCTGGAGACAAAAAAAAAATGTCTCCAATCAGTACTCAACCTTTTAAGACTGAAATTGCCAAGAGGGCCACTTTTCATGTTACAGATTATTACACCACTTATTATCACTTGTCAGAGGTCCTCAGAAATTCCAAGATTTTCAAGCGGGAGGAGAGGGACATTCAGTCTACAGTTGGCTTGTTCACAAACCAGATCCCCATTTTCCAATGACTGACTGAAGTGAACACAGCAGTTCACTGAACTGGGCCTCTGGTGAAAAGCGGCAGACACTTAACCACCAAATCCCACAAGCCCCCTGCAGCCCTGCATGGGGGGAGGGCCCGTCAGCCGGGCGCCCCCTCCAGGGGCTGACTCAGCACACCTGTCCTGGGGTGATGGGTTGTGAGGGCTTCTGACTGGGAGAAATACTCTAGAGGGCCCTTTAGAAATGATAAATTATTTCTAATAAGTATTAAAAACCATTGAGAAAGATCATCTCAAACAAGCAGTAACGAATAGGACAAGATCAAAAGGTGAGTTTTCTTTTTTACTGGTTTATAATAATCTTAAAAACCCCATCACACCCATAAACCACCACAGGTGAGAGGATGAGGGAGATGGAGAATGAATGCTACAGTATGTGGACGGCAGGAGAACCCAGATTATTTTCTAGGGGTAGTGTGGAATGGAGGCGCGGGTGTGGATAGGAGGCCCTGGCATGGACCTTTATTGCTGGCTGGGGGTTGGCTGGCAGGGGGGAAGAGGGGCTCAGGGTGAACTAGGAAACATCTCCCACCAAAGGCGAGGGTAGTGGGGGGCAGGGGGGTCACAGTACATTTTCCATGCAGACTAGGGGTGGGAGTGAGAGCTTCAGATGCACCCCTACACAGGAAGAGATGGGTTTGAGGTTTGATTTTTAAGCCCCCAAGTTGGTGTCTGGTCCAATTTCCTAAAATGGCAGCTCACCTTTTGGGGAGAGAGGCATTGGAAAAAAATTACAGCAAAAACATTTGGAGATCAAGCAGGGGCTAAGCTGAGACAGTGGTGTCCTTTCAGAGAATTTAACTCAAGAGAAGCAAGCACTGGAAGGGGCCCCTGGGTGAGATGGTGGCCAACACACTGGGAGAAGGCATCGCACCAGGTGCTCCTGGGGGCTCAGGACAGGGAGGTACCAGTGTCTACAGACGGCAGCAAAACAACGGGGAACAATGAATTAGGACTCCATGTTGCTATCATTTGGCATAACACAATCAGGCATTATTTTTCCTTGTTTTTTCTCTTTTTAAATATAAGGCAACTTGCCAACACGTAATTTAAAAACTGGTCTTCAGTCACATTGCTTCAGATCACTAGAGAATTTCTGGCTAAAGAACAGTGGATAGTATAGTAAACAAAACCAAGAATCTTAAATAACATCAGCTCACATTCCCCAGAGACAAGAGGAAAGGGTAGGGCTTATTTGGTTTAAAGAAAAAAAAAAGAAAGAAAACAACAGCCCAACTATGTGTCTTTAACAGAAGGGTGCAAAACATTACAACAAAACAATCTAAGTTACAGAAAAGTTTAAAATTTCTAGCCAACTAACTGTCACCGGGGAACAGACATGTGAGCATGGAGTGGGTGAGGGCGGGCTAGGGGCAGGAGGGGCTGTTTCCAATAGGGGCCCATCTCCAGCTGTTAGAACCATGCTCATTTGGTAAAGGAGAATTCAAAGAGCTTAAGGCTTTGTGTTTTTTTTTTTCTTCATTAAATAGGGGCTGCGAAAGGTGACTAGACAGTGAATGCACCTGTGGGGCCGCTCACACACATTGCTACTCAAACCCACGCTACATTCATACAGAAACAGGACGCTTAAAACTTACAGTGTAGAGCAATATTCTTAGCCAGTGTAGAGAACCAAATGCAGTTTAACTTTTTTTTTTTTTTTCAGTGTTTTAAATTCCAAACTCCAATGTGATCATCCCATACCTACTTACTAATTCCTCAAGTAAGACTGGCTTTTTGCTTTGTTTGTGAGGGGGGAGTGGGGCATGAGGGTGTCAGGTGACTCAGGAGAGAAACAGTGAGGAAGGTCTTGGATATGCCAGACGGTCCTGGCATTTCTCTATGGATGGAAAGGGAGTCAGGAACCAAGGTATCAATACAAAGGCAGGTTCCCGCCCCCCCTGCCCCCCTGCAATGTCTCAAGGCCAGGTCCACATGCTTGCAGGATGCCCTTGAGGAGTCTGGCAAGGACAGTGCAGTGGCTCTGGGTTCAATGCAGGTGTAAAACAAAGCCTTGAGGAATGGGGAAGGGCTGGGAGGAGATGCAGACCGGGTCAGTTTTGATTTGAGGTCTTTGGGTAAATGAGAAATCGGCTCCCAGAGCACTTGGGAAGTCTGGCTTCTTAGTCCCAGAAAGAGACAGACAGACAGTAAGACGCCAACTCAGGCGGCTGGATGCTGACTACTACCTCGCCTACGGGACCCTTCCCTCAGCCCATACCTCAGTCCTAAGGGCAACCATGAGAGGTGCAGGTAAAGATGAAAGGAGGCTGGTGGGAAATGGCGGGGGGGGGGGGGGGGGGTGGCCGGAACTGGACTGATAGGCAGGCAATGGAGAGTCAAGTCGGGAGTTGAGATTAGGTCCCAACATAAACCCAAAAGCTGCGGAGCTGGTACAGGGATAGATGAGGGCGAAGAGGACCCCCCTCTGTCCTCAATGAAATCCCACTCAATTCCCTTTCTTAGACATCTAAGAATGATCACGTTGGAGCAGTGAAACTTTGAAACTATCCATTACTCAAAAGTAAGACTAAACCTAGGAGGGTGATGTATGACGTGGAACTTGTGGAGGGCACCAGGGCTCCCTATCTATACCCTGGGTGCTGAATATGAAGACTTCGACTATCTGCGGGGTCAGGGGCTCGGTTGCCAGGGGCTCGGTGGGCCTTGCTCAGCATGGCCAGGCTCTGTTCTCGGAAGCAGGCCTGCTGGAAATCCCCACTTAGGTAATCCACCGTTTGTATCAAGCTGTTCTGGCTTGCCACCGGACCGCCCCCGGTCCCTGCCCGGAAGTGCGCCCCAGCAGCCACCGCCGCACAGTCGAGGGGTGCACCCGCGGGCTGCCCAGCGTGGAACGGCCCGGCGAGGTCCTGAGACCCCGAGCTGTCGCTATTGGGAGTGGGCAGAATGTTGTTCCACAGGGGTTGGAAGTAGTGACCATTGGGGTAGGCCAGTGGGGCGGCCAGGCCGTTGACGGGTGGGGATGGGGTTGGCTTCTCCAGGGGTGGCTTCAGATGGAAAGACTGTGCCAGGCAGAGTTCCTGCGGGTAGGCAGGGGCCTTGCCCACCAAGCCAGGCCCTGCCAACTCGCGTCCTGCCGCATGCTTGCCTGTCAGGCCAGGGGCCGGCGTCCCACCGGCCTCACTGCACATCTGCTGCAGGTGGGCCAGCTGGTGCTGGTTCCAGGCGACTGGCTTGAGGTCGCTAGGGTAGCCAGTGGGGGCACGCGCGAGGCCCGCGGGCAGGTTGACGGGGCCTGCAGCGGGCAGCGCGGCGCTGGCCGCGTGGGTGTGCTCCATGGGATTGACCACACATGAAGGCATTGGTGTGGGGACGCTGTGGGTCGACACCCGAGTGCTTGCATTGATGAGCAGGCTGCGACTAATGGGGCTGGGGTTGGCGATCTGGCCCTCACACACTGAGGTAGTGCTGACGCCCGCCCGCGTCTGGCAAAACTGGTTGATCTGGTGCACGATGCTGCTCAGGTCCGGGGGCTGGCTCTGCTGCAGGGTGGCCGCCATGGAAAGGGGGATAGTTGAGGTAGACACGGTCACATTCGGGGGGGCATCTGAGTCTGGCATCTTCCGGCCTCCATGCAGCAAGGGAGTGGGGGGGTGCTGGAGACCCTGGTGAGACAGGGCCTGAGGGTGGACCAAGCCCTGGGTCTGGGCCATGGGCTGAGGGTGCCCCAGGCCCTGAGGCTGTTGGAGGCTCTGGGGGTGGGACAGCGCCTGGGGTGGCGGGATACCCTGAGGGTGCTGCAGCGTCTGGGGAGGGGCATGGGCCAGGGTCTGTGCGTGCTGCAGGGCCTGCTGGCGGGCCAGAGCCTGGGCCTGGGGGTGGGCTAAAGTGCTGGGTGCCACAGTGGCATAGGGCGCCACTGGGGGGTTCATGATGGCCTCGGGGAGCAACCGGGCTCGGGTGCCGTCAAAGTCCTTGAGTATGCTTTTGGCTGGCACTTTGACAATGGCCAGCAGGCCTGCCCTGGTGGCGGCCTGAGTCGGGTAGGGGCTGTAGCGCTGGGCCGATGTGTCCAGGCCGTTCACAGTACGACGAACGTGTTTCCGCTGGGGAACCTTCACACTGTTGGGGAAGATTTTTATAGTCAGTGGGTTGTTTGCGACCTTCTTAGCATACGCGTCCAATTCGGCTGGGGTGGGGTAGTGAGCAGTTCTCATTTTCTGTGTAGTGTCCCCTAGAGAGAGAGAAGGGGAAGGAGAGCAGAGAAGGAGAGGGAGCTCATCAGTGCCAAGCCAACCAGCCCTCCTAGACTTCCCGCCTGCGGCCTGGGGGGCAGGGCGCACGAGGTGTCAGGCTGAGTCTCCAGTTTGGAGCCAGCCTCAGGCCCCCACAAAAACAAGCCCGGCTAACATGCAGTGGGCACGTCTCATGGGCCAGGACTCGTGCTGAGTGCCAGGCTGTCTCCATGAATCACTGCTACTGTGTTAGGAGGCAGGTACTATCATGATGGTCCCACTTCACGAACGAGGTCACTAATGATCAGAAGAGCAGAGCAATCCAAAGTCTCCCAACGTAGAGAGCCGGAACTGGGCCAATTCTCACGTGGAAGTCTATCCAAGTTCCTACCAGCCCCTGCTGGCCTGGGGTTTGGAGGTTCTAAGCAGGGCTGCTTCTCAGGGCCGCTCGGTCCCTGCCCGGCGACACCCTGGGGAACAGGGCACCCAGAATGGCTCCGCTCCGGTCTGCGGTGGCCAGTGTGGCGTCAGCTCTCTGGGCAGTGGCAGCTGGGGCACTGTGCCCACGGGGTGAGCATCCTGGCACAGTAGACAGGATGCTTCTTTTTTCAGGGGCAGAGGAGCGAGCTGCCAACATCCCTCCCCCACCCCCATGTCACAAGTTCACTTTTGTTTACAGCTTACTCTCAGCCTGACTGGGTGAAGATCAAAAGGCTTTATTTATTTCCTCATGGGGGGGTGACAATAATGACAGGACTGCAGGGAGGGAACTGAGGAGAAAGGATTCAGAGCATCTTTAAGTTCTGAGAGCCAAAAATAGTCTGTATTCGGCCCCTGTCAGCTGTCACTTTCCGAAATGAAAGAGGAAAAACCTGCCCTCCTTTGGAGACTGCGGAAACACCGCTCAATGGGCCTCATTAATGCTAACAGTCTCTTTGTTCCCGTCTCCAGTCGCCTCCCATCAGGGGGCTCCAGCGGATGTCGCGCTTGCAGTCAAAAAGGAAACGGTTCTGAGAACAAGAGCTCTTTAAGCTTGCCAGGCTCCTGGCAAGGGGTCTCAGCTCCATTCTCCCTCTCTCCGAGGGAGGGTCTCTCCTGAGTATACACAGAAGGTGCTTAATAAAGGCTTGCTGAGTAAGTACACAGACTCCCCTAAGCAGGAAAAAAAAAAAAAAAAAGGAGGGGTGCGCTTGGCTGGGAGCCGGGGTTCAGCTAGCAGGCTCCCTCCCTACTTCCCCCCGGTGCCGGAGGCCGCCAGGGCAGACCAAGCACTAAGCTGACCAGATGCCTGGCTTGTGGCCTCAGCTGGCTTGGCCCAAAGGAGACCCCATTCAAAGTCACGTCGCTTGGCATCACGGAACAGAAGTCGTCTAGTGAGTGCTGGCAGGGAGGGGCACAGCTGCCTGCATTGGGTGACACTGCTGGTTGGCTGGCAGCAACTGCTTAGAAACTGCTGCTCTCCTCGGAAGCAAGAAAAGAAAGCTCCAGTTCAGGAGGGGAAGAGAGATCTGGACTCACGCTCAGAGAGGCAGGACTCAGCAAAAAAGGGTACAGAAAGGAAAAGGTTCGTGTTTTCAAACGCTGGCACAGTGCCCTGAACTTGGTAGGCATTCTAACATATTCAAGGCTCTACTTTATTTACTGAGTGCTGAATACCTGCTCCATCCGTAATCGCAATGTTTGTAAGATGACTGATATGCAGAAGGCCTTAGAAGGAGGAATGTGACAGTGACAATTGAAGGTAGGAAGCAGGAGGAGGCAGGGAGGCCTGGAAGTCTCCCACCCACTAGGCAGCAATAGATGGCAAGCAGGGTCAAAGCCTGGAGAACAGAGTTCTGCTGCTGCTTGTAAGCCTCTGACCCTTAATGGGCTTCAGGCTCCATAAAGTGGGGACATTTTCTAACCTGTCTTACATTCTCTTGCAGAGAGGACACCAAAAAAGTCTGCAATCACTGAAGAATGTCCCTAAACTCAAGGCACCAGAGCTCCATGGGAAGCTGCCCTGGTCAGCCACTGTGCTTTCATGTGCCTGATGAGAAGTGTGTGACACTCCTGGCTTGGCGCCTTCCTTACCCGGAGCAGACCTGCAGAGTAAGTACCTGGAAATATACTGTCTGGCTGAACAGCTGGGATTCAGCTCAATAGGAGGAGTCTGAAGCTGCTGCGTTTCCATTCAGACAGGAAATGAAGGTCTGCCCCTCCGTGTAGGAAGAAAGAGTCTTGCTCCATGTTAACAAGCTTCTCTCCTTGAAGGCCAACAGAGAGAGGCTGGTACAGTGGCTTGTTGAGTAACAGAGCTCCTTTGCTCCAAGTCAATACCAACTCTCAAGCTAGCTTTTCCTAGCAGAGGCACAAGGTGTGCTGGCCTCAATCAGAAGTACAGGACGGGACACCACACCGACTAGTGCCCTCTGTCCTGGCTCCACGGATGCTGACAATGGTGATGGGGCGAGGGGCGGCGAGGCTGGACACAGGCTGCAGCCCGTCAAGGAAGACTCGAGGGTGACAGACGAGCACACCGGACAAGAAAGAGGCCACGCTCTGGGGCTCTGGCGCCACCCACTGCACACCCCAGACTCCAGCCCAGCCCTTCCGAGTTTTCCTCGGTATCACCTCGGCCCCACACAGGCACCCGGGAGCCGTTCTTTCTTCTGCATCATTTCCTCTAAGTGCACAGCTGACAGACACTACAGCTTTGCAAGCAACTTCTTTAACTATCTGGACCAACAGTGTCGTTAATCGAGACATAAAGCAGTGGAGAACAGAGACTCTGTGGTTAGAAAAAAAGAGACTGGATTCAAGCACTGGCTTTATTATCTGACGACTCAAGAGTGTCGCTCAGTCCTTCCTCATTTATAAACAGCAATGATACCTGCTGTCCTACCTCATAGAATTACTAAGATCAAGAGATCCGATGAACAGGAAATGCTCTGTGAACAGGACCTGTAACTGTCAATGGTAATCATTCAAGGATAGCAGGTTTCGCTGAGTCTGCCCACAGATGGGACAAAGTAACCTCACCGGGACCTCCCCGTTTACCTTTCTGTTTTGAAGATCAGAAGACACTAGTGGCTTATGTAGCAGGAACCTCTAACCTGTGGAGACACACAGGCGTGTCTCTGTGCATCAAATACAGGCTTTGGAGTCTGACCCAAGAGTGAATTCTAGCCTCGTCACTGATTAGTAATGTGACACTGACAAGTGACAAACACTCTCATGCTTAAAAGAAAGATAAGTGAGTCTCCCATATGGAATTATTGAAGAATGAATGGGAATGTGCATAAAAATATGCAAGACAGTGCCTGGCATATACTAAGCACTCAGCAAATGTTAGCTAATATTTCTGATGTTTACACTCTTAGTTTATCCAGTCATTGGGCCAATTTGCCATCTCCAGATCTTTCCACTAGGGGGCAGATAAGCATATGAGAGTATAGTAAAAGATTAATTTTGATTATTTGTCCAAGGTCCCAAAGCTCTACAGTGAAAGAGGTCACAGTCGCTGTCTGAAAGACAATCTGAAGACCAGGGACCTTTGGTCATTTCAACCACTCTACCCAGAAATCTTTATCAAGCCACCCTATCTATACACCTGACTGTAAACTGGAGAAACAGGAGCAGAGGCTTGGGGTTAATGACGGAAAAAAATGTTCAAAAGCAACAGTTTCTGGGGAACTGGGAGAAGATGGCTTAGAGGAAAACAAAATTTTCAAGTACAAAGCTCCATTTCAAGTACAAAGCTCCAAAATGTCGGAGGTCTCCCGAACCACGTGACATTATGGAATAACAATCCAGGAAAGTTCTGGGAGGGCAGCCACTGACCACAGTTGTGGTCTTCTAGCCCGTGCAGGACCCACCCAAAGGCAAGATGTCCCTTAATCCAGCCTGCACTAAGGCAAGTCATACTTTTGGTGGGAAAATACATCACACCCTCCTATACACGTAGAAGAGGATGGGGAAAAGAGAAAACACTGGTGTCTGAAGGGACTGATATTATGATTCTGTACATACGGCAGCTCAAGCCGGTGGACGACTGATCAGCTGGGTGACTGACAGTGCTGGGCCAAGAAGCCACATATCCCTTCTCCAGAGCCCTGACCCATCTCCCCTGCCTTAAGCTGACTATTCCAATATAAAATATACTAAGCTATTAACGCTGATGCTGGGAAAGATTGAGGGCAGAAGACGAGGGCGTCAGAGGACGAGATGGCTGGATGGCATCACCAATATAATGAACATGAACTTGGGCAAACTCTCAAGAGATGGTGAGGGACAGGGAGGCCTGGCGTGCTGCAGCCCATAGGGTCGGAAAGAGTCGGGCACGACTGGACGACTGAACAACAACAAAGCTATAGATACCTGTACCCCATGGAGTTTCCTAGGTAGCACTAGTGGTAAAGAACCTGCCAGCCAATGCAGGACACATAAGAGACATGAGTTTGATCCCTGGGTTGGGAAGATCCCCTGGAGGAGGGCATGGCAACCCACTTCAGTATTCTTGCCTGGAGAATCACCAGGGACAGAGGAATCTGGCGGGCTACAGTCCATGGGGTCACAAAAAGACATGACAAGCAACTTAGCATGCACACACTCCATGCCCACCTCACTAGATACTGAGTTCTGTGTTCTGAGCAACTTTTAAGACCCTCCTTAGGATGGGAGCAGGGAAAGGCTGAATAGCAGTCACAGATCCTGACAGCTGGTAGACTTGGGCTCTGGGCAGCGCCTTAGCTTCTGGTTTGTGAAGCAGACAGTTTATACTCTGTCCCACCTTAATGGTAAATAATGCTTAATGCTAAGAACTGTAAATCACAGAACAGGATTGTTTTTTGTTTCTCCTAATACATTTTGGGAGAGCAAAGAAGCAAGAAAGTGAGCTTAAAAACACCACTGGGTTTTCTTCTCTGCAAAAGTTTAGGTGTAGTTAAGGAGAGTCACAAGAGAGTTGAAGCGATTCAAATACATTGTCCCCCAAATGAATAGGTAAACCTGAAACCAGAGAAAAAGGACACCTCAATTCTTGAATACAGATTTGGGACAGAGCTTTCTGCAGAGGTGACTTGGGGGCTGCTCTGGGGAGAAGGGAGTGAAGATCCAACGTCAGTAGCTAAGATAAAGCTGCCAATTTGCCTTTCCTCCTAGATGGTTCAGCCCTTGATGGTAAATCTCTGGGCGAAGCTGTCAGAGTGTGTTAAGGACCTAGAAGAAAGACAGTGAGCTGCTCTCTGCCATCTTACTACATCCTTCTGAGTACACCTCCCCCCCAGCTCTGTGCCTGGAAGCCTGCACCCAGCCACAGCACGTGAGCATGTGGCTCTGGGCGGCCAGAGAACCCAGACAATGCCCTTACCCGACCAGCACTCATGGGAAAAAGAGACGCTGGGCAGGAGCTGGGACAGCGAGCTTGCCGACTGCATCAGGCAGCTGCAGAAGGAAGACTGACACTCTCAGCTCTGTTGTTACAGGAGCTGCATTCACTGGCCAAATTCTAGATCTGGCCAGGCTCTGAGTCTTACTCTCCCTCAAAGAAAGGAAGTCAAGAGGCCAGACGGTTTTTAACTTCTGCAGATAATCTCATGAAGCAGGGAGCGGCAAACGACAGCCTGAAAGCCAGCGCCAGGCTGCGGCGCTTCTTCCGCAGAGGGTTGTGCTGGAGCACAGCCGCACTCGTTCGTTTACATACTGCCACGGCCGCCGGTGCCCCATGAGTGCAGAGGTGAGAACACGCAAGAGACCACGTGCTATGATCCATTTGACCCTTGTCAGGAAAAGCTTGCCAACCTCCGCCATAAAGGAGTCAGGTAACCTGCTGAGGCTCTTTTTCTGTTAAAGGGTAAGCTGAGATGCTTCGTTGTTTTTCCCTTTTTGCTCTGAAAGGAAACTCTTCCAAATTTAGGGCCATCTTTACACTCGAAGACGCCGTGCATGGTGATAAGCCAGGAACAGAATCTTCCTTGCACATTCACGTAATACAGGGATGGAAGGTAGGAATCTGGGAAAACACAGTCTGAAGCCCCAATGCCAACCAATGTAATACAGGAAGCTAGCAGTTCTCCAAAATCCCGTCTTGGGGGAAGAATATTAACAGGAACATGCCCAGAGAGGCTGAGAAAGCTAGATAGTTCCATGTCCCTTCTGGAGGCGAAAGTTTGTTTGCTGTAAGCTGCGGGCACTGGCTCAGAAGGCAGACAGCAAGGCCAAGGGGGAACAGTCTGTCTCTGTGGCAGAGGGCACTCAGAGAGCTCCAAACAACACAAGAGTGCAAACAGTTTGTTTCAGGGATACAGTAAGTAATCTGGACTGTGCATTTTCATTCCATTCCTCCCAGGGTTCAAACTGAAATACTTCTTTGAAGGGTGATATATACATATATGATATATGTAACACTGGGCTGTAAAACACCATATAGCCTTACTGCTCAACAGACATCCATCAGCAACAATTAAAATTAAGATGACACACACTGGGGAATCTAGTATTTTAGAGGCCTCTGATCAGTGAAGCGTCTCGCATTGCCAACAAGTTCTGCAGCTGCTTTCCTGCTGTCTGTGCTGAAGAATATCTTGGAGGTACCAAAGTCAGGGTACCCCAAAGTTGTCTCTGGGAGAACCGGAATGGAGGGGAAAAATAAAGGACCGCATGCTTCCCTGGGATCCAGATTACTTACATTTCTGAAGTCCAGTGTTCATCTGCGTGTGAGAAAGAAGCTGAAAGGACAGGTCACCTGGCCCTGGTAGACAGGCTAGCATGGCAGACCGGCATCAACACAACATGAGGCAGTCACTCACACTGCAATGACAAAAAAAACAAGGTCACGGAACACAAAGCAACTCACTCAAGGAAGATACCAGGGACATCGGATATCAGCAGCAGAGGCCCAAGTTTAGATAGATAAGCAATTTAATTAGCAACATGTAGGATGAAAATATATCTATGTCTTTATCTGTAGAAACAATTTGCTCTCTACTATTGCTATGGCTCAAATATTTCAGTCAGCACAGATGCCTGGGTGGGGAAAATAAAAACTAGAAAATACCGATCCACACAAACGACTGAAGGTCTTTATGTTCACAAGCTACGGATGCACTCGCTTGGCGCCTGCATTTCCCATAGGCTGCCTCTCCTTATGGCTTTTGGGTAAGCCCATGTGGCAGCCACATAAATGGTATGCTGGCTCTCCTCCGTGCCCCAGCCAAGGCAGGCAAAGAAAGGCTAGGGCATAGTCCAACTGAGGTGAAGGAAAAGATGCTTTCTCCCTAAAAAAGAACAGCATTCCTGAAGACAGCTTATACTCATGGGGCCTGGCTCAATCTATTCACAGCTCTGGTGGGGGGCCGTGGCAGCCAGACACTTCGAGAGACAGTACAGTATATGAGATGCAAAGACACCCAAAGTCCAGCTAGGGGCCTAGTAATCTGAGCTTACTTTTTTTTTTTTGGCCATACCTCTCAGCTTGCAGGATCTTAAGTTTGCCAACCAGGGACTGAATTTGGGCCCTCGGCAGTGAAAGGGCAGAGTCCTGACCACTGGACCACCAGGGAATTCACCTGAACTTTTAAAAAAAAGAAGGAATAAGAGCATCCTAGGAGACAAGACTAACTACTATTAAAGCGAATTCTGTCTGCAAGTTTCTGGGGATTCACCTTCCTATGGCCTTTCACACAAACAGATCTCCAGACCCACCCCTCCCCGCCAAAAAAGGAGAGAAAAAAAAAAAAAAAACTGCTTTGCTCCCAGGGTAAATCAAGGAAGTGGTAGGCTGCCAGCAGCCCTCTTTGGGCAGGTGATTCTGATGTTGTAACAAGATGGCATGGTTTTATCAGTGAAGTCTTCCAACAAGACACACATAGCCCAAGCAAACACTGATGTAGCCTTCTGGAGGGAAGGAAGCTTTATCAACAATTCAAGCTCCCCTTGTACCAAGAACCACGCTTCTCTCCCATCCAAGTACTAACCAGGCCTGACTCTGCTTAACTTCAAGATCAGGCGTGTTCAGGGTGGTATAGTTGTGGAGTATGAGTTTCCCAAACAATTGTAATGTACTAAATCATACTGAATTCCTTTCCCACAGTGCAAACCCCAGAAATCAGGGTGGCTTGGTATTAAGTCTTTCAGATCACAACAAAAGAGGACCGGTGTGGGCTGGGGGGTGGGGAGGGGTGAAGGGGAAGCTCAAATGTTAAACAAAGACCACAAAACCTCTTTCTTTCCCTTAAAGGGTCCTCTCAGGTATGTGAAAACTACCGTGTCATGATGAGTATCAGAGAGCTCCAGCTTGCAAGGCCAGGTAGCTGAAAAGATACTTTGTGAAAGAGGCTGCTCAGACTGTGTCTAAGATACCAACTGCAGAAAGAACTGAAGAGTGCAAGCCTCAATGAGAACAGAGCTGCCCTGGGGTTCGGGCACAGACTCTGTCTTTTCAGGTCTCTGGTGGGTGGGATGACAGAATGAACACAGCGTGCCAATTGCAGTGCCTTGAGAAATAAAAAGTCTTCTGTTAGGGCCAAACGACCGAGGCACTGCTTACAACCCTTCCCTTGTGAACGTCGATCTCTGTTTAATGACCTCTCCCCTGTGGTTCTAATACAGCTGAGGGCAAACTCCGAGGAAAAGGAGAGAATTAACAAATTCTGGAGCCTAGGATCGTGCAAAGGGCTGTATGAGGGGCTTTAGTGATGTCTTCTTTCTGAGGTCCCCCAACCGTTCTTGGAGGTAGGCAATAATTTCACTTGTCTCATCATCTCTAGCCTGGATTACGACAACAGCCTTCCAAATGACGTCTCTGTTCCACTCCTGTTCCTATCACCCAATCTGTTCTCCATACGGCAGTCAGAGTAATTTATTTTTTTAATTGGAAACTATATCAGCTCAACAATCTCCAACAACTTCCCCTCTCACTTAGAATAAAATATGAAATCCTAACGTGGCCCACAAGGACTTCTCTGATCTGTTACTATTATGTATCTGACCTCATCTTCTAACCTCCCCTGACCCTTTTGCTGACTTTACTTCCAGCCACTTGGCAGTCTCCTTGGAGCTCTTCCAACGGAGCCAAGCACACTCCCACCTCCAGGCCTTGAACTTCACCTGGAAAGCCAAGAGACTGATGACGGAGGTACAAAAAACACATTCATTCAGCTGTTTTGCAGATACACTCTCTCCCTGTACTTTTTAGAAGGAACCAATCTACGAATGATCACTGTAATCTCTGATACACCTAGCAAATCCTGATGCCTGCAACCACGAGACAAGAGGGGGTTGTGGATTCTAAAGAACTGACCATAACATACACAACTCTGGATTTCAACAGGAAGACCCGGAGAGAATTAAGCCAGCTGAACTGTGGCAAAAGGCATTAGTGATTTACTGACAGCAAACAAAGGAACAAAAATAAGAGGTGAATTCTGCAAAGACTCCACAAGTCAGTTTTTAGTCTGAGCAGGAAGCAGTCCCAGAGTTTGGGATCTTTGATGATTATGTTTCCAACCAGAGCCACCCAGCAAGTCTAGCTCCTGAGCCCTTACCGGCATTATCTGGGCTGCCAAGGGCACAGCCCCTCGCCTGTGCAACTTCCTTTCAGAGCTCAGGGACCTGCCACCCTTTTCAAAAGACTGCCTCTTAAACTAAGGAAATCTTCAACCCCCCTGGGCAGTTTTACTGAAGTCAGGACTCAATTTCTGCCAGGGCAGGGGAGACAAATGTGGCAAGGTCACGAAGGCTGTGAGGAAATAGGAAGGAAGCAACTTGCTTCCACAAGCCATTCTAGAAAGCAGGGATGCATTGTACAAAGCACTTCTCTGGAGGTTTGGCAGCTGAGTACAAGCCTTTTATTTAAAAACTTCAAACCACCCACACGTTTTGATTACCATCTGGCTTTTTAAAAAATGTATGTTCCAATATAAGTTACAGCTGATAACTTCCACAAGCACAATTAGACCCAGAAATCAACATTACCTCTACCTTCTCTGAAAGGGCCTCAAAATTCAAATCCTGACTTCTGAACAGCATCAAGTAGCAACCTGGTGCTCAGGCCAAATGAGCTGCAGACATCACAGAGAAAGAAAAAAGATCTCCTTGGCAGAGCCTCTGCGCGCTCTCAGCCAGCTCTCCTACCACCAGAGGCCTGCTCCCTAAGAAGGGGGATGACAGTGTCACAGTGAGCACAGAACTGACGTGTTCAGACCCTCCTGGGGCATTTGCACAAGTGCTGGCTTTTCCCAGACTACCTCTAATTAAAGAACAAAACTCTGACCCCACTGGGAAAATTCAAAAGGACTTTAATGCGTGCCCCCCACACCTCCCCCGCCTCACCGAGGTTAACAGAGGTTTTATTAGAGTTGTGAGGTCACACTCTGCTTTCCTGGGTAGCATCTGATCAAGGGCCATCTCTGCCTTAGGACAGGTTTGTGCCGGTAGGAAAACCTCAGCTGTTTGTACTGTTTGTCCCTGTTTATGCTTAACGACCACTGAAGGGTAGAAAACAAGGAAAAGAAAGACTCCTCTTCATGTTTTTTTTTTTTAAGTGGGAAAAGGAGGGGAGAAAGTGCTAGTAAAGGGTTTTTTACTTGGGAGTCGGGGGTGAAGTGATGGAGTCATGACCTCCCAGCAGTCTCCACCCAGCCTTGTGCCTTCCGGTACCCTTATTTCCAAGACTCTCTCCTGCTTTCCTTCTCTTTCTCTGCCTTCAACCCCACTTTCAAAAAGAATTACCACCTCCCCAAAAGTAAACGTTGACAAACCCCACTTCTGATTCATGCTGTGGTTCAAAATTTTAAATCTGCTATTTATGGATGTTAATTAAAAAATGAAATTGAGAGCAGTGCCATCTCTGAAATCCCATGTAAAAAAAGAAAATGTTATGCCCCCTTGTTATCAGACTCCACTTTATAAAATACACCCAACAGTGAAAATCCATGCATCTTGAGAGAGTATGATGAACCTTGAGAAACTGCATTCATTCAAAGAGTCATCACTATCTCTTACTACTAAGTTTTCTCATCCACGAGGTAAAGGCTCATCTAAAAAGACTACCTTTCAGGAGCAGAGTCAGAATTCTCATCCTGCTGCTCCCCATTCCTTTACTCCTGGGGCTCAAGAAATTGGGTTAAAAACCGAAGGGACTACTGCTCTGGGGAAAATAAACAGGGACAAAGAAGGTAAAATATTACATGTTCATCAAACCAGACTCTGCAGAACCAGTCATCTTTAAGGTCTGTGTCACTGAAATCATCTATTCAAACAGATAATTCTGTCAGTCCAGGTAACTGGCAACTTCCACCTACCTTGTACTTTTCACTACTAACCCAATCTCAATAACATTCAGTCACTGCTCAAAGGCATCTTTCTTCTCTATCTTTAACACAATAGGGGACTTATCACTAGCAACTGAGACCTCACAACTCTAAGCTGGGAGAAAGAAAGGGCGAGAAAGATGGACGTTCACTCTGGACCAAATTTGTTGAAAGCCCAGAACTACCCCTGCCGCAAACCACCTCCACAAAGCTGAACACATGAGGCTCAAGGGGTTTGGAAACATTATTTCTAACTACCCTTTAAGACCCATCACAAAAGGTCCTGTTCCTCTCCTATTCCCTCCACCCCACCCCACCCCACCCCCGTGTCACTAAAGGTGCTTTCTCTGCCAGCGCTTTCTTTAGCATGAACTTTCTTTCCTGGATCCTCTCATTATTTATTTCATCTAAGGACCCAAGTGCTTGCTTTCTCCTGAATTTGTTATTCAGGACCCAGG